TTATTAATGTTTATGTTCCTATTATCTAGACAAATTTTTAATGTATATTAAAGGTATATCCCATATTAGTTAAGAAGTCCGAAGAAAGAAATTACATAGCTCGTAAGAACGTCTTCGTCATTAAGAACGAAAATATCCATGGGTGAAATTTTTTATTGATTTAGCTTAGCTAACACTACATTTTTTAACGTTTGCTTAGTATCGTATTAACTATATTTTCTATTATCTATACATACTCGTATAATAACATTTTGAGTCGAATCTTTTATTCTCAATACAGAGGCCGAATCTATAGTTTTTAGAATTTTTGTCAGTCTGTCTGTCTGTCTTATCAATTTTTTCTTAGGATCGATATTTTTCGATTTATACCCAAAAGGAGGGGGTGAATTTTTGTTTATTGAATTTATTTAATTTATTTTCAATGTTACGCGAAAAATTGTAATAAGCAAAGTTGTTTAAAATCAAATTTCCTACAATTTTGGTCCTTATTAATTTTTTCGTAGAATCGACATTTTTCGATTTATACCTGAGAAAAGGAGGGGGTAAAAACTTGACCCCCAAAAGAATTCCGAAGGAAAATTGCTGTTAAAAATGTTTGCAATATCAAATCCTATTCGTATTTATTATGCAATTTATTATTCCTATACAATTAATGGTTTTATAGAAGATTGCACGCCTTGAGAATGAAGTGACTTCAAATTTATAGAGTTATTGTAAATTATAATTTGACTTACAACAATATAATATAAATGATAAAGTAATAATTGTAGTCCCGCTGAGATTCTTTCGCTAGTTCTTCTCAGGTCTGAGGCTTCTTCTTTCCGAATTGGTGGTAGAGTCATGATATTCAGTAAAAATTATAATAGTTTAATGCTGAATATTTTGTCTTTGAATTTGAATTAGTTATGGTTGGTACAATTATTTTGAATAAACATACATATAAATAAGGTAGGTATATCATAACGCCGCCCCCACATGTTTTAAACGTACAATGTAGGAAGCTTCACGCGAAGTAAACATCAATTATAACGTGACGCAGTCGTATTGGATTACTCATATTATAAATATGAGCGGGGTACGTATTATAATGTCACTTTAACCGACATCACAAATGGAGGTCCTCGATGTGTTATGTCACACATGTCTTATCTTTGTTGATTGCTAGCCTACATTCAATTCTTTTTGATTGTCTCTATAAAATAGAGGAAGTAACAAAAATGGTATTCAATTAGAACCCTTTTTCTTGAACTCGGCCAAAATTAAGTTAAACATGTCAAAACTTCAGAAAGGTACTAAACTTCTGAAATACTCACATCAACACTGTGTAGGTAAATATTTAATGTTTATCAGCATAACTTTAAAAATTAATAGTAAAAATATTTTCAAAAACAAGCTTTTATTTAAATGCTCTAAAAAGAAAAAAATAAACTTTAAATTAAATTAAACCAAACAATTTTTATCTTTTACAGCATCAAGCAACAGCTTTTATATCATATAAATTGTGTAATTACATTACACAATTTATCTATACTAATATTATAGAGGTAAAGTTTGTGATGTTGTAGGGGGTAATCTCTGGATATACCAAACCGATTTAGATGAAATTTGGTAAGAAGATAGTGTGAGACCCTGGGAAGGACATAGGATACATTTTATCCCGTAAATCATCCCTTAAGGGGTAATGACTTTCATTCCCATTTTCACTGTATTGGGAAGCAAGCTAGAGACAAACCCAAGCGAAGCAAGGATGAATCGCTAGTATGATATAAAAGCTTGTCGTAAGATTTACCTACTTTAAATGTTATATTGTTTATCTCCACAGATAAATCTCGAAACAAGCTTTTATATCATATAAATTGTGTAATATAATAAATAGTTGGGTTTGATTTAACTATATATATAGTTTATTTTCTTCTTTTTAGAGCATTTAATTAAAAGCGGGAGCACTGACATCTTTTGGGTACCCGGCAACTTAACTGCTGCAAAATACCGGGATAAGGTGCTGGATGGAACCTGTAGTTCGACCACACCGGCTGCAAATAGGTCAAGATTGTATGCTTATGCATGATAATGCCCGCTCACATACGGCTCGAGTGGTAACTCAGTGATTACATCAACATAATGTGGCGACCATGGACTGGCCCACGCAGTCCCCAAATTTAAATCAGATTTAGAACCAGACAACGAAGGGCTTTACGTAATTTTCCCGAAAATCTGGTGACTGACAGTGAATTTTTTACGTATTTATCATTATAGCGCAAAAAGTTTGGACATTAGAAAAAAAGTTTTAAACAAAAGTTGTAGAGAATAAATGGATCTTTAAAAATGGCCGAGATAGTAGAACCGGTTCATTACATGGGCCATAAATCGTAAACAGTAAATTTAACAAAAAAAAAACAGGAAACAAAATTTAGTGCAAAGTTGACCAAAATAACATCTATTTTTACTGTAGTAACTGATTTAAATGATTAAAAAATTACTTTTCAATATTTTTTAAGTAATTATACCTTTTGTTAGATTGATAAAAGAGACTTAAAGATATTTAAGTGTTACAAGTTATCTTTGGGACATGTGAAAACATAATATGATATCTATATATTATATAAAAGAAAGTCGTATTAGTTACACTATTTATAACTCCAGAACGGCTGAACCGATTTGGTTGAAAATTGGCGGGGAGGTAGCTTAGAGCCCAGAGATGGACATAGGACTTTTATCCCGTTCGACTGCGTTCCCGTGTGATATTGTTTGTCTGTTTGTACGGGCTAATCTCCGAATCTATTGTACCGATTTAAATGAAGTTTTGCATGGTGGTACCTTATATCCCCGGACAACGTCTTAGATATTTTTTATCCTAAAAAAACTATTATAACTTATACAACTTATGCACCTAATTTAGTAAAATTTAACATTCTGATACCTTATATTGCCGGTCAAACAACCGGTTACTTTTCATCCGGGAAAAATGAACGGTTCCCGTGGGAACTAATAGATTTTTATTAGTGTTTTTCTAGAGGCGAACCCGAGCGAAGCGAGGGTGAGCCGCTAGTTAAAAATAATAATAATAATTATATAGCATATTATTTTGATTAATTCATAAAAATGTTATAGACAGGTGTTATTTTTTCCAAAACTACTAATTCTCATATGAATATTGCATAAGAACATTAAATTAATGTAAATTTCATAAATATAATGACTATAACTTTCTAACAGAGAAGCATTCATCATTATTTATATGTTAATTTAACACATAATATTAGATTTTATATACATATGTTAATAACAGATTAAAGGATTTTTTTTCTTTAAAAGTTTTACATAGAGATTGACATGGCAAGTATCCTTAGATAATAATTTATAAAACATATCATTCTTTTCTTAGTGAAGTAGTAAAGAGACAGAGTTAACTTTATCCAAGATTTTACAATAAGACTACTTTATAACAGGCTTCCAAAAATGAGAAGGTTCTATGTTCATCGGTATGTACGTTCACCGATTTCTCAGAGACGGCTTAACCGATTTTACTACTTTTAACTGAAAAACCATAAAATTTCAAGGATGTTAACAGATTTAAGTAGACTGTTCTACCTACTTCTAATTGTCATATCGACTTGAAACTTTATGTGTTTGTAATTCCAATGATAATAGTGGTTTGGTATCTTGCGAGCTGATCTGATGGTGAGGCCAGAAGATGATTAGTGAAACTATTCAATGGTTTCAAATAAACAGCTTCAATTTGGGTTTACTTGGTTTGATTTAGTAAACCCAATATGTTAGAATTGGATTTTAGAGTCTGATTTTTAGTGGTACTAGTAAAACTAGATTTTTATTAGTATGTATATAAAATTTGGCTAAGCTTTTTTAACTTTAACATAAATGGCTTAATCGTACATGTTATTAAAAACTTTCTTCTTACAAATTACCTGCTTATTATGTATACACTAACAAAATTAAAACTTCTTAAAAAAAACTGACTTCTAGGCACAAAAATTAAAATAAAAAGATAAAAATAACTGGACAGGTGATTTCATTCACTATAGATAGTTAAACAGATATTTTCCAAGTCACTGCCTGTCGATGCAAAGCAAAGCAAATCTATTTCTATACATATAAACACATCACAAATTGAGTATAATATTTTAACTATAATTTTGTTGTCATATTTACTTATTAGATATTTATATCTTAGAAAATATTCGATTAAGTATTTAAAGTAAATGAAAACCCACATTCAGTTATTTTTACTTTTTATTAATTACATATACCTATCATGCGAGCAGAGCCACAGCCATAAATGTATAAAATTAAAAATATCTATATTACTAAATATTTATGTCAAACAATATATAAAATAACAGTATTTTAATAAGACAAATTAAATTGCTCAACAAAAGTTCACAAAGGCTTAATAGTATGCTATTGTTCCACAATAGGTATCTACACTAACTGGTAGGTCTTAAATCACTTGAAACAACAATGTTGTAATTGAATGAGATAATATTTGAGCAGATATTAGTCAGATTCCAATAAAAAAATCGTTTCATATTTATTTAAATGTTTGTTATGTATGCTATTGAATCACTATTCTTGTTCTTAAATATATTATGAATAGGATGTTTTATGTGTCCTTGATGAGACTATATTTTCTAAAATGAAGGTTAAAGTTATTAGCTACTATAAACATAGTAATTCAACTTAATTCATAACGTCACGAAGTAATGAGTGTGTACATTAGAAATATGATTTTTTCGCAGTAAATAGCGTAAACACGATGATTTACACAACCGCTAGCTTACGAAAGCCAACCAATGAAGTACAGCTGTTTTTAAGTTCATTGCCGATAGATTCGTAAAAGATTTTCTCACGCAGCGGTAAAGCATAACTTCTAGATTGGAAAAGCAGGGTTAACGAACGCGAGGCCACAGCCGGAACGCGATTATCATCGCAAGCCCTGCTTCCCTGCTCAACCACCCTGAGCCACTCTTCCGTACACTTACCAACAGTTCAGCTTCTTTATTGCGGAAAGGTCGGATTGCTTTGATCTAGCGATCACCATCTCCTCCGTTAACCGAGCCATTGCACTACACTGCACGTGAACAATGAAATCTAATAAGCACAGGGGTTAGATCGGAGAGAGGTCGCGGCCGCTCATCATACAAGAATCACTGACATACAACCACACGCGACGGCGCGTGGAAAAAACTGAAAAGAAAGAAAACAATAGAATAGATCGTAGAGGTACTAGGTAGACGTTCATATTACCTGATACCTGTCAAACAATAAAAATTATATATTAAAGTAATGAAATTAATAATAGCAATGTACATAATTGTTAAACAGCATAACTACTTTAAACTTACTTATAAATATTAAATATCATTGCTATATAAATATATAAAGAATTTTTGAGGCTTATTTTTGTTATAATAAAATTTATCATTACGCGTATCCGATTATTTTTTGTGACATTTCACATTTGGAAGTTTAATAATTATGACATTGAATCATAAATCATTGTCATTTTAAGATCCTACCTACCTACCTTTCTGCACAATATGTTATTTTAATTATAAATATTTGTCTTTTATACCTCAAAAATGGACTCAAACGATGGTCTCGAGGACAAAGACAGTGGCCCTGAAGTACAGTTGAACCTACCTGGTTCTGTGATCAGCCGGATTGAGGAATTAATGGGAGGAACTGAACAGTTTGATAGTGAAGAAGTGAGTGAATTTAAATTAAATATATAATTTCTTGTTTTATTAATTGGCATAATATATAATTAGGAAGCTATATGCTGAAATAACACTATTTAAATGTAAATTTAAAACCAAAACTATTCTTAACAGTTTGATGCGGTAGCCTACATAAACAGGGTCTTTCCTACCGAGCAGTCTCTATCCGGTGTAGAGTCTGCAGCGGCAAGATGTGAATTTCGTTTAGCAAGTGTCCAGCATGACATAAGGCGGCTAGTACGTGCACAACATGACCAGAGAGTGGCTGGACATCAGGCTCTTCTAGATGCTCAGCAATGTATAGCAGAACTGGCTTTGCAGGTAACATTTTTTGACCTTGAGTTTAATTTAGTAAAAGTTCACTTAATTTGTTAATAAGTGTGCATCTAAATGTTATGTGCTAAAAAAAGTTTAATTTCATACAAACCAAATAATAATGACCTATATTTAAAGTATAAAATATGCAGTATAAGATATGCCATAAATACTTAAATTAGAAAATAATTATATGTAATTATTTTATTTTAAGGTGGCAGATATAAATAAAAAGGCAGAACGAAGTGAAAGCATGGTGCGAGAGATAACAGCAGAAATCAAGCAACTAGACTGTGCGAAGTGGAACCTCACAGCAGCTATTACTGCCTTAAATCATTTGCACATGTTAGCTGGAGGTGCGGCATCATTACGCACCCTGGCAGAAAAAAGACAGTATAAAGAATTGGTGTTGCCACTGCAAGCTATTATGGAGGTAAGAATTGTGTCACTCTTTCTTGCAATTATATTTATTACTAACACCCTCACCCTTTTTCAATTACTTTTATTACAAGCGACTCACCCTCACTTTGCTCAGGTTTGTTCCTATGTATGTTTAAATTTTTTGTAGCAGAACCCTAATACTTTTTCTAAAAAAATGTACCCTAAGTCACTCTTTAGCTTATCTCTATCAGCTATCTGCCAGTGAAAGTCGTGTCAAAATCAGTCCAGCTGTTTCAGAGATTAGCTCGAACAAACAGACAGATAAACAAAAATGTTTAAAATGTATTTTTCTTATAAGTATCATATATAATTTCAAATGCATTTACTAAAAAGACAGTAGTAGATACTTCAATTTTATTTATCTGTATAAATGATATTATAAAGAATAAAATTATATTAGTAAAATTCCTATTTCAATTTAGATATCTGCAAAAATAAATATTACATTTTAAAAATTATACAATTAGAAATTATAAAGTTAATCATTTAAAAATTGTTTAGTTTAATGTGAAGAATCAAGAAGCAATGCAAGGTGCATCAGCTGTGAATAATTTTGCCGCCAGTTATGGGCACTCTATAAAAGAATGATTATTTACACTGATCTAATAAAATCTGAAAAGATATAAATAAATAAATAATAAATTATTTTATTTATTTTATAAGCAGCCTTAATTTAAAGACAATAAAAATAATTGCAAATAAATTGATACATTCTTGTATTACTATTGTGGTACATATTATGTATATGCTAAGGAATAATATAGACAGACAATGTTATAATATAGAAGTAAGCATAAAGCGAAACAAAAATGTCTTTAAATAGCATCAAACTAACTTAAGCAGCTTAGCGAATATTTTATTAAAGATTTTACTATGTCTATACAAAAAATGGAAAATAAAAACTTAAAATTTTTTTTACTATAGGTACCCTTTAGCTTTACTCAATTAGATATTTTCGAAGTGCTTTGCTTTGTATCGGCTGGCAATGACTTCAAAAATATCTGACTACATACCTATAGTAAATCAAAAGTACCAATAAATTATTTTTTACTTTTTAGTGATTTTTTTTAAAGTCGGTTCTTATTTTACTCTATTAAGTTTTTATCTTGTTAATGGCTTCAAAGCATGTTAATTGAGCTTTGATTTATTTACCATAATGGAAAACTGTTAGTCTAACATTTTTTCTTGTAGCAGTTTGTATGAATGTTTCATACATGTATAATTATTAAAAATTTGAATATACTAAAAATAAAATAGTTAGAAAGTTTGTGTACCTATTAGCAACAGCTATTATCTGTTTAATTAGGCAAAAAGTTCCTCGTCGGCTTCTCCATTTTTTTATGCATGTGCATTGCGATAGAGCATACTAGTGTATTATTGTGTCATGTGCTTGTGTAATAGGCGATGACAAGCGAGGCGAGCAATGTGAAATAATATAAATGAATATGGCGAATTGTTATTGTTTATGAGTGCATTGCTTAAGACATTTTTTTCATAGAGTTTTAACGGATTTTAGCGTAATATAGATATTTTGTGCTGTATTTGTTTATGGAATATGTGTTTCACGTATTTCTTAATTTTGATGAGTTCTATTAGCCATTGAGGCATTAATTTACATACTAATGACTTTAGTTTTCTTACTTAGTTGTTTAGTACATAAAAAGTATGACGTCTAGCTACTCATCTATACTAATATTATAAAGAGGTAGAGTTTGTGAGTTTGTAAGTTTATGACTTTGTAACGTTGTAGGGAGTAGTCTCTGGATCTATTGAACCGATTTAGATTAAATTTAGTAAGAAGATAGTTTGAGGACTTTGGAAGGACATAGGATACTTTTTATCCCAGAAATCATCCATTAAGGGAGTGAAAATGGGTATGGGTATGGGAAAGTTTGTTCGAGGATTCAAGCTAGTTAAATCGCTAGTTTGTTTATAAATATGATTTAATTATATGATGAAATGAGTTATTTCAATATATTAATATTTTATAAAAAATACCTATGTGTGAATTAGCTGAATTAGAAAAATATATTTAGTTTTCCAAGTTCATAATTCTGATTTCATTTAAGTTATTTTAAATACATTACGTTAATTTACAATATAATTTGACGAATTAAGCTAAACACTAAATAGGTTATTCAGGCACTTTATAAAACGGACGTATTGCTATAGGATATTATAACAAATAAAGCTTGCACTTCTTATTGTTTGTTCCTTTGTGTAGAGTATCGATTTATTTTATAATTTTCGTTAAAATTGGCTTGATAAATAAAATACAATAATAGATCAATATCATCAGTCAGAAAGACAAAGTCGTTCAAATAGATGTAAGTAGATAGCGGTACTTATATTTAAATATGTACATATATTTATGTAAAATTACAAAAAAATATGCTCAAATAAAAAAAAACGTATGCTCAGTTTTTAAAACATACTCATAATAAAGAAAATAATAAAATAATGTGGTCTTAAATAAAATTTACGTACATTCACTTATTAAGTAATGCCTAAATATTATATCTGATATTGATCTATGGTGATGCATAATGATTTCTCATAGATGGCGTTATTATATATGTATTTTATGAGGTTTTATTATTTTATTAAGTGTATGTAATGTATTTTGCTAGAATATTTTACATGAATTTAAAAAATAATACTAGCCTTATTAAGAAAAAAAATATCTCTTCTTATTTTTTCTTTCCATTCATATATAAAAAATCTATATCAATGTTTTGTGACTGTTTTTTTTTTGGAACGGCGTATATCTGTTAAAATTTCACCTTTCGTCACTGGTATCTATCTACATTCAGTAAATGAAACCTACCAACCAGTATTTTTTTACTTTTCATTTTTAGGATATTTCATATATTAAACATTTTGTACCCAAATATCGATAAAACAATATAAACCCATGTGCAGACTGCACATCCCATTGTCTATACATATAATAAAACTGTAGTGGTCGAATGTCTGTACATAGAAAAAAATGCTAACAAGTCAGGGGGATCTAAGAGAAGAAACAAAATACATCCAGATTTTTTCCAATTTTTTTTCTCTGTTTGTCTGTTTGTACAGGCTAATCTCCGAAACTGTTGGACCGATTTTAAATGACATATGATTTTAATAAAAATGATATTTTGCACATTCACACAGTCACATTTTAGATACTTCTACCCGGAAAGTTAAAGAGTTCCCGTGGGATAGGTAAAAAAATTACAGTAACTTATACAGCTGTACTAGTAGTGTACTAACACAAAAACTACTGATTAGATTTTTATGAAACTTTAAAATAATATATTACATACATCAGAATAACGAATGGGCTACTTTTTATCCCGTAAAAATGTACGGTTCCTGTAGGATAGATTTGTTTTCGTTTGTCATAATATACACATAAATTAAAATTAATGAAATCTAATTAAATTGAATGGATCATAAAAAAATTGTATTTAATTGAATTGAGAAAAATTAATTATATTTAATAGAATTGTATTGATGAATATTAAATTATATTTAATTTAATTGAATCCCCAGGTGCTGGAGCAGCTGTCCCTGTACCGCGACATCCGCGAGCTGAACGCGCTTCGTGAGGAGGTGCTCTCCATCCGCGCGCACCTCGCACAGCAGATACTTGCTGACTTCAAGGAGGCTCTCACCGGTTAGACAATTGTTTTTCAGAATCGGACGATAGATTGAGGCTCAGTTGAGTAAATTAAATATTTCTATTAGGGAATTCAAATATTTCCATTGTATTGTGTTGTATTCAGCCCTTTTTAACGTCCCACTGCTGGGCACGGGCCTCCCTTCAATACGAGGGGGATCAGGCCATAGTCCACCACGCTGGCCAAGTGCGGGTTGGCGGACTTCACATGTCTTTCGAAAACTTGCTAAGTTCTCTCAGACATGCAGGTTTCCTCACGATGTTTTCCTTCACCGTAAGGCAAGTGGTAATCATGTTAGAAATGATTCGCACATGAAAATATCAGAGGTGCGAGACCCGGGATTTGAACCCGCTTCACTCGGTTTCCCAAGCGAGAGCGTTACCGCTGGGCTACCACTGCCTTTTTAGAAGTGAATTCAAATATTTCCATAAGTGGATCCTAATATTGCCATGAGAACTGCTGGACCGATTTTTATGATCTTTGTTTTGTTGGATTTGTTTTCACACCGAATAGCAGAAAAATTAACGAAAAAAAAATTGAAAAAAAAGTATTCCATACAGAGTCAAAATTTACCTGGGGACGAACCTGAGCCAAGCGAGGGTGAGTCATTAGTAGTAATAAAAAAGTCGGTCGTCGTCGCGAGACACTCGGTAGGAACGAAGTACCTTTCACTGTCTGCTCTCGGCTCATACATTAGGGTCAAACATTAGCTTATTGAGGAAAGGCCTGCAAAGGGTGCACACGAATTTCTTACAACACACTTCTCAATACCGATGATCGCCTGGTACTTCTGTCACGAGTACTAGGGGACGGCGAATCTCAAGTAGTGCTCATTATATATGTAGGGTCCCGTCAAAGAGTATATACGACCTCCTTACCACTTATACTCGCCTGGTACTAGTGCTGATGTCACGCAGAACGCTCAGTAAACACAAAGTGTGGGGACGGTTGCAATATGGGGCATTTCATATGAAGCGGACAGGAAAAAAAAGTGAGGTTAGGAAAGTTGTTCATATCACATATGCGGGTTATTTATACCTCTAGTACGTATGAAAGTGGATACGTAATATTTTTTTCTACGATGTTTATTTTTAAAGTTATGGGCCTTTGAAAAATAATCATAATCCAAATGTCGATGTTTTAGATTTAGTTTTTCGAATGGGGAAAAAATACAAACAACTATTAAACTTGGCGTTTTGTATAGGTTTTTAGTTGCTCTTTTTAATAAAGAAATAATTTTTTGAAATTTAAAAAAGAAATATGTGCAAAACCGGAAGTGATAATTTCAAAACAATTTTTTTATCACTTTGACCATTCATTTTTTTTCCTGTCCGCTTTATATGAAATGCCCCATATGCCACTTGTTTTCGTCTCGCTCTCACTCGCCGAATGTGACGAGTGACGAGCGATAAGTGACTTCGTTCCAATAAACATTTTACCATACACTCTAGATACAGCTCGCATTTTTTTTGTATTGCATGTTTGTTTATCGTAATAAAGAATGTAATTGAGATGCGATTACAGTTGAGATACAATCACAGGCAGCAGTAAGAGCAACATCTCCCCGCGCACATTGAGCGAGGCGTGCGCCGTGGTGGACGCTCTCGAACCGCACGTGAAGCAGGACCTTATCAAGTGGCTTATTTCTCTACAGTTGCAGGTTTGTTACACACACGCACGTGCACTCACGCACACGCATACACAGATATGCATATACACATGTCAACATGTACGCACACACGCACACACATATACACAAATAAAGGAATAAAAACTACAGATGATTTTAGAGACAACGGAATATACAGAACTGACTTTAGAATACCACTAACACCATCTATTGTTGAAATAATTGACTGAAAAACCTCAAAAGTGTGTGGCTATTCATCCCATTAATAGTTAAAAGATGGTGAAAATAATCCAGCACTTGTGCAATACGATATCTGGGGATGTTATACCCCATTATTATATAATACTAGCGACTCACCCTCGCTTCGCTCGGGTTCGTCCTTACTTTGCTTCGCCATACAAACTTTCATCCCCATTCTCACCCCCTTAAGGGATGATTTCCGGGATAAAAATTATTTCACTCACTCACTTTTCATATCATGAGATTTAAAAAAAACTTATTTTAGTAAACACGTTTTTTCTTTTAATTTTCTTCTATAAAAATATTGTCTTGACAATAACAAACACAAAAAATATGAATTATCCAATTTGGTGCACTCGTTTGAAGTTATGCGCGTACATACATTTTGTTGATTCATTTTTATTTATATAGATTATAAACTAGCGGCTTATGCTCGCTTCGTTTGGGTGCGTCGCTGGGTACATTTTAAATAGATATAAATATAATACCTTATATATTTTTGCGCGAATATTAAAAACAATCTTTTCGCATTATTTCGAGGATTTATTTTTTGATTTGATTTTTTTTGGCTTGGCTTGCGTGAGTTTTTCACCGATCCGGGCTAGTGTCGGTTTATAAACACTGGTCAAAAGAAGCTTGCGGCAAGCGCTTTTGACGTATTTACACGTTGGTACGAGTATAGTGTACCTCACGAGTTCACGCCGAACTTTTGTTTTTTAAATAAAAATAAGTCAAGCCAAACATAATAGTCGACACAACTTCAACGTCTATGTCTGCCATGTTTGCCTGTGCAAGCTTGTAAATAGCATCCATGCGTTTGTAAAGGCTTGGAGCTTAAAAAAAGCTTGGAGCGTTTGTATAGGTAGCATAAGGTTTTAGACATCTCAAAGTATTTATAATAATAACAGCAAAAATTAAATAAATAATATTCCTATATTTGATTTATAATACTCGGAATACTTATTAAAATTTTAAAATGTACGAGTATAGAATTAACCAATCAACAAATATTGTAAGGTACTTTGGTGCCATTTTTGAATTTTTGAAATTATTTTGGAACATTGTGGATAGGCACTGTCTGTAACAACTATATAACGCCTTTCAGAGGTCCAAAACCTTTATCTCTTCCGTGATCACGATTGCAATAAAGCATTCGAAACTTCGGGAACCACAAATCAAAATAAGTCCGCGAAATAATCCAAAAATATAGTTTTATTTAATACTAGCGACTCACCTTCGCTTCGCTCGGGTTCGTCAATTGGTTGTTTCCCTATACAAACTTTCATCCTCATTTTCAGTCCCTTAAGGGATGATTTCCGGCATAAAAGCTATCCTATGTCCTTCTCAGAGTCTCAAATCTTTCCTCTTTATTACATTAGTATAGATATAAATATTTCAATTAGTTTAGTACGTACATATGTGTGCACGGTCTGTGTTGGTGTACCGCAGGAGTACGAGCACCTGTTCAGTGCGTCGGAGGAGTGCGCGTGGGTGGCGCACGTGGAGCGCCGCTACGCATGGCTCAAGCGGCACCTGCTTCGCTTCGAAGACGCGCTCGCGCTTGCTCTGCCGCCCACCTGGAGGCTCAGCGAGCGCATCGCCAGACGCTTCTGTGAGGTGTATGCCCAACACATGTACACAAACACGCACACACATACACATAAATGGTAGCCTGGTGGTGATGCGGGAAAACGAGTGAAGCGTGTTCGAATTCGGGGTCTCGAATCTCTGATGTTCTTATGTGTTCATATGTGATCCTCCTCGTATTGAAGGGAGGTTCACGCTCAGCAGTGTTACATAATTTAGATTTATAAAATTAATAAAAAATATTATTTTTGTGGGAAACATTTTTCAACACCTGGTTAACAACATTACTTACAATAAATGCCGCTAAATATACACATTGACATTTAAATTTGGCTTCATGTTTAGTTTTATGACTCTCCGTCTATATCAGCTCAGTCTGAGGCATACAACTACAGATCACGCATGAGATATATCATCTTACTGAGACTACTCGCCAAATGCGTAAGAGATATTATAGTGCAGCGCGTGTGTCTGTGTACACGTAGACACAAGTGCACTATCTATTCCTTTTACTCCCAAAGTCCGATGGGACGATACTTCGACACGACTAGTGAGAGTTAATTCGCAGAAATGATGGCTTTAAGTGATCTGTCTCGGCACAGGGGCTTGCACGTTGCCAACTTCTCAACTCAGGGCTACTACTGAAACTTAGTAACTAAACTTGGCTCGACCCTGTACTCGAACCCACGACCTCCGGATCTGCAGCCGTACTTGCTAGCCACTACACCACCGAGGCAATTACACCGATAGATCTAATAATATGTAGAAGTATAACTCTTAAGTGGCCGCTAGATAACGCGTGTGCATCTGAGTGAGATGCTGGCGGCGCGGCGCGGAGAGCTGGACGTTAAGCTGCTGCTCTACGCCGTACAGAAAACATACAACTTCGAGCTGCTGCTGCACAAGCGGTTTGTGGGTAAGACGATAATATTGTGTGCGCGCGCCCATGTGTGTGTGTGTGTGTGTGCGCGTGTGTTTGTATTGCTTCAGGCAGTACAGTTTTTTGGAAATATATATCTTTCAGACGTCTAAAACCTTAGTCTCTCCCGTGACCATGATTGCTGTAAAGCATACACAACGTCGGAAACCAAATATCAAAATACGTCCGCGAAAAACGTGAAAAAATAATTTTATTTCAAATGTCAAATATTCACGTAAATCTAAGAAAGTATTAAAGTATGAGCGATTAACCCTCGTTTCGCTCAGGTTCTTTCCTAGTTACGTTTTAGAGTTTTGTATAAATTTCTCAGAGATCAGTAAAAAGTATACTATAAGTTGACCCGGATAACCAGCTGTCATCATACCAAATTTCATCAAAATCTATGCAGTGATTTTCTGGTGATGCGGTCACAGACAGACAAAAATTCTAAAAACTATACATGCGACCTCTGTATCGATAATAATGACTATTTCAATAAGATCTTCTAAAAATTATTTAATGTACAGATTCGACTCTATCTATTACTTCTTCTTTTATACGTTTTGTTACATCTTCACACTAAAATGGCTTGAGGGATTTGTGTGAAATTTATTAATGTTCTATCCTTCTCTCTCTATCGTATATATAATGTATACCTATGTATCGATATCAAAATCAAAATGTACTTTATTCAAATAGACTTTTACAAGCACTTTTGAATCGTAAATTTTAATTAACCGACTCGGAAAGCCGTTCTGCAGAGAACAGCCGAGATAGTTGCTTTTTTAAATATAACTAGCGACTCACGCTCGCTTCGCTCGGGTTCGTCCATAGGTACGTTTTAATGGTAAGTATAGAATAGACTATACATATGTATGTACAATATACACACATGGTTTAGAAAAGTAAAGGTAAAAAAATATATATATCTTACTTGAGAAATGATTGATTTCCCATACTGCCTTATATATGATATTTTTTCCGGGATGAAAACTATCCTATGTCATTCGAGGGTCTCAAACTATTTCCATGCCAAACTTCATCTAAATCGGTTCAGTGATTAAGCGTGAAAAGGTGACGGTCAGACAGACACAGTTATCTTCGCATTTAATATGAGTATATATATATAAAGTTGACTTTTTTATGGTACTGGTCTATCATCATCAGTCAGTTAGTCACGACATTGCCTTTAATATATGTAATATGTATAATAATAAAAATATTTATTGTGAGTGTATCTTAGGAGATAGACATGTATACTATTAAGGACTTTTCTGTAGGCCTTTTCAAGGCCTACAATTTTTTGTGCATTATTTTAATGTACGAGTATGTCTTAAGGTTTAGCCAACAGATGGTTTCCAAGGACAACTCGATAAAACCAGTTATTTTGTTTTCCCGTGGGAAAGAAAGGTTTTGCTGAAGTAAAAGGTATCCTAAAAATATTGAATTGAGTAATAAGTCATCACTACACAAAATTTAGTTAAAATTGATTCAGAATTTTTATATGAAAGGCGAACATAAAATTTTAATAACAATTGTTTTGTGGTCTATATTCTGTACACAATACGTTACAGTCATTGTTTTTAAAAAATATTTCATGTACAGATTTTGCTAAATTACTGTTTTATTATATATGTATAGATGTATAGATATGTATTGTGTACAGGCACGGAGGAAGGCGCGGACGCTGCCGCCGTCAAGTCGGTACCTTTAGATGATGACGACAAAGACGTAAGTGGCTTTTTAGGTGCTGGACTTTGTGATACTGTGATACATAAATTATTTCTTATTTTCTATTTAAAAAGTCATACACATTTCAAAGCGACTTAAAAATAATATTTCATGTATTAGGTGTTTATTTTAATTTATATGATTAAAAAAAATCGGACAAGTGCGAGTCTGAGTCTCACACCGAGGGTTCCTTAGCGTGAAACATTAAAATAAGTTTATTACACAGTTATAGATGGCGTTACAGTACAGATGGCATTACAATATCCGGATACTTAAATAATTTTAGAAATCACTTATTTTGAAGTTATTAATAACAAAACAATATCCTAAAATTACATAAGATTTAATAAAACTTAGTTACAAATAAAAATAGTAACTAAAACGTGTGTAAACGCAATTCGAGTGAATCAAATGGCAAACAATAAAATTATAATAATTATTTAAACCTGGAAAAGTTTTATTCAAGAACACAAGGTTTCTTTTTTTAAATGATAAAATTGATTTTATTAAATAATTAGTTTAATTAATATTCATAATTATTTTAATAAAAAGAAAGTCTAATTATTCGACAGAATAATCTACGTATCGACTGGCACTTCAGATTGCGCGTTACAGAGTATTTAGAACCGCCTCATTTAGATGGTGTTACGAGGTCCTAATATTTCAATAAATATGTAATCACTTACTTAATTAAATTAATTAACTAGGAGAATAATCTCCGTGGCGATACATACATATATATTCTACTAAAAAAAACACTGGTTTTATGTTAATTATTTGATGGTTGATATCAAACGTGTTGAGAGTGATTTTGACTCGCGCATCGAGGGTTCCGTTCCGTCGAATATCATGTTGTGTTTACTAACATAATAAACATAACAACAGTTAAGAGCAACAAGCCAGAAGTCCGAATAAAAAAATAAAATTTACTTAAACTTATTTATTTAAAACTACCTAAATATATTTAAAATTACAATTATAATAAATATGTCTAGTGCGATGCGATGTAACAATTAGAATTGAATATAAAAATAGTTTTAATATTTCTCGCGTCTCTCCCACACGCACCGCACGAGTACCTGTCTAGAGGCCTTCGTTAGATGACTATATGTTTTATTAGATAGGTGTCCTTCTGACTGATTTCGGCCACGGCGGATAAACTCACTGAGACTAGCCCGATGCCCAGGAGATATTATAGTGCATAAATGTACGTACAATAAGTGCACTCTGTATTCCTCTTCATCCTCAAAGTCCGATGAAACGGCAATTCGACACCATTGGCGAGAGATCAGGCGCAGGACCAAGGCCTTTACATGTCATGGGGGTATTACCGCTGATTTTTCAACTCTGACCTGATACTGAGAATTACTTAACTGAAAAATTCAAAAACTAAGCTTGGCCCGACCTAACACTCGAGTCCACAACCTCTGCAGCCATATATACTAGCCACTACACTAGCAATACATTTAAGGTTCATTGGTGTAAGTTAGTGTGAGTAACGTGTGGTGTACAGGCGGAGGAGGTGGGGCGAGGGTGGGTGGGGCTGATCGGCGCGTGCTTCGAGCCACACCTGTCACTGTACATCACCAGTCTCGACACCAACCTTCGCGGGCTCATGGACCGCTTCATACAGGTCAGTGCACTATTTATAATTAATATTATAAAGAGAAAAAAAAAGTTATTTTGTATGTTTTTTCCTGAACTGGTATAACCTAGCCTATCGTCCCATTCCCGCTTGACGTTGAGTTTCGGGACATAATATATTGTCTATCTATTCTACACTAACAGTTATAAAAACTAAAAAAAAACCGACTTCCAGGCACTAAAATGTAAAAAATTACTAAACGGGGGTTTTAATTTAGAATAGATACCTAATCAGATATTTTCGAAGTCGGTGCCAGCCGATGCAAAGCAAATGTAATATATTTCGATATGTAAAAATACATATTTACCTATTAGATATTCATATGTTAAAATTTTGTAGGCTGGCAGCGACTTCGTGACAGTAGTAAGTAAAATTTCTTTGGCAAATATCACAATAATTTAAAACAAATCAATAATTAAATAAGGCATATTAGACATATTACAACCATATATTTATAGAATATCATATACGGAAAGAATATAATCGATACTTATGTTATAAATGTGAATGTGTTTGTTTGTCTTTTTTTCTTTTTGTGTGGAGATAGTTGGAGAGCTGTGGAGTGACATAGGCTACTTTTTACCGCGGGAGATAATCTCATTTCAACAATTAGTCAAATAGCTTTTATTTAATTACTAGGGACTCATCCTCGCTTCGCTTGGGTTCGTCCCTAGCTTGCTTCCCAAGAGTTTCAAATCACAACAATTCTAAAGAAGTTGCACTTCAAAAAGTGATTGCGTGTAACGTTTACGTGCGGTGGAAGTAAGACTTTTTTGGCGCTGTGGTATATATCGCTATTAAACTAATACAAATCAAAGTATAAATATAATAATTTTTATAAAATGATTAGTAATAAATATTTATGAGTAATAATTATTATGAAATTAATAAATATAAATGCATATGTATAAACATAAACTTTTATAAATAATAATTATTATATTATATATATATATATATATATATATATATATATATATATATATATATATATATATATATTTTAACTATAATAATTTTTACTCTCACTTCCGTGATACTTATTTTTCTAATGTATTGACTTACCCCTTAGTCATGCCTAAAGAAGTTTTACTTCAATAAAAAAAAACATATATGATGAAATCTGATCAATTATAATTTATAATATAATTATGATCACGGCCCAGGACGCGAAGTCTCTGGACCCGGGCGCAGGAGCGGGGACGGAGGGCGTGGGGGTGGGGACGGGCGCGGGGGTGGGCAGCGGGGCGGGCGCGGTGATGTCGAGCTGCGCGGACCTGTTCCTCTTCTACAAGAAGTGCCTTGCGCAGTGCGCCACGCTCTCGACCGGGGAGCCCATGTTGGGTGAGGATGTTTTTTGTGCGTTTATGTATTTGTGGGGCTTATAAGCATAAATTATACTGTTTTCTTAGATTTATTTTCGAATATTTGACATCTATACAGACAATTAAATTGATGTGTCTGTTTGTAATGTCAAAATGACAGTTTTATTTCAAATTCATATGAAATAATATACTGTACGAAAACTAATTTTTAAAATTTTTGTCTATCTGTCTGTCTGTTTGTTTCAGCTGCTCTCTGAACTGGCTGGAATGATTTTGACGGGACTCTTACTGTTATAAGAAGTAGCATGTTAAAAAAAGGTTTTATAGAAATGCTTTATAAAACAAAGAAGTATAATTTCTTACGTGTACGCGCACGCATAAAAGTACACACCCTCACTTTTTAACGTTACTCTTTATAATATCAGCTATCTGCCAGATTTTTTAGAGATAAGCCAGTACTGACAGACAGACAAAAAAATTATCAATGTGTTTTTCATTATATAATTTCATATGCATTCATATTTATTATATTATTTCATATGCATTTCGTAAAAAACCGTTACTATGACATTACAATCAGACCCTTTAATAATTTTATTTATTTGTATAGATATAGATTACCTACAAATGTGGCTCTGTCTGTTTTGTACCGAGTTTAGCTGTTACCATGTTACCAGTCTAAGCTGAACGCTATTTAATATGCTCGACCATGTAGATGTAAGCTCAACTTACATCGGAACCTTCTAAATTTCCGAAACTATATATATATATATATATATATATATATATATATATATATATATATATATATATATATATATATATATATATATATATATATAAAAAAATAAGTATAATGAACACGGTGTTTCTGTGGCGCACCGTGCAGAGCTCGCGGGCGTGTTCGGCAAGTACCTGCGCGAGTACGCGAGCGGCGTGCTGGCGGCCGCGCTGCCCCGCGCGACCGTGCACAGCCTGCACGCGCTGCACTCGCTGCACACGCTGCTGCGCGACGACGCGCCCAGGTACAAGCACACATGTGATACACACGCACGTATACATACACATACGCTCACTCTCATACACAATATATATAAAGTACGCACAGACACGCTTCTGAATCGTCATTTTGTATATTTTAATTTAACATTTAAATGTTAGTAAGTATTTAAATTAAGCTACCATCTGCTTGAAAAGCAGTTCTTCTAAGAGTTCGAAGGAAACGAGACAGATTTCAATACAATAAGTTTTTTTAATTCCTGAACTTATTTAAAGTCTATAGGATATATCTAAGTCTAATGTAATTGCTGGCAAAAGCCTATCATTATGCTTTCATTTGTTTTTGTGTTCCTAACAACCCTACTCTAGTTAGGGCTCTGTCAATTTGATCTGATCTTCCTGATCTTTTTTGTTATCTTCCCCTTTTACCAATGATACAAATCCCACACACTTATCAGTTTTGTTTATTTATCGTCAATATAAATATCATGAATTCTCTTCCCAGGTATAGCAAACAAGAAATCGCTAAAATTACAAGCGTGATTACAACCTCTGAGTACTGCCTTGAGACGACCGTTCATCTCGAACAGAAACTGAAAGAGAAGATATCCCCCAACCTAACAGACAAGATTGACCTGACACCAGAGCAGGACCTATTCCACAAGATGATCAGCAACTGCATCCAGCTCCTCGTTCAGGATCTGGAGTTAGCCTGCGAACCTGCTCTCCAGACCATGACCAAGATATCCTGGCTAAGTTTCGACAACGTCGGCGACCAAAGCTCTTACGTCACCCAAATAATAATGCACCTCAAAAACACGGTGCCAAGTCTTCGAGACAACTTGGCGTCTTCTAGGAAATATTTTACGCAATTCTGCATAAGATTCGCGAATTCCTTCATCCCAAAGTTCATACAAAACATATACAAATGCAAGCCGATTTCTACCGTCGGCTCGGAACAGTTACTGCTAGACACTCATATGCTAAAGACGGCTTTATTGGAACTACCCTCCATAGGTTCAGACGTCAAGAGGCAAGCACCAACGACGTATACAAAAGTGGTGATCAAATTGATGACGAAAGCCGAAATGATCTTAAAATTAGTGATGGCGCCATTAGACGGCAATATAGAAGGTTTTGTGTCACAATTCGTTCAACTTCTGCCAGAGAGCACGCTGACGGAGCTACACAAAGTGTTGGATATGAAAGGAACGAAACTGTCCAAAGCACAGATGACTTCCATAGACTCGTTTTTCAAAGAAACGATCAAAACTGTTCAAAATGAAAATAACAAGTAAATTATTAATATATTAATGATTATTATATAATAGCTATACGTCTGGTTGAGTTGATATTCGGATTTTCCTATGAAATAAATATTATTGGTGGCTCAGCGTGGACGGTTTGCGACGCAAAAACATTTTCGCTCTGACAGAAATCATTTAGCTTGTAGATGTATTTTTTTTAAATATACAAATTAAAAATACAACAAATAGACAATCAACGTATTTATATTAAGACATGGTTCATACATCTGAACCATCCGAGTTACATACACCTGTAAAGATTCTAATTAACGTGATAATTTGAAGTAGGATACTCTAGTCTTTCTAGATTTGTTTACACACTTGTTTTTGTTTATAAATATTAAACCTTGACACTGAAAGCGATTTTTAAAATCGCATTGAAATCGATCCATTTGTTTAAATTGTACGTTACGTTCAAAAAGTAGAGCTGATATAAGTGTAAAACTAATAGCACCCCCCTTTGTGCATTGGTTGTTAAAATGTCGCTAAAGTAAAGGTGCAACTTGATCTCTTTGCAGTATTTGCTTTTATTGATCGAGATTTTTTTATATTATAGAATAATATGTAGTAAATAAGACTTCAAGTATTTAAGCCTTTAAAAATGACTATCTTTAAAATTAAAATATTTGACATTCCATATGTTGATTTCTTTCGTGCAATAAGTCAGTTAATATTTTTGTATATTCCGAATATGTTCATAAATATATTCAATTATGAATTTTCTTACTTGTTTTATTTTTTATACCCATGTTCTCGTAGAAATCTTACAATCACTATGTATTTAGCCCCTTTTAACGTCCCACTGCTGGGCACGGGCCTCCCTTCAATACGAGGGGGATCAGGCCATAGTCCACCACGCTGGCCAAGTGCGGGGCGGATTTCACATGTCTTTTGAAATCTTCTAGCTAGGTTCTCTCAGACATGCACGTTTCCTCACGATGTTTTCCTTCGCCGTTATGACAAGTGGTAATCCTGTTGGAAATAATTCGTACATAAAAATATCAGAGGTGCGAGACCCGGGATTTGAACCCGCTTCACTCGGTTTCCCAAGCGAGCGCGTTACCACTGGGCTACCACTGCCTATCACTATACATATTACAATACAATTAAAAAGAGAAAAAAAATATTGAAATATTTCTGAGTAATTATTATTTGGCAAAATATAGAAGGTACGCTTATTGCCTACTAGCGTTTCCTGCGGCCCCGCCCGCATATATCATATACTAAAACCTTCTCCGAAACACGTTGCATCTTATGATATGAGTAGGTATTATTCCGATCGGTTCAGTAGGTAGTTATCGCAGTATAACCGCACAAAAAAATCAGCTCTCCATTTACTAGTATAGATATATTCTGCCTTTATTTTATTCGACGCGACTATTCGCCTGATGACCGATCTATGGGTCTACGAGAAGCTTTCCCGTAGCTGACTCGTGGATCGATAGAATTTAGTTCAAGCCTTCAGATCCACGGGAAAATTTCAGGTACTTCTCTGAATTTTTAAATTTACCTACAAATAAATTCTCAAAAACAAATTACCTATGTAATTTTTTTTAATATGGGGTTATGAATTTGATGAATGCAAGTTATGATTACATATTACTAACTATTCCATTGCTTTCCTTCTAAATGGAAGGAAGCCTTAATAGTGCCTATTCATAAAAATAGATCTAGAACTCTAATATCAATTTATCGCCCCATCTCAATATTAAATGCTATGAGTAAAGTATTTGAAAAAATCATATATAATCTAATTGGCCCTACTAAAACGAAATCTATCCCTGAAGAAGAACACGGATTCATGCACAGGCGCTCCGCTCCACAGTAACAAATCTAGGAGTCTTTACAGACTACATCTTAGGAGCTATGGACGGACGTGACCATGTTGATGTGATTTACACTGAATTTGAGAAAGCCTTTGATCGCGTAGACCACATCATTTTACTACAAAAGTTACATCAGTTAGGAATACAGAGAAATCTTTAGTATTCTGGAAGTATTTATAATCTACACTAATATTATAAAGAGGCAAAGTTTGTGAGTTTGTTTGTAGTGGATAAACTAAAAATCCGCTGAACAGATTTAGATGAAATTTGGTATGAAAATAGTTTAAAACTAATAAAAACCCTTAACGGGGATGAAAGTTTATATCGTTAACCGTACATTTTTCCGGAATAAAAAGTGGCCTATTCCTTATTGTGATGTATGATATATATTGTAAAGTTTCATTAAAATTCAATCAGTAGTTTTTGTGTACTAAGCTGTATAAGTTAATACAGTTTTTTAACTATTCCACGGGAACTGATAAATTTTCTGGAATGAAAAGTATGATATTGATATTGACCGGTGATATAAGGTACCACCATGCAAAATTTCATTTAAATCGTCCAACAGCCTCATTATGGCTTATTAAAACCAAAAAGCTGGCCAATATTCAATAGGTAATACAAAAACTTGAATTCATAAATAAAAAAGGTACCTGGGTAAGCAGAAGAGTCCAGGTACCTGTACATCGCCTTTGTTTGTCCTTATCTTGACAAACTTTCGGCCACCAGTCGTCATAAAACTGCTTTCGTGTACTGACTAAATATTACGTTTTCATTGTACGATATTTTTCTGGTTTTTATAAATGTGGAGATAATAAGAAAAGTGGAGATAATTGTGGTGCTTTCTATAATGGATGATGTTAAGCCAGGTATGTTGTATTATTTCCGGGGCAGAGGCTGACTGCTACCGGACGCGTTCCCGGGTGGCGGATAGGGGAACACCACTAGCGCCTGTTTGGACCCGACAGGAGCTTGTGGTACCGGAGCAATCCGGCGCGGACCAACAGCCAGGAGAGGGGGTTGAGGGAGCGGCGTTAGGAGGGCGCCGTCTCCTTCTTGGAGGTAGCGCGGTGTCTCCAGCCGTTTCGCGGTAGGAGGCGCTGCGCGGGCCACACTGCCGGGGCTAGCCCGTCGGTGCGGCGGCTGGAGCGGGGCCAGTTCGTTGGTCCTGCGTCTGGCGAGGGATGTCGGCAGCCATTTTGGTCCGGAGGTGGGCCGACGGTAGGGGGGCCGCGGGGGAAGGGGAGGCGTCTTTGGGAAAGGGGGTTTTGCCCAATTTGGGTGGGTAGTTGTTTTTGCAGGTTGCCCACTTCGGTGGGCGGTGTTTGTGTCGTGTGGGGCTGCTCCGGGTACTTCTCTGATCAGCAGAGTGGACTTAGGAGCGGCCTCACTTCTTGGGTGTCAAGTCTTCCCATAATGGGGTTGTCCCGCTTGGGGCGGCCTCATGGTTGGTGGCTTCGGCCAACCGTCGGGGCGTCGCGGTTGTATGCGAAAGCGATCCCGTGGCGTCCCACATGGCGGCAGGGGGGGGAAGTTGGGTTTTAGTGGGTATGCCGGTCTCATTAGCCGGAGAGTCTCCACATAACCACCCCGGGGGAAGTCGGCTGGTATCCGTAATAGGATTTCCCAACTATAAAAAAAAAATGTATGTTGTACTATTATATTTCATTATATTAGAAATAAATACTCACATAACATGTAAAAATAATATTATTTGAAGTGAACTTAAAATTTATAGTTATATACTTAAAGTTTAAAATTATAAATAATGTTTAAAAAGACGACGTGACATTTCATACGTCTAACGAGTCATTGGCAGTCGTAAACAAAATGTTTGAAGGAAAGCTAATATCGCGGCGAGGGGATATTCCGTGGCCAGTGGCCACCCAGAAGCCCAGACCTCACTCCACTCGTTTTTTTTCTCAGGGTATATCTCAAGAGTCATGTTTACGCTAATAAAACAATCTCAATTATCCAGCTCAAGAGTAAAATATGCGAAGAAAAGTCCTGTATCGCAAGGGCAATGTGCCAGCGAGTTCCCTTAACATTGAGGTCCAGATTCGAAGAGTGTGTATGTCTAGATGATTCGCATCTCCGTAATGTTGTTTTAAAAAAAATCCCATCTGTCTACTTTAGTTGGTATAAATATAAATTTGTTTTCGTACTACTTGTGGTATTTTTTAATGATTTTTTTAAATCCACCAAGCTTGATGGCCCACCCGATGCTATATTCCTCCGTTAACTTGTTTTCATCTTTTTAGTTAGCATTTATGCGGTCGGGTTTTTATTTTTATACCATAAAAGCAGAACGGCTTCGCTCGCGCTAAGACAAAAAAAAACTCTAATAATGTAGGTTTCATTAACACTATTATCATGTATTTTACCCCCATAAGGGATGAATTTCGAAAAATGCTAAAACACGTATTTATTTAATTTAATTGTATTGAAGGAGATCGTGGACATGCCGGCATGTCAGTTAACAATTGATTTCTCGGAAACTAACCACGGAGGCGTTACTAAGTTTCAAGTAAATCTGATCATACATTTTTTGGGTTGTATTATATCGCGTTTTCCCGTAGGAATCAGATAATCTCCCGCGGTTAAAAGTACTCTATGTCACTCTCCAGCCCTTCTACTATCTCTACACAAAAAGTCACGCCAATACGTCACTTCGTTTCGATGTGAAAGAAGGGCAAACAAACAAGCATACAAACACAATTTCACATTTTTAATATTACTAGCAGAACTCACGGCGTCGCTCGCGCTTAACTACAAAAAAAACTCTTAAAAGTAAGGTTTCATACAAACTTTCATCCCCTATTTACCCCCTTATGGGATGAATTTCGAAAAATGCTTAAACACGGATTTATTTAATTGTTTTGAAGAGCATTAATACTAAATTTCAAGTAATTCTGATTAGAAATATTTTTTTGGGTTGTCTTATAACGTGTTTTCCCGTGGGAATGAGATATTATTTTCACAGAAAAGATCACGCCAATCCATTACTCCGTTTAGACGTGAAAGAAGGACAAACAAACAAACACACTTTCATATTTATAATATTAGTATGGAAGTATGGATATGGATAATATGGATTTTTTTACTTTAATTATACTCAACTATATATTATAAATAATGCATAGATTTTATTCTCTCTGTTGTAGGAAAACTAAGTATATTCAAGTCAATCCTAATTTTAACTGCCCAAAAAATACAAAATATTTTTATAACAGGATAAGGCAGAACGACATATTTACGTTCGGCTTTCCGGTTTAAAAACACTGTGTACTGTAAACATGGAAAGTAGAAACGTCAGTGTCAAACAAACTCTCGTTGGAGGCACGCGCGGTTGTGTTTGTTATTCAAAAAAATGAAATTGCCGGTCCGCAAATGTTATCATGCGGCAAAAATAGGTTTCTTTTTAATATTTGTTGTGACAATTTTGACTTTATTTGAACATTGGCGAGGCGGGAAACGTAGTACAAGCGCCCAAACATACGACCCAGAAGAGGGATATGAAAAAGAGATTTTAGAAGACGAGGCTAAAATAATTCCTGGCTTGGGTGAAGGTGGTGCTGCAGCTCATTTGTTTGGAGCAGCGAAACGTCTCGGTGAAGAATCCGAGAAAAAACTCGCTATTAACGTATACTTAAGTGATCGAATAGCATATAATAGAACTCTAAAAGGTAACAACGAATTAATTAAATTACCGTTAGATGTATTGTCGGCCTAGTTATTGTGTAAACTTGCTAGTTTTTTAGTTTTTATAGCATTAAAAGTACTTAGGTTTAAAAAATATGACTGAAACTTTAGATGTATTTGCTATTTTACTTTATCGAACTAGAAGTATTAATTATAATGAAAACACTATAATATAGAAAAACACATATTAAAGAACCAACACAATATTATAGAAATAATAAAACACTATAATATAGAAATATACAATATATTATTCGCTCCAAGTAAACAAAGTTTTTAAACGTATATTTATATTAGAAGTAACAATTAATTTGTAAAATTAGAAAGGTTGAGATCATAATATATAAATAGATATATAAAATTATGATGCATAGAGTTTTTTAATTATACAATGGTATGTTTTTTTATATAGCATATTTAGCTGTGAAAGTATTTTGTTTTTTTTATTATAACTAATCAACGACTAATATTATATTCATATTTAGTATAAAATTAGATTTATATGGAAATTAATAGTATTGTTTTTCTGTATATATAGCAATTAAATGAACATACTACTTTTTAGATCATAGAAATCCCGCATGTCAAAGAGTAGTGTATGATGCAGAATTGCCATCAGCATCAGTTATTCTAATCTTTCACAATGAACCATATTCAGTGGTTGTGAGAACTATATGGAGTGTTCTCAACAGTGCTAGGAGAGACCAGCCTTGGTATAGAAAAGCAAATTTTGTTGATAGAGAAACAGGAAGGACAATGAAACTCGGTAAGTCTAATGAAGAAAGTGAAAGATCAAACAAATGTTTTTGTTTTAAATTGCTTTATAGGCAATAATTTACAAAATCCCTTTAAAAGTGAATATTAAAATTCATATAAATTATCTCATCTCATCTCCAATCCCATAAAAGTATCATTAAAATAAGTTCATAATTGGTAAAGTTATCCCATTGAATACTTTCACCTTTTTTAAAGTTTGTCAAACTATATAAAAAAATAAGAATGAAAAAGTAACAGCATTTAAGAGTTTTTCTGTTTAAATAAAAAACGGTCAAGTGCGAGTTGAATTCACATAAAAATGGTTCTCTACCACTGTTCTTGTACTTTTTATTAATATGACTTTTTCTTTTGATTTTTTAATAATATTTCTTTTGATTTCTTAATAATGATTTAATAATATTAATATGACTTTTTCTTTTATTAATATAACTTTTACTCTATGTATGTACTATATTAACTTCGATGATCAATTACAAACATAAAAAAAAATAGTTTTTTTATTTTTTTATATTTATTATTTGTTATTATAGTGGTAATAGAAATACATACTCTGTGATCAACTCTTTAACTAAATTTACGGTTCATGCAATACAGCCCTGCTGCCCTATGACAGTCGGATGGACAGTGGAGGCTCAGTAATAGGGTTCCGTCGGCAACCTTCGAATACGAAACCCTAACAAAAGGATGGACAGTTTAAAAAAAATACAGTATAATTTATAGCTTCCTCGTGAACAGAGTATATCCATTATCCATGCTTTTATAATATTATAAATGTGAAAGTGTGTTTGTTTGTCCTTCTTTGACATCGAAACAGAGTGACGGATTGGCGTGATTTTTTGTGTGGAGATAGTTGGAGGGCTTGTAGTATGACATAGGCTACCTTTTACCGCGGGAGTGGAAGGATATATCTATATAATAAATATGCAATCTACTCCATACTAACTTTTAAAACATACCTAGGGGCAAACCCGGGCGAAGCAAGGACGAGTCTCGTCTTTTTATATATATTTAATTTAATAATGTTAATTTTTTTTTATTTATTAAGTTGACTATTCAAAAGTACTTGTAGAAGTCTAATTGGAAAGAAATGAAATCTATTTTTTTACTTAATTTTTTGTCACCAGGGTATCCCAACCAAGACCCAAATTCCCAATTTGTGTATCTAAAGGAAATAATCTTAGTTGACGACAATTCAACTTTACCAGAGTTGAAAGGCAAGCTCAGTCACTATGTGCGTTCGAGATTGCCCCCGGACCTTATACGGATTTTGAGGTTGCCTGATCGGTGAGTAGCTGACACACATTGTTTTACATTGTTAATTGATTTCTAAGCATATACATATTTTTGAAGTAAAACTTCTTTACTGAGGGGTTAGTCAATACTTTGGAAAAATGAGTGTTGTGGATGTGGGAGTCAAATATGTGTATAGATTTTGACTCTCTGACTAGATTTCACTGGACTGATAGAGATTTTCACTCAGTTTTTTAATTGGTACTAGGAGTTCTTTTAAAAAAACAGATTAAATATTGCTGTAGTTTAAATAATTTATCAATTGATTTAGATATGTAGGTACATTAAAAAGTCTTACATTTTTTACTGAACGCTATTTACATACTTTGAGTAAAATCAATCCAATTTAAGCAATTAATATATAAAATATATTGTATGTATTATCCTTCTTCTGATTCCACCTGTAAATCAATCATGTGTTTATGAATTATCTATGAATCAATCATATTAAGAATTCTCTATAAATCAAAAATACTGTTAAGAATCATCTAAGAATCGAACATATTGTTAAGAATCACATTATATAAATCAATCATAGGGTAGGTATCACGCAGGCTCGTCATACCGGGGCTAAAGCAGCCATCAGTGACGTCATCATCTTTCTAGACTCGCACTGCGAAGCCAACAGGGACTGGCTCCGACCACTCCTACAGCGTATAAAAGACAACAAGAGAGCTGTTTTAACCCCTGTCATTGATTTATTAAACGAGTCTACCTTAGAATATCAAGCGGGGAATATATTGAAATTTGAGGTGATTCTGGGTGGTTATATATAAACTTCATGTTCATAGCGAAATTAATAGATATTTGTTAGATCATGTAGAAAAGGAGTTCTTTTTGTCTAAATGTTATCATTATTGTTTTACTATATATCTAGAGTAGTATTAGTATTTTATTTCCTTAAATTATTTTGGAAAATTACATGTTTCCTTTTGTTACATTTTGTTTTAGCTCTGTTTTTGTAGATTTAAATTTCTTATCTCTCTATTTTTTAATTGTTTCTTCTATTTCTGCCTATAGATATTTCTTTCTTTATTTTCGTTACGTTTTCTAGACTTATAATTTCGTACTTAATTGTTTTTTTCCATATATAACTTATACTCAACTGAAAATTTCATAAAATAACACAAAAATCATTCACAAAACAGCGTGGGCCTCACCCGAGCCCGTCTAGCCGGCGCGCGATACGCGACAGGCGACGTACTAATATTCTTAGACGCCCATTGCGAAGCTCAACAGGACTGGTTGAGACCGCTCTTACAACGCATTAAGGACTCTAACCACTCTGTCGTGGTCCCCATCATTGACGTCATCGAGGCGTCTAACTTCTACTACAGCGTCCAAGATTCAGTCACATTTCAGGTGTAGATCGGTTGTGTGATTTCTGCGCTTATTTCTTTTTAAATGTTAGATTTTTAGATTGTGAATAATATTAATAGTTATGGCCCAAAAATAGTACCTTGTTGAAGCCTATATTTTTTGCTATAAAACTGTATGTATATAATTATAGATTACTATTTTGTATTGCATATCTGCTATTTTATGTTAGAGTATTTTAAAACAATAATTATTTGGCAATCTATAAATTCGACATTTACGTACAAATGTTTACGATTGAGATGTTTTTCTTCTCTTTCACCAACTACACAGTCACGTTTCGTGTCGCGTTGTTTGTTTTGCACTTGACCTACTGTTTCCTGCACTCTTTTTTATTAGGTACGCAGCATTTTTTATTTTTTAACCGACTTACAAAAACTAAGGGTTATCAATTCGACACGTATGTACGTAATATTATTGGAACTGCAAAATATTCACATACGATGATCTATTAAGCTTCAAAACAAAAATATAAAATGTATATGTGTATGTATGTATAAAAAAACCGACTTCCAGGCACTAAAAAGTAAAAAATAACTGATTGGTATATATAAGGATAACTAATCAAATATTTTCGAAGTCGGTGCCAGCCGATACAAATCAAAGCACACCCACTTCGAAAATATCTAATTCGATATCTATAGGAAATGAAAACTACCAATCAGTTATTTTTAATGTTTTTTTTTGAAGTCGGTTTTTTAAAGTTTTATTTAAGTGTGCGTGTTCCTGTGTGCGCTTAAATTATGTTTATTTAGTGCATTTTTTACTCGACTGCAAGGAAAGGGTTATGTTTTACGCGCCTATTTTTGTATGTTTGTAATATTATATATTCCCTCATATCTTCTAAACCACTGAGTCCCGCTGGGGGCATTCGTTTGTGTGATGAGCACGAATGTTTGTACTCCAGTCATGGGTGTTTATATTTATAATATGTATGTATTTAAAGTTATATATATGTAGTGTATCAACTATCTGGTATCCATAATACAAGCCTCGTAGCTTACCATGGAACTAGATGGCGCTGTGTGTTAATGTCCCAACATTTATTATATTATTATTATTACTAATGGATTTCTTTAATTAAGGTATCGTTAGATTCGTCTCATTAGTCCAAGTGGTCTTAGATAGGTGACATAAAAAAATATCGGGGCTGCTAGATTACATAATATGAAAAAGAAAAATGAAAATCGACAAACGATGTCAAGTGGGGTATCATTGAATAGGTATTTAAAAACCATTGTTAGGTTTCTGTTATCATTTTTCATTTTAAATAACAGTTTAGGATATATAATGATTTAAAGTTATAATAATAAATATATTATAAAAATAAAAAACCTGACTTCATGAAGTCGGGACATAATTGTACATACGAGTATCTACTCGTATGTACATCTTGCGGCAAGAATGAAACGTGTATGTCTCCGACTGCATAATACTATATTCCATCTTTTTAGTTAGCTTTTATGCAGTCGGGTATTTTTATTTTTGTAATATATTTATTTATTTATAATTATTTATGGCTCGAATATAATTACTAATTACATCATAGTATGCGTAAATGTAATTACTAATAATATAAAATAATTATTATAAAATAATTTTTGTTTAGTTTAGGTAGAAATAATCAGAGAATCAACAAATTGGTTTTGACAAACAATATGATATGATATTTTTGACAAGCAAGATGATAGTACTGTTATATTATCAACTAGCATTGCCCGCGGCTCCGCCCGCGTTTAGATGACCAAAAACCAAATTCTTAGGTTGGTTAGGTTTTCCAAAAAATATTTATTGTACAGATTCGGCTTAGTTACAATTTTATTATATGTATAGATTATATTTAATATTCAGTCCAAAATAATATAGGAAAACGACCCCTAATCCGTAGACGGGTTAACGCGTGCCCGAATGATATAAATCGTTTTGAAAAATATATATAATTAAATATATATATTAAATATATCATATATATTATCAATTACATTTGTAACATTATATTCAATTAAATAATATTGGGAAAATAACCCATATAGTCTAAAATAATATTCGAAAACGACTCACAATCGTAGACAGGGGTTGATGCGCGCGCGCATCACGGGGGCGCGCGCGGCGCGCGGTGACGTGCTCGTGTTCCTTGACGCGCACTGTGAGGCTGGCGCCGATTGGCTGCGGCCACTGCTGCAGCGCGCACGGCACAAGCGCGACGCCGTGCTCACGCCCTTGATAGACGTGGTCGATCAGACCACCTTCCAGCTAGATGCCGCTCAGGAGTTTCAGGTTAAGTTAGGAGATTGATGCGAATTGATATTGCTTTAATAATGTGATAGCTTGAAGGTTTCGGTTCGACTTTTAACACGACGACATTATAGGTGATTTCTTGTTTTATTATTTTATATTATTAATTTACGAAGTCTTCAGGATATTAATTTCCGAATTTTCAAATGCGACTATTGATAGATGTGGTCGATCAGACCATCTTCCAGCATAGTAGTTATCTCAGATGGTGCTCAGTAGTTTCAGGTTAAGTCGGTTAGGTGATGCGTACTAACATGTGCATGATTTTGATATTGTTTTATTAATGTTATAGCTTCAAGGTTGCGGTTCGATTTTTAGGCAAGGCTTAATAATAAAATTATAGCATAATATTAATTTTCGAAGTCTATAGTGACTAAGGATAACATAAACTACTATCTTTCGCAGATCCGATTAATTTGAAATTTGGTGTATACTGTTACTTTGGTGGTATTTCCAAGATATGCTAACCTTGAGCTGATGTTGTAGCATCAAATAACCTGCGAAATGCTCAATTCATCAGAAAGTTACAGCAGATATAGCGTGTGTAGGCTATTTAAGAATACTCTCAATGACAGTTATCTATAAGAATTAGTGTCCGCGAGTAATTTAAATTCTTTAAATGTACCTCCTAATATATTGATGATGAGTGTCGCCGCGTCAGGGAACCAGGGTAAGTAATTAAAATAAATACCCGAACAAAGCGGTCCCTCGACGCGGCAACACTAATCATCAAAATATTAATAGGGACTTTTAATGAAGTTAAAAGGCCAAGAGAGAATGTATATGATCATCAGAAATCTTTCTATAGGTTTTATGTGTATAAAAACAGCAACATTATTCTTAGCAGTTTACAGTTTCAAATCAAATCTGTATGATATACCTACATAATATATATAGACATAACTAAGAGTACATTAAAAAACACATTTCACCTTATCGCTTTATTGTCATAAAACAGAATTTCCATTCATCTATGACGTGTAGTGTGAGAAGTGCTCTAACAATTCTAATAATAACATTAGACGTATGTTCGATGATTATACACCGTGAAATTATTATTATTTAGTATTTTAGATCAAATCAACTAGTCCTGCAAATGGTGTGCTACAGTTCGTCCAAAAATGCATGTGAAAATTATTAACTCAATGTTTTTTTAGTGTGTTTTATAATATATGTATGTAACTGTAGGATCTGAAATGGGATAAAACCTTCGTGGCATTGTTTGTTGTCACCTGCGGCCATTTTAATTTTTAGCCAATTTTCCGGTATACGATAAAAAAGTTATATGTATGGATATGATGGTGCACACTTGGACTAATAAAACATATCAGTATATAATTAAGTGTCCTCTACTCATACATACCAGTTTGATTGTAAGTTGGTCATTCAAAAAAATGATGGAAGTGACCAGCTTCTGTAGGAAAATGTTCGAATTATTTTTGTCAGCTGTATGCTGAGAATACAATTATTTTATTGTGTGAAAAAACCTGCATGTCTGAGAGAAACTAACAAGTTTTCTAAAGATATGTGAAGTCCGCCAACCCGCACTTGACCAGCGTGGTGGATGGACTTGGTCTGACCCCTTCGTATTAAAAAGGAGGCTCGTGACCAGCAGTGGGACGTTAAAAAAAGCTGAATACATTACACACAATAATATAACTTAAGACAGGTCATTAATGAGAGATCGGCAGCCAATGTTTAGATAACTATTAGATAGATTAAAGACTGCACTAATACAGCATCCTTTGCTTCAAGAATGCCGTCATGCTGATAGAATATCGGCGTTATCGGTCAAAATCAATGTAATCGTTAAAATGATCGTCTCGGTGTGGGGTCTAATCGAATGCAAAAACATTTTGTTCTTTCATTAACTGTATACTTTTACTTAATGATCTTTGTCTTCTAAATAAAATTGCCTTTCTTGGGAATGTCTGTTGGTACTTGTACTTCGTAGAGCTTTGATCTGGTAGTTTTTACTTCTAGTATTTGAAAAGTAGTTAGTTTTTAGCATGTGTATAAAGGAATTTTGGTAAGAATTTGGAATTTTATTCTCATTTTGCTAAATTAAGTCTTAACTCTTTAAAATTTCATTTCTTTTATTTTAAAATAACATTTATTTTTTCTAGTTAAATGGCAAAATCTTTCAAATCAAACTAACTTCAATTTCTAGTGTCTTATGATGAAATTAATCTTATAATCAAGTCTCCTTCAGAGTATTTTTTTTAAATATAAAGGTTATCTGTAACATAATGATAACTCGCAGGTAGGAGGCTTCACGTTCATGGGTCATTTTACGTGGATAGATGTCCCTGAGCGAGAGAAGAAAAGACGCGGCTCTGATATTTCACCCACCTGGTAAGTTTTTTCAAGCTTTTATTTAACTTGCCGTGTTAGTATGTTAGTTTGGCTCAAATATTTGTATATATTTTTGTGTCGTACAATAAAATATCCATGAACGAATTAACCACTCTCTAATTCGTTCATGAAAATATCTTATCTATATATAATTATACTAGCGGACCCGACAGACGTTGTCCTGTCTACACGTCTTTAATTTGAAAATTTCAAACTTTTTTTAATAATTTTTTTGATGAAAATTATTATTCAAATTGTGAATCTAAACCATTCCCAGATCCCCTTGAACACACACAAAAAATTTCATCAAAATCGGTCCAGTCGTTTGAGAGAAGTTCAGTGACATACACACTCACAGAAGAATTATATATATAAAGATAACTACTATGTCGATGTTGGGAATATGGGAGTTAAGACTAAGATGTCATCATAAAATTACATATTATTATTAAATTGAATACTATGGCAAAGTCTAGTTAGGCATTAACAAGAAAATTGAATTGAATTGAAAGTCTACTCAAATAATGACAAATTAAACCATTATGTCATGTATTCATAAAATGGCGATCCCGCTTTTCTGTAGACAACTATTCGTCAACAATTTGTGCTTATTTGTTCAAAAGAACAATACATACTTATTGTATTTCACAATAGAGAATTTTTTTTCTCTATTTTTAAAACAAAACATTATTTCTAAGATTTATATACTTAAATAGATAAAATAACTTTTTTCGGCTTTATTATATTAAAATGTGTATTTAATACCAACTACAAATTCTGTACAAATCTTTCGGTAATTTGGTATTTTAGATAAATAAGCACTGGCACGACGGATTGTAGGAGGATATCTTGTCTAACCGCCATGTTTTCAAATGTCTGAATTCTGAAATGTCCCCCGTGATAGGTCTCCAACGATGGCGGGTGGTTTGTTCGCCATCAACCGCGCGTACTACTGGGAGCTGGGCGCCTACGACGAGCAAATGGCGGGCTGGGGCGGGGAGAACCTCGAGATGTCCTTCAGGATATGGCAATGTTATTTCAATTTTATGAATTATATCCACAATGAAATGAACAATATTGTTACTTAATCTTGTAGATATTTTTAATTTGGACTTGGTTGATACGAGGAACTCTATTTGCCGTTTTACATTATTTGAATACGGAGTTGCAATGTTGTTCATTGCAGATGTTAATATTTGTTTTTAACGTTTTGACATAAAAAAAACTACGTACATACGTTGTACAAACCTTTAGTTACTGGTATTATTTCGATTATGGATGTTGCCATTTTGAATTTATAATGCTAGTCACTAACTGCGATATCGCGCACATGGCAAGCGGACGATGATTTAGATAGATGTAATGTCCGACATATATTACTTTTATAAACGAAAGTAATATATGTCGGTCCCTGTTAAAATTTATTTATTTTACAATTTATTTGTATTATTTATATTAATTTATATAAATCAGTTTATGCCTGTTAAGGGAACACATATACAGATTTTCACATTAACGAGTATAATATTAATATGTATTAAGTACACAAAAGAACCATCGAAATCGGTTCACAATAGAATTCCCAAAGTTTGTAATTTATAGAGTTAATTTTTCTGATTTCATGTTTATTATGACTTGCAGGTGGCGGCACACTAGAGACGATCCCGTGCTCCCGCGTGGGCCACGTGTTCCGCAGCTTCCACCCGTACGGGCTGCCCGCACACTCCGACACGCACGGTGAGGCAACACCTTTTTTGTGTTAGGAAATACATTTACACATTCCACCTGCATACATACAGAGGATTATGTGGGATTCACCGGCTAGAAAGCCAATACTACCCACTAAAATCCAACAGAACCTCCCGTCTTAATAGGGCGTCGAGGCAGGTCTGCCGGAACAGACCACACAGCTAAAGGGCTGTTCCCACGGTCGACTCTGCTGTTAGAGAAGTACCAGGAGAAACCCGCATGGACGCTAATAAGTTCACCCACCAGAGTTTCATCACAATCGGATAAATGCTTAAGGAAAGCGTAGAGGAGAAACAGGGTTTTTATCTATATATATTGATAGAATATTGGCCATTGGCATAATATAGAAAAGAAAGTATTCTTAAAAGAGGTTTCTCACCGACTCTTGCAATTCAGACATGTTTTTTTGAACTAGTCTTGTAATCAGCGCTTTTTAACGTCCCACTGCTGGGGGTGGGCCTCCCTTCAATACGAGAGGGAACAAGTCATGTCCACTACGCTAACCAAAAGCGCGACTTCACATATCTTTCGAAAACTTCCTAGTTTTTCTCAGATATTTAGGTTTCTTCCCGATGTTTTCCTTCACCGTAATAAGACAAATTGTAATCATGTTGAACATGATTCGCACATGAGAATATCAGAGGTGCGAGACCCGGGATTTGAACCCGCTTCACTCGATTTCTCAAGCGAGCGCATTACCACTGGGTTACTGCTAGCTTAACTAGTTTTATATTCAATTTAAAATACTTTTTATCCAGTAAGCAGATGGATGAAACACATCAATAATTTGGACCTTAGATAGATATGCTATTTTATTTTAGGTATAAATACAGCTAGAATGGCTGAAGTGTGGATGGACGACTACGCTGAACTGTTTTACCTTCATCGACCGGATTTGAGGGTAGGTATAAGATTTAAAAATTACATTTTTTTTTTAATATAATGTTCTTTTAATGTTTTTGCTCTATTCACAGATACTTTCTGTCTTAAGTAAGATACTCATCTTTTATGAGCTTACTTTAGTCAGTCTAATTAGATTACAATACGAAATACAATTGCAAATTTAAGTTAAATAATCTAATTAGAGTAAAATAAACATAATAAGGTGAGATGTGAGATGTTACGGCGACTACTATAAGGCTCGTTTTCTTTTTTTGTAAATAAAAGCAACGCTCGTATGTAAAAAAGAAAGGAAACAAAATTAATATGGTTGTTTAATTTAATTACTTTATAGAAAAATCCCAAAATCGGTGACGTGACCCACCGCAAGGTGCTGCGCGAGAAGCTCAAGTGCAAGAGCTTCCAGTGGTACCTCGACAACGTGTACCGCGAGAAGTTCGTGCCCGTGCGCGACGTCTACGGGTTCGGCAGGTGTGTGTGTGCATGTGTGTAGATGTAAGGGCATGTGCGTGTGGGTGTGAGTGTGTGTTGTGTGTAACTGAGAGTTGTTATAGTTACTATTTTTTACCTTTTACACACACTGTTTTAACTTATTAAACATCTAAATTATATAAAATCTATACATCTAAAATCTTAAACCAAAAAGCATTTCGGTTTGGGCTCAATAATCACAACTGATTTAAAATTTTAAACGGGCTTCCGAGCTCTGGTGTAGACACTATGTAACTTTGACGTTTAGTATGGAATAAACTAGATACGTATGTAGGTATGATGAGTTTTATATCCCTTGAGAAATTGTTATCTTTCACCCACCCTTTTTAACCCTTTAGAAATAATTTTCGGAATAAAAACTATCCCATGTCCTTTCCAGGGCTTCAATCTATCTCCATATCAAATTTCGTATAAATCGGTTCAGCGGATTAAAAGTGTGAAGAGGTAACAGACAGACAGACAAAGTTACTTTCACATTTATAATATTGGTATGCGTTGTTTGGTGACTTCAGGTTCATGAACCCGTCGTCGGGCGTGTGCCTGGACACTCTGCAGCGTGAGGGGGCGGCCCCGCTAGGCGTCTACGTCTGCCACCGACGCCTCGAGCCCACGCAGCACCTGGCGCTCTCTCGGCGTGGCGAGCTGCGCGACGAGGAGCGTTGCGCCGAGGTGCAGTACGCGCGGTGAGTGCACCGTCACCGTGCCAGGCTGTACCAGCCCGTACCAAGTGGTGCCAGCCTGTACTTGTCTGTGCCTGCCAGTATCAGCCTGTGCCAGTTTGTACTGAGCGATATTGGTCAGTGGAAAAAGCGTTTGAGCACACCACTTGTACTACGAGTGGTTATGTAGGAATTTAGACAACTAATGAGACCTTCAGCGTCTTAATGGGATGCCCACGAAGCCCCAAAAGTTTATAAAAATGGCAAAAGTAAAAACAAAACAAAAACAATGTGAAAGTTAAGACTTACATATGACAAGTATGATAAATATCATGTTGTTATAATAAAAGTTAACTAAAGCAATACAAAAATTCCTAATAAACTAATTACAGGAACACGGGGGAGGATGGCGACGAGCCCGGGCGGAGAGTGCTCATGGCGATGTGTCACGGCCGACAGCGCGGACAGGTGAAGTATTTGAGTGTTTGTTCGTATGCGAGAGAGAGAGATCGAGCGAGCGTGATATTCGTTGTCTCTTTCTAAACATGTTATTGACATATCGATAAGCTCAGACTAAAGAATCATTTAGACGGAGACCGCCAAAATAAATATCTAAGTCGAAAATAGTAGCGTAATTTACCGTTTATGTTTGTAACCGACATTTTGCTAAACATTTAATATAGAATTTTTGAGAATAAAATATTAATTATAATAAAAATAATAATACTGTTCTTTTGTATTTTGTAAGCATTTGTTTATGAATTAGTGTATGGCAAAATCGAAAATAGTAACATGTAAATTATGCAACTAATTTTGATCTAATTTCGAACATTTATGTTGGCGGACTCTGTCTATATAATCTTTTATATATTATAGTTAAATCCTTTTATTATAGCTATTTATCAACATTTATTTAATTATCACTCAGTATACAAATTGTCATTTGTATACTGTTGTAAAACATTGTTGGCTTCATGTTTAGTTCTATGACACTGTCTATATTATTTCTTAGTCATATTATTACTGCATACATAGTTATTAAAAAAAATCCTTCTTCTGCGTAAGTTGGATAAAATAAAAGAGAATAATAACTAGATTGTTACTAATTGAAGTAAAACTAGTCTGATATTTAAGTTTTATGTATCTAGAAATGGCGGTACCTGCCGACCAAGCAGCTCCAGCACGTAGACAGCGCCCTCTGTCTACAGGCGGTGTCCTCAGGCGAGGACGTGCGTGCGGCCCCGTGCCTGCGCGCGCCCGCCCACTCCCAGCAGTGGGAGATCGACTATAGCGAGATGAACGGGTTCCGGATCACTGGTGAGTGCTGCTGGAATTATAATGTCCTCCTGATCGATCTCACTGAGAGCAGCCAACTGCAGGAGATATTGTAGCGCAGACACAACGTGCACTCTCTGTTCCTGTCACTCTCATACTCCGGTGGGATGGTACTTTGACAGGGCCGGTGAGAGTTAAGGCGCAGAATCGACGCGACACGTCACACGTGCTCTTCGAGGCACAAGGAAGACACAACACCGACTTTCCAATTAAGAATGTCTTAACAGAAACACTCTGTAATTAAAATTGACCCGACCCGGCAGTCGAACCTAGGAGCTTTTTTGTTCTTTTTTTTATGTTAGGAAATGCATTTAGGCATACCACCAGGGATATGCCTAGATGCATTTCCCAACATAAGATCACTTTTAATACAAAAAAATATATGTATATTTGCAGACGACGCAGAGCCGAGTGAGCAAGAATTAAAACTTCGTAAACTGAGAGGACAACGGTGAGATATTGTTAACTTTACAATCAAATTGTGTGTTTAATTAATCATTTCTCTTGTTTAATGGCAAAGCGTGCCAGTTGAGCACAGACTACATCGCCAATGTCACGTAGTATAGAGAAGTATCTTCTATCTTGAACTAACACGTAAAACTTTTGTTTCGGACGACCAGAACCAGGGTATGTCTAGTACCCGGAGGTCGACCTGGGACAATCTCCCAGACGTTCTTGGCGTACACGGCAGTATGTCCGTTCGCTGGTAATGTACGCCACCACGCACCCCTGAATGCGTAGCTTGGGTCCCGATCCACTAGGGTTTCTTCGTTGACAGGAGACTATACTTAGAGGCGATGAAATAAAAACACAATTTTTTCCTTTTTTCTCTCTTGGTTTCGGTTCTTCCTTTTCCTTTTAGTTGTTGCCTCTTCGGTGGCTGTCTTGCGACTGACTCGAATCGAGAAATGGCTCGCCTTTTATTTGGCCCGTTAATACCTTACAGAGAGCCGCGTACTTTGAGCTCATTTTTCGAATAAAATTTCCCTAAACCGAAACCTTGAGAGTCCTTTTATTTTATGTTTTCAGTAAAACACCTTACACATATTTATTTATTTACATGCCTTACATACTATTATACAATATTAAAACATAATATTCAATATATAATAATTAATTAAAAAAGTCTTAAAACAAAAATATCTAAATTTCTAGGTTGCTACATTTTTACTATACATTTTCCCTTATAACTTTTGAACGGATAGTCCTATCGACCTAATTCTTGTTTTATTATAAGTTTTATAATAAAATCTATTATTTAAAACATAAACTATTATGCTATTGCAAGAAACAAAAAATCTCATTTTCAAGTTACGTAATTATATGCTAACATTTTACTTACGTACCTATTCCTTTCAAATTAATGTTAAATAGTCTTATATGATTCAAATAAGCAAAAAATACTCTAAACTAACCTTATTACACTAATTAGAACTTATTTTAACATAATAAATCTAATAAGAATGAGATTTCATATTTACAACAATTATTCATAATACGCTAAAATGACATTGTCCCTATATTAATACACACGTTACTCGAAGATAAGTTTTCCGTCGCCGACATTCTCCCCCTCGTGCTTTGCACCAACTCCTGGACTCGGCGACGCTCCCGGCACCAACAGCACCACTCTCGAACTGGGCCTCCGTAGAACACCTCCTCTGGTCTCGACGTCGACGACTCTGGTCCGCCCGTCTGGTCCAGGATACACATGCAGGATTCTTCCGCGTGGCCAGATGCATCTTGGTAGGCTGTGATCGACGATCAGTACGATGTCTCCGACTTGCAAATCTGTGGCGCTGACTCTTCCTTTGGTCTTCCTTGGTAGTAGAGTGGGCAAATACTCTCTCAGCCAACGTTGCCAGAAGTGATCGGCAAGTCGCTGCGTAGCCTTCCAGGTGTGTCTGCCCACAAGCTCGTTGTCCTCGAAGCTGCCGATTCTTGCTGCGCCACATGATCGCCCGATGAGAAAGTGGTTCGGTGTAAGTGCTTCTTCTTCAGGGTTCTCGGAGAGGTGGGTGAGGGGCCGAGAGTTGACTATGTGCTCGGCCTCTAACAGGAGGGTATGAAGTACCTCCTCTCGTGGTTGCCTTTCGTTGAGCGTGGCGTCCAGTGCGGTTTTAATGGATCGCACCAGACGCTCCCATGCACCTCCCATGTTTGGTGCACCAGGAGGTATGAACTTCCACTGCACACCGATCTTCTCCGCTTCCGAGATAAGGTCTTCTTGCTTCATGGTGTCTAGTGCTTCTTTGAGTTCTTTGTTGGCGCCAACGAAGTTAGTGCCATTGTCGGTGTAGATTATCTTTGGCATTCCCCTTCTCGCGGCGAATCGTCGTAGTGCCATGATCATGCTGTCAGTGGAGAGTGAAGGAGTGAGCTCAATGTGTACAGCTCGTGTTGTTAAGCATGTGAATAAAGCACCCCATCTCTTCTCATGGCGTCTTGCTACGGTGATCGTCATAGGGCCGAAGTAATCTATTCCCGTGCACGTAAATGGAGGGTTTCCGTGCATCAGCCTCTCAGCAGGTAAGTTGCCCACTGGTAGTTCTTGAGGTCTTGCCTTTCTTGTTTTGCACCACTGGCATTGATGTTGAATGGTCTTGATCGCTGACCTCAGTCCTAGCACCCAGAAGCGTTGTCTTACTTCGTTCATTACGGTCGCGTGATTCCCGTGATTGAAGCGGCAGTGAAATTCTTCTATGATGAGAAGTGTTGTCTTGTCCTTGCTGTCGAGTACGATGGGTCGTTTGTAGTCTCTGGTAACCCCTCGTATCGCGTCGATTCTTCCTTTCAGTCGCAGGAGACCTTCTTCTAGCACTACGTCGAGCCTTTTCAACTTGCTGCTGCCCTCTAATTGTTTTCCTTGCTGTAGGCACCTGATGTCCTCTTTGAAGCATTTCTCTTGACTTCTTCTTAACAACAGCGTTTCAGCTTGCTCTAGTAGACTTGTTTCCAATGGTATGTATTTCCTTTCTGACGTTTTTGAAGACAGATGTCGCTTCTCAACAATTTTCTTATTCCTTTTTGTAGTTTTCCAGGTAGGATCTTCTTTGCTGGCGTGGACCTTTTCAATGGTATGTATTTCCTTTCTGACGTTTTTGAAGACAGATGTCGCTTCTCAACAATTTTCTTATTCCTTTTTGTAGTTTTCCAGGTAGGATCTTCTTTGCTGGCGTGGACCTTTTCCTTTCTTCTGCAGAGTTGTATGAACTGCAGTACTCTTGCTGTAGCTCGCCAAAGTCTTTTCCACGACGAGAACTTTTCGGGATCTGGTGATGGATAGGAGCTGCCTGCAGTCGCTACGATGTCCGCTGCCTTTTCTTCGCCAGTGGTTTCTTTCTTGAATGTTCTTGCCGCAGGCCAGTGAACTTCATCTCTTCTTAGAAACCCTGGTCCGGTGTACCATCGGTGTTGGCAGTCGAAGTGTTCTGGTACGTCACGTGTTGCATCATCTGCAGGGTTCTGCGCCGTCGGTACCCATCTCCAGTCCTGTGGTTTTGTGAGATCTTCTATCTCCGCCAAGCGATGAGCCACGAATGTCTTGAAGGTTCTCGGGTCCGTCTTGATCCATGATAGCACGATACTGGAGTCTGTCCAAAACGTCTTCTTTTCTATTTTCAGATCCATTTCTTCCTCGACCGAGTGTGCCAATCTGCTTCCTAGGAGGGCCGCTTGCAGCTCGAGTCTCGGGATTGACACCGGCTTCAACGGAGCGACTCTTACTTTTGCTGCTACTAAGCTGACGTCATAAGTCCCATTTTGATTTTCAGTTCTCCAATATACCGTAGCTGCATACGCCATTTCGCTTGCATCCGTGAACGTGTGCAGCTCCCCCTCGGTGCGACGTGGTGCCAGACATCTCGGGATCTGAAGGTCTTGGAGCAGCTTCATCTTCTCCAGGTAAGTCTTCCATGACTCGTACTCCTTTTCTTCTATCTCTTCATCCCTACCGACGCCACTTCGCCATATGTTCTGGAGCAGCCTTTTGCCTTGGATGAGAATTGGTGATGCTAGCCCTAGTGGATCGAAGGTCGACATCACGGCGCTGGTGACTTCTCTCTTCGTAGGTACCTTGAGTCCTTGTGCCACTTCATCTGGCGTGTTCCGAAGGTTCACCCTAAAGCCTATGGAGTCCCTTTCTGTAAACCAGCGTAGTCCCAGTGTCTTCTCTTCCTTCTCACCAAGGTCCACCTCTGTCTTCTCAACTGACTCAGTCTTCACGTCTTGCAGCAGGTCGGAGTGGTTTGACGCCCATCCTCGGAGTTCGAAGCCCGCCTTTTTGTGAATGAAGTCCACCTGCGCTGTAATTCTCTTGAAGTCCTCTTCTGAATGGAAGCTGTGCAGGTAGTCATCCATGTAATGGTTCAGCTCGATTGCCTTTGCTGCCTCTGGGTACTGCTTCTTGTAGTCCGCCGCGTTCCGGTTCTTCACGTAGATCGCTGTGCTAGGAGATGATGTCGCGCCGAAGATGACTGATGTCATTCTGTACTCCTTCGGTGCTACGTCACGACGATCCCCTCGCCACAGGAACTTCAAGCTGTTTCTATCTTCTGGCCGGATGCGAACTTGCAGGAACATTTCCTTTATGTCGGCTGCCACTGCAAACGGGCCTTGCCGGAACCTCAGTAATACCCCGAAGAGCGATTGCAGTAGGTCTGGTCCCGGTAGTAAAGCGTCGTTGAGGCTTCTCCCTTTAGACTTGGCTGCAGCGTCGAAGACGATCCTTATTTTCTTCTTCAATGGATGTACCACGGAGAAATGAGGGAGGTACCATGTCTTCTTTGAATCTTCTTGTCCACCAGGTGCTTCTTCTGCATACTTGCTGTCGATTAGATGCTGGATCTGCTTATTGTATTCTGCCTTCAGCTGAGGGTCTTTGTCTATCTTCTTTTCAATGTTGAACAATCGGTTCTTGGCAGACGTGTAGCTTTCAGGCATCTGTTCATCTTCATTTTTCCATAGAAGTCCAGCTTCAAATCGACCATCTTCTAGTCTTCTGCAGGTCTTCTCTAGGATGGTGAGTGCTCTTCCTTCTGAATCCGTAGTGGGTCTTCTTGGTAGTACTCCAAGTGCTTCGATTGCGAAGTGATCCTTGATGGCTTGATGCATCTCTTCTTCTGGCGTGCTGACATGTAGACACGTGTTTAAGAAGTGCACCACTTTCGCGCCTCCAGTGTCTGACCCGTGGAGCACCCATCCAAGTCCTGTTCTTGAAGCGACTGGTTGTCCTGGTTTCCCTCTTCTTACTTCTTGAGTCACGATTAGCTCCCAGTTGTCTTGACCGATGAGCAGCTGTGGTGACTCCCCCTTATAATATAGAGAGTCAGCAATCTTCTTCAAGTGTTGACACTCTTCTATCCTTTTCTTTTCTAGGAACTGCGGTGCAAGCTTCAACTCGTCGATGGTCCGGACTCTTCTCAAGGTCTTCTTGGTCTTCTGATGAATCCCCTTCACCGTAAGGTCCAGCATCTGAGAGTCTTCCTTCCTTATCAGCCTGCCTCCAACAGTCTCGATGACCAGTTCCTCCTTTCTTCCTTGAGCGCCGATTTCTTCTGCTACCTTCTGGTCTAGCAGCGACACTGTTGACCCTTCATCCATGAGGGCCAATATCTTCTTTGATCCTTTTGACCCGAAGATTTCTATCGGAATTATCTTCAGGTATGCCCTTGCGTTGTTGACCGCATTCACCGATGCCATGATGCTCGCCACTTCTTGTGGTTTGTTCTTCTGTTCTTCCGAGGAACTTTTCTCTGTCTCGACGTGCAGCAGATGATGATGCCACCTCTTGCATTCCTTGCACGACGGCTTCTTGCGGCTCTCCTTCCGATGTGTCCCTTGTAAACACTTGAAGCAAACGCGGCTTTTCTTCACTATTGCCCATCGATCTTGCACAGACGCCTTCAGGAACTTCTGACACCCGACGAGGAAGTGTTCACCCTCACACATGGGGCAAGTCTTCTCTGATCTTGAAACCTTTTCTTTGAAGTCCTTTTCCTTAGTTGAATGCGTTGCTTGTCGATGAGTCCGTCTGAACCCGCTCTTCTCTTCTGTTGATGCATAGGCTCCACACTTGTCTGCTTCTCTGTTCAGGAACTTGGACACCAGTGTTAGGTCGGAGAACTCGCCTTCTTCTGTTGTTTCAATGAAGTCGTACCATCGGAACTTGAGGATCGTAGGCATCTTCTCAATAATTTGTTTCACCATCTCAGGTGAATGCAGGTACTGTGGTTTCTTCAATCCTTTTATTGCCGCTACGCTGTTGCTGATCTGGCTCGCGAAGAGGCATATGTCCCTTGGGTTTTCAGAAATCTTCGGCAACGTTTTGACCTTGTCCAACTCTGCCAGCACCAGTGCATCTGGTCTTCCATATCTTCTTCTGAGGGCTTGAATCACTTCCATCGGAGAGGCTTCGGAGTACAGCAGACTCTTGATAGCTTCTCTTGCGTTGCCCTTCAGTGCTCTTCTTAGCCGAGCCATATTCTGGACGTTGTTGAACATCGGTGCTGTATCTTCATAGACAACCTTGAAGGCCATCCACTCGCTGCTGTTGCCGTCGAAGTAGGGTAACTCGTGAATGTAGGTTGGCTGTCCTGCTGGTCCTCGCGTGGTAAGAGCTTCCTTCAATGCTGCCGTCAGTGCTTGAATTTCAATCGTAGCTCCTCTCGTTGAGGAGTTCTCTTCAGGCTTCATCTTCTGTGGCTCTTCCAAGGGGTGTGGACCTCGCATCTCTGGTTGAACTTTGTTGCCATCCTCCAGCACAGACGTCTCGATCCAGTTCTGCACCTGTGCTGTTCTGTCTTCCAGGTCTTCATCCACGGAGTCCTCTTCTTCACACTGTGCCATCTCCAATCTGACACGGGCTAGCTTAGTTTCAGCCTGTGCTTGCTTCAACTCCAGGCGTGCCAACTCTTCCTTTGCTTCTAGCTCGCGTCTTCTGGCCGAGGAACTCGTGGTCTTCGTGGACCTGGCGCGACGACTGACCCCCATCGGTTTCAGGGTCTTGGAGGAGCCTTGAACATCCTTTCCAGGTACATCTTCTTGGCTCTTCCTGGTCATCCTCTGTGCAGCATCTTTTTTGTTGCCTTCCATAGACGCCGCCGTAGTTGCAGTCGTAACCGTAGTCTCCGTCACTGTGGTGCCCTCCGTGGTCGTGGTACCCGAAGAAGTGTTCGATGTAGTTGCAGTTCCCGATGACGCCGACGCTGACGTGACCCCTTCTGATCCCGACGTTCCATCTGTCGCGTCCCTATCTGAAGGACGGGACCCGGGACGTGAAGGGGCATCCTTCTGCGACCTGGTTACCGGCATCTTGAACGCAATCTTCTGTTTCTTCTGAACTTCTTCTAGCAGGGATCCGGCTCGAAGGACCAACTGTTTCGGACGACCAGAACCAGGGTATGTCTAGTACCCGGAGGTCGACCTGGGACAATCTCCCAGACGTTCTTGGCGTACACGGCAGTATGTCCGTTCGCTGGTAATGTACGCCACCACGCACCCCTGAATGCGTAGCTTGGGTCCCGATCCACTAGGGTTTCTTCGTTGACAGGAGACTATACTTAGAGGCGATGAAATAAAAACACAATTTTTTCCTTTTTTCTCTCTTGGTTTCGGTTCTTCCTTTTCCTTTTAGTTGTTGCCTCTTCGGTGGCTGTCTTGCGACTGACTCGAATCGAGAAATGGCTCGCCTTTTATTTGGCCCGTTAATACCTTACAGAGAGCCGCGTACTTTGAGCTCATTTTTCGAATAAAATTTCCCTAAACCGAAACCTTGAGAGTCCTTTTATTTTATGTTTTCAGTAAAACACCTTACACATATTTATTTATTTACATGCCTTACATACTATTATACAATATTAAAACATAATATTCAATATATAATAATTAATTAAAAAAGTCTTAAAACAAAAATATCTAAATTTCTAGGTTGCTACATTTTTACTATACATTTTCCCTTATAACTTTTGAACGGATAGTCCTATCGACCTAATTCTTGTTTTATTATAAGTTTTATAATAAAATCTATTATTTAAAACATAAACTATTATGCTATTGCAAGAAACAAAAAATCTCATTTTCAAGTTACGTAATTATATGCTAACATTTTACTTACGTACCTATTCCTTTCAAATTAATGTTAAATAGTCTTATATGATTCAAATAAGCAAAAAATACTCTAAACTAACCTTATTACACTAATTAGAACTTATTTTAACATAATAAATCTAATAAGAATGAGATTTCATATTTACAACAATTATTCATAATACGCTAAAATGACATTGTCCCTATATTAATACACACGTTACTCGAAGATAAGTTTTCCGTCGCCGACAACTTTAACTCTATAGGATAAGAAGTGGTTTTAATTCCGCTTGCAAGATTTGGCCCATACAAGATGTTCGTTTTCAAATTTATCATGGCTTGGCTTGGTTCGCTCCAAATGAGACATCTACTCGGCAGTCAAAAGATTTTCTTCTTTTTAGCGCATTACAATAAACGCTCATTTTCTTAAATATTTTTTTACTGATTGTTTTATTAATATTAATGTATTTCCAGCCGCATCTCCCGATCTCTCCTCGATTATTCCGAGCCGAATTCCACGCGCCGACACAAACCCAAACATAAACGCAAAAGCAAGAAAAATAAAAACAACAAAAACAAACACAAAAGAAACAAAAAGAACAAGTTCGTGTTGAAACTTCTCCGCAACAACAGTCATGTGGAGGAACACCTCGAAGTGGACGTGTATTGCAAGCACAGGAGGCTCTATCCGAACAATAGTTTCGTGAGGGATCTCGTGGCCATTTTAAATGCGAAGGATATTAAGGTACTTTACTAAATACTTTCGTAGATTTACGCGAATATTTGACATTTTAAATAAAACACTATTTTCTTTTTTTTTCGGATTTATGTTGATGGTCGAGGGAGAGGCGTTTAAAACGTTGGGAACCAATAAACAATAAAACCGCAAAAAATCTGAAAAGATTACTACGTTTTAATGTTTTTAAACGGAACTCTAATTCCTTTTATAAAATAAAAGTAGATTTATAAAACGAAAGAAGTGCTTTTTAATTTTGTCATCCGAAAAGCAATGAACAAAAGAGATTTAAGAAAAGCGCACATTTCGAATTATGCGCTTTTTGGAGGTCAGTTTCGACACTCTAATTGCGTATTTTGAGTTTGTGTATATCAAAATATATTCAAACTTATATTTTTAGGTGATCAACAACGGGCGTATCTTCCAGCACAACAAAGTGAGAGATCTGATAAAACGCGAGCACCCATCCACTACGACGGCCGCGCTCTCCGCCACTCCACCTGATATTGAGGTAGAACTTGTTAGTAAAATTTTTTCTATTAGGGTTCCGTACTGACAAAAGCAAAAAAGGAATCCTTAAAATTTCTACTAATATCTACTATAAGATTGCATACGAACTATTCCTTAGCACTTATGCTTGCCTGGTATTTGTGACGACGTGTCTGTCGGTAAGTGTCCGTGTGCTGTCGGTAAGTGACAAAAAATTTAAAGGGTGTATGAAAGTGTACACGCGCAAGAAGTAAAACTTCTGTAGGTTAACGGGACTCTAAAAAAACCTGTGTGTGTATTTATGTACGCACGTAAGAAGTTATACTTCTTTGGCGTAACAGAACAAAAATATATAAAGATATCATCCCGTATGTCACAACTCTCTGTTTGTAAAAGGAATGATAAATCTTAATAAAAATAACGACTATATAATAAGCGACTTTGCCACTTGTTTCCGTTTCGCTCTCGCTCGCCGAGTGTGACTAGTGAAGAGCGATAAGGGACTTTAATCCGAAAAATAACCAACTATTTTTTTTAAAGCCAAAGTCTCCAAAAAAACGAAAACACAAAAAGCACGACGTGCATCCTGTAGCTGCGACTAATGACGTGGAAGTTGCCGAAATGGCCGACATAGATGCTGAAATGGCCGACAAGGCCGACACAGCTGATATGGCCGACAAGACTTTTGAAAAGAGCGTGGTGAACCCGAAAAACAAGATCATTATTGAAGAATTCGTAGAAATAACAACTAAAGCGACGACTAAGGTGAGGAATAAAAATGTAATTTAAAATAATTGAGTAGCATTAATATCAAGTTTCAAGTAATTCTGATCATAAATAATTTTTTGGGTTGAATTATAACGTGTATTCCCGTGGGAATGAGATAATTCCCCGAAGTAATTAGTAGCCTATGTCACTTTCCAGTCCACCAACTATCTTCACTCTGTTTCGACGTGAAAGATGGACAAACACTCTTTCGCATTTATGATATTAGTATGGATACATAAAAACTTTAAAAAAAAACGAACTCCAGGCACTAAAAAGTAAAAAATAACTGAACGGGTGTTTTCATTTACTATAGATACCTAATTCTCTAAGTCTATTCTCTAAGTCGGTGCCAGCCGACAATGGTTTAAAATATGAATATCTAATAGGTAAATACAAAAAAACGAGGTATGAACCCTAATTATAGGTAAAATATTATACGTCAATTAGTGATGTACTTATCATATCGACATAGATTTGCTTTCCTTTGCGTCGGTTTCGATTAAGCCATTTATGTTAGTATGCTGGAAAATATATAAAAACTAATTTACTAAGAAACTCACTTTTATTAGTAATACAAAAAATCATGCTTTTAAATTCAATTCTAACGTATCGAGCTTCTCAAATGAAACCAAATTCAAAATATTAGCTAGGAGTCGTTGAAGAGTTCCACTAACCATCTTCAGGCCTTACTGTTAGATCAGCTCCAAGATACCAAATCACTATACTATCATCGGAATTACAAACACTTGTAAAGTTTCAGATCTATGTGATAGAAGTAGGTAAAAAAAGGCTAATTAAATGTGTTAAACACTCTTGAAATTTCATGGTTTTCCTGATTTTCTCGAGAGCAATATACTCTGTCAAAGAAAATTTTAAGTGACTACCTCGGGACCTTACGGTTAAAAATCCTCTGTCCTGACTGAGTCATCAACGCACAGTCTAAACCACGGGAGTTAATAACTTGAAATTTTGGCAGTTGATGCATGTAAACATCCACTAAGAAAGGATTTTTGGAAATACTAGGTATTTAGCTTTAATATTAAAATAAAACACATGTATGTACTGTGTATATTTGTTTCATATAGTTTTTGAAATTCATCCCTTAAAGATGTAAAAGAAGGTGGTAATGTTTATATAAAACTCATATTAGCCGAGTTACTTGATTCTAAAGTCATAAATATTGTATGCGAGTTCTATTATTGTACTGTCTTCCTAACTTTGGAAAGATGGAGTGGAAAAAAATTTACAAAAAATAGCGGTAGTGGAGCGTGATAAATACTTTAATAAGAAAATTAATTTACAGAATATATCTATGTACGTTAAAATATATCTTTTAAGATAGTGGATAATCGCTAAAATTAAATTTGTTTTCCACAATATCTTTAAGTAATAATATGAAACACGAACTAGTTTTTGCAAATAATCAAGTAAATAGATATTGCGAAAGCGTAAAAAAAAAAATTTTAGTGTGTAAATATGTGAGTAAACACAACATGATATTCGACGGAACGGAACCCTCGATGCGCGAGTCAAAATCATAGACAACACGTTTAATAAAAATGATTACAGCCATCTAGTTATAACATAAAGGCAAAGTATTTTTTTTTTGTAGTTTGAACGCGAGCAAAGCCGCGCGTTCTGCTAGTTATGTATGTATTTATTGATTTATTTATGAATTATGTTTACAGCGGCCATTGAAAAAGAAGCACAAGCGTGTCCGCCCCGCCGCACCCGCCACCATTGTGTAAGATACATTAAATATTATTTATTTATATATTTACTAGCATTGCCCGCGGCTCCGCCCGCGTTCAGATGACCAAAAACTAAATTCTTAGGTGTTACATATTAGTATACTCTTACATTGCAGTTTTTGTATTTTTCCTCAGAAATAAGATATTTTCCCGCGGTAAAAAGTATCCTAGGATCGCGCGCTACATCGCCCGGTTTATATAGCTTGAGCAGGCGGTCGAGCGATGCGGGGCAGAGGGGATGGACTCGCCGTAGGCAACTCAATGCTCGCCAAGCATTAAAAATGTTTCGCTACTAATTACTTCTAACAACGATATCTCAAAAACTATTCATCTGATTGATTTAGTGTAAAGAGCAATTTTAATCTGCATTAAATGACTAAGCTAACTAAAATATTCATTTGGATAAGGATTAATACCGAACTAAAGAAAATAACTTTGAAAATAACGTAATGTTTTTAATTAAAAATGTTAACATAAAAGTGGTTATTGTAAGTCAACCGTAAGAGATAGAGATATGCTATCGCGGACTTTTTTGTAGCATTTTTATAGATTTTGAATTCTCTAGTACATTACTTAACTGTATCTTTGCTAGTTTACGCGGCGTTCGCGTGGAAAGTTCCCATTTGGCGAGATTTTTTGCGACCTCTTCAACATTTGTCGCCGTATTTCAGCTAATTTACATAAAAGCATAATAAATTATATACCTAAACCTTCCTCAAGAATTACTCTTTCTATTGTTGAAAACCGTATAAAAATCCGTTCAGTAGTTTTCGAGTTTATCGCGTACAGACAGACAGGAGGACAGACAGGAGGACAGAAAGACGCGGCCGGGGGACTTATTTTTATAATAAGTATAGATTATTAGATATACGTATTTTAACCTTTCCCCTGTCCCATGAGTCATATATGAACATTTTGATTGTTTAATTATTGTGTCTATTTTGCGGACAGTTAATTTGTTAAGTACTAAGTATTAATCTCAGACTAAAAAAAAGTATATAGACGGAGTCCGCCAAAATAAATGTCAAAGTCAAAAATTTTGTTTATGCTACTGTTCTACATTTTGCCATACAGATTGTTTACTTTCTTTACAGAATAAGGTAAATTTTATGTATTAATTAATGAAGTTAATATATTTTTTTGGATAATAAAATATGAATGATAAAAATATCTGTTAAGTATTAGTTCTCTTTAATTAGCTTTCTTTAATTAGCTATTTTTTATTATATCGTATTTTTTAATAGTCTCGTCTTCATATAAAGGCATGTTTACTAAAGTAGTGCGTCTCGCTCACTCAGGTGCTAATTATTATTGTACACTACCTTTCTCTGACATAAATGATCAATCAATCAAAAGCCGCCAAAAATTGATGACGCCATTTTTGCTTTATTAGATTTACGCGAGTATTTAACATTTTAAATGAAACTATTTTTTCGCAGATTTATTTTGGTTGTTAGTTCCTAACGCGACGTTTCGTATATACTTTATAGCAACCATGATAACAGGCGAGACGTCTTGTTTTCGTGGTTCTCAGACGCCATTTTGAATGCGATGAAAAACTGTACTATGTCCCTTTTAAATCTACACTAATATTATAAAGAGACAGAGTTTCTTTGTTTGTTAGAACGCATTAAACTCAGGAACTACTAATCTGAATTTAAAAAATCTTTTTGCATTATATAGCCCGTTTATTGAGGAAGGCTATAGTCTATATATCATCATGCTACTACCCAAGGGAGCAGTAATCATAAATGTCAACAAATCGTGCGGACTTCCATACATTATTGTAAATATAATAATAATGGTTTTATCGGAATTTTGAACGCGGGCGAAGCCGCGGGTATTGCTAGTTATAAATAACAATTGCCCTCAATTTTCTCTTAATGTAGTAATCTCGTATATTTTAATTTTCATGTGCAATAAATTATATATAACAATGTAAGTATTGCAGGGGTTTAGCATTGTATTTCTTTCTCAATAAACAGTTAATAGACTCTGTCTATATATAACGGTATAGTAAATAAAAGCGTTAACTCAAAAGCGTTACGTTTTACCTTATTGTAAATCCAATATGGCGGACTTCCAAAGGTGGCGGACTGTTTTTCTATGCACCCCCATGATATGGATATCAAATGAAAAGGTTTTCTGAGAAGAATACGATAAAAAATATGATTTTTATTTTTTTATAATATAATTAAATGTAGCGACTTAACTTACCGGTGCGATTATAACATCAGGGAAAGTCTTGTCAAAATCGGTCCAGCCGTTTCGGAGATTAGCCGAAACAAACAGACAGAAAGGCAGACAAAATTATAAAAAATGGTTTTTCTTGAGTACCGTATATATTTATATGCTAAATGCATACAAAGCATGCAGTATAAATAAGGCTGTTATTTTGACATCACAAAGAGACACTTCAATTTTACTTATTTTTATAGATATGGTACCATGCAACTGATGTGTGATGTGATGATGAAGCCGGAAACTTGTTTTTTTTTATATATTAAATGTTTTCAGCCCTGACTGGGAGAAATCTACTCCAAGGGACGATGCGTCACTCGAAGACTCCCAATTGCTCGCGGCGGAAGAGGGGAAGAGCAGGGAGACATGGCCTTTGGGTATACATTATATGATCATTATATTTGTTAAACTAGCGACTTACCCTCACTTCGCTTGCATTCGTCACTAAGTACATTTAAATTTTTTTGAGCGGAGCCCTAATCCTTTTTCTTTAGAAATTTATAAAATATTTTAATAAAAGTAGCCTAAGTTACTCCCTATAACATCAGCTATCTTCCAGTGAAATTCCTGCCGAAATCAGTCCAGCCGGTTCAGAGATTATCCGGAACAAACAGACACTTCAATTTTATTTATCTGTATAGATTTGACCGATTTAAAAATTGACTAGGTACTTGATTTGTTTGTGTTTTTTAGTATTTTTATATAGAATAACGGTGTGGGATTGTATACCTATATACTTGTAAGTGTCGTTTAAGATGTGTCGATTAGGTTGCTCCTGCCTAGTGCCTACAGTACTCACACGTTGACTCTCTCATGAGTATAAAATTAGATAGATTTTCATCCCGACCATATATGAGTACGTTTCCAAACAATTTAAATTCAACAAGTTCTCTAAATAAAAGTAAATATTTTTTACTAACAAACGACAATGTTTTCAGTGAAGCCCTACGTTCTCCCGCGCGCCCCTGCTCGCCGCGGCTCTGCGCGAGAACAACAGGTCAGTACTCAGTACACGCTACACACTGGTGTACCACAGCACTGATCTATACAATGTAATAAAGATATCTATAATGACCAGCGGTTCCCAAGTGGGTGGTCCGCGGGACCATAGGGTTTCGTGGAAGGCTTATTGGGTTTTCGAGTTCCGTCCGAGAGTTAAATAAAACGTTGTTAGACAATAAGCCTAATTTTTGTTCTACTATAAATAATTATGTGAATATTTTTCATTTATGCTTTGTTTTTTCAAGTCAAACAAGGAAAATATTCTAACTACAACACAATTAGTTATTAACAAAATGATATCGGTCACGGTTGTCAGCCTTACCGAGACTAGCTAACTGTGCAGGAGACATTATAGTATAGTGCGTGTGAGAGAGAGCACACAATGTGCTATCTCTATCCCCCTCACTCTTACTCAACTCCCAAAATACTATTAAAAAAATTATATAAAAATCCAGTAACTTTTTTGAACCAATCCGGGGGTCGAACTCAAGATATCATTTAGCGTATATATAACCCCAGTTAGGTCTATTTATGTACTTACCTTTACCTAAATCCGTCCAACCGTTTCAACTTTCGAATTGATATTAGTAAAACAATAATGGGAAGGCGATTGAACACATGTTCTTCCAGCTTATTTATAATTCAATATTATTAATCAATATTATAAAGAGAACAAATTTGTTTTTATGTATGTTTATTTGTAATGGATTAACTAAAGGTCCGCTGAATCTATTTAAATGAATTTTGGTATGAAATTATTTTGAGACCCTAAGATTACTTTTCATCCCGGAAATCATCCTTTAAAGAGGTGACAAGGGCGATGAAAGTTTGTATGGGTATCACACTTAGACACACACAAACGTTCCCATTTTCAATATTAGTACAATATTCGGTAGACAAATGAAGCGAGCCCGACGCCGGTGAAGTTGGTTATGAGGAGCAACCTCACCTTCGACTTCGGCGATGAGTTCTTCAAGTGGCAGCGTGCGGCCGGTGGGGGGGCCGGCTTGGATCTCGCGTGAGTGGGGGGTGTTTTGTTGTTTATAATAATAATAAAGTTTTATTTATAAACATATTGAATAGCCACTAGCATTTTAACATAATAATTTTGTACAGTTTAATTTCAATCGGCTGGGTGAAGTTCTGTACTCCTTGCTAGGCTTAAAAAAATTATAATTAAAAGTAGGGAAAATAACTTATTTTGATAAAAATATCTCAAGATAGTAAAATATTTTTTAGATTTATATTTATTGTAACAGAATACAATTATACTGTTCCATAATTAAGTTACTGTTCCATAATTAAGTTAATAGAAAGCTAACATCGTTTCGTATTCACAATACATAATTATTTTTTCTTGCAGGAGTCTCCTCGGCGGACTTATCATCCCGGCGAACTTATCTGACACAAATTCCAATGAACACAATAACAAAGTGTATGCGATCATACACAAAGACACAACCAGTGATATTGACATGAAAGATCAGTACACAAAGAGAGAAAGAGATGCAGATAGTGATAGAGATATAAAGATAGAAAGAGATGCAGTGAGTGATAGGGACGTAAAGATAGAAAGAGATGCAGTGAGTGATAGGGACGTAAAGATAGAAAGAGATGGAGATGATGATAAGGATGTAAATAAAGAAAGAGACGAAGATATAGATAATGTGAGAATTCGAGAGAACGAAATAAACCAAGATTCATCTGAATCTTCTGAAAGTGGAAGCGAATAAGAGTTCGTATTTTTTCATAATGTTCCATTGCATTTCTTTGCATTTGTTATAATTTATATACAAATCATTGATATATAAAAACATGGACACACATTTCCTAACATATATCTCTTCAAAAAGTGGCAAAATCAATAATCTAATTGTCTAAACACAAATTCTAACTTACACACACCACATAAAGTACCTTTTTAAATGAAACAACGTGCGTTTTAATTTTGTCATTGAAAAGCAATGAACAAAAGAGATTTGAAAAAGCCTACAATTCGCATTGTGTGCTTTTTTGAGACGCTAATTCATAATTGTATATCTTGAGTTTTTGTATGTCAATGGTACATAAATGGTTTTTGAAATAACACCTGTTTGGTTGTGTTGAAAGTGATATTATATGTTATACTTTTTAAAGACTCGCTAATATCGCTCGTATAATCGCTCGATGATACATTCTTAGATTTACGCGAATATTTGACATTTTAAATAAAACTATCTTTTCGGTTTTTTTTTTCTGTAACAACTATATAATACCTTTGAGATACTAACACCTTAGTCTCTCCCGTGACCATGATTGCTGTAAAGCATTCTAAACGTCGGGAACCAAAATTAAAATAAATTCGCGAAAAAATCCGAAAAGATAGTTTTATTTAAAAAGACTCGCAATAAAGCATAATTTTGTCTCTCACACTATTTGTATTCCATCTCTTTCTTCTATTATAATATGATAATAATATTTTCTTTTTCGTTGAGATATGCATAATAATTAATAGTTATTATTAATAATTTTAATGTTAAATAGTTCTTTAAATTTTACAGTTTAGTTTGTAAGCTTTTTAGATTAACTGAGCCGTCCTTTTTTCAATAGACTGTAGACCTTTATAGTCTAAAATCCAAAGTGAGGTCGTCTTTCCCCCATCTGCTTACGGTATGATAAGTACTTACTAACCAGAAGCAAATTTATGCAATATTTTTATCTCCAACATACAGAGGAGTATACCATATGTATATCTCTAGATCGAAATTTGCTGTATATTAATTGTATTATAGTGTGTTTTTTCCTATGAGAATGAGATATTTTCTCGTCGTTATAAGTAACAATGTCTCTCTCGAACTAATTCCATACAAAAAACACAACATATTGTATATATTTGCATTAACTCGATACTTTCACTAAATATAACATTTATTTGGTGAACAAGTGAAGTGAGTGAAATGAATAAAAATTAATTTTAACGTAGCCTTTACAATATTTAATTTTTCAAATTATTTGCGTTATACTTACTAACACTAATAGAGATCTATTGGTTCCCACGGGAACCGTTCATTTTTCCGGGATGAATAGTAACCTGTTGTTTGACCAGCAATATAAGGTATCAGCATGCTAAATACTAAATTAGGTGAATAAGTTGTTGTGTATTAAGCTGTATAAAATACTATAGTTTTTTAACTATCCCACGAGAACTCTTTAATTTTCCGGAATGGAGAGTACTTAGATGTTGCCCGGTCTGTACATTCGATCTCTACAGTTTTATTATAGCATAGATTATTATACATTACACTTTTCTTTAAACAGATAAGTCAAGGATGATCTTACTTCTGACCTTAGACTATAAAGAGTTGTCACTTTAATTTTAAGTACAACTTTACAACGTTCTTGCATAATAGGCACCATATCTAATATCTAAATAAATATATTTATTGATAAACTAAACAATTGAATCTAAATCATTCTCCGACATACCGCGACATTCTAAAGCATTCTCTGTCACACTCATATTTTCCAGAAAATGAAAAACTGTGTTATCTAGGCTTTATTTTTTTTTATTTTAAAATTATGTTAAAATTAGATATACGTATTTTTAAATATATTTATAAATAAATAATTTTGCTAAAAATAGTAAATATGTAATACACTATACTTTATGCACTACAAACTATGATGTTGTCACACTGACACATTATATTATATACAATAATATTAATATAATAATATTTTTTCTTTTTATATTGCAACACTGTGAGTTGCTAATGCGATTCCCATGCAAATTTACATTTCAATGTAATTTTTTATTTTCGATTTTTTCTCGCTATTTTTATAATCCTATATTTTTTTTTTTTAATTTTATATTTTTTTAATAGCAAAAAAAGTCGTTTGCGATTTTGTATAAATGGCTAAAATTAAAAAAAAAATAAGAATAAAATTGTTATTTTGTATCTGTACACTATACTACAAGGGAAGGAATGGGTTGCTATTATTTTGTATGTGTAGAGTATGTAACTCTAAAACGAATCACATTAAAAATATGGTTTGTAATAGAGAAAGCTTTATACCACCTCTAACAGTGTTTTTATGGAATGTGGTTATTTTTAGAAACTGTGTATGAACTATAGTTCAGACATGTATGTATTTTTGTATGTACATACATACAAAGGTTTCGTCATGATTTTTATTTTTATTACTTTAGATATGTAGTTTTATTAAAACTTAGGTATTTTGTAGCTAAAAAGTAATAATTTTTATCTTATCCATAGTAAAAATATCTATTTTATAAACTCTATTTAAAACATATCATTAAAGCTCTTCTTAAAGATTGAACTGTATGTTGCTTTAGGTACTATTTTTCTACTTTTTAAAACTTTATCTTAATAGAGAAGTAGATTGGTATGAGGCACTAACTACGAGTATGAAATAATACTATTTCTGGAAAAAATTAACCGATTTTGTTTAAAATATTTCCAAATCAAAACATCTGCATAAAGAATTGTTGGAAAATTATTTTCGTTCAAAAAGTTTTGTTATATTTTACAATAAAAATAACACATAGAAAGACAAATGTTGTCAATAAGGTAATGTTAGTGTTTTTTTTTAATTATAATTGAACTTGCGAGGAATAACATTGTAGCTCACTGTGAAGATTTTTATTAGTGATTGGAGATAATTATATCTCCCTCTAGTGTTTCTTTTTGGAACTAATAACAGCTATTTCCATTACTATTTAAATAATTGGAGCATCAACATTGACGACACGTTTGGCTCAGTTGGTAGTGACCCTACTTGCTGTGCCAGCGATTGCGGGTTCGAGTCCCGCTGGAGCATTCATTTGTGTGATGAGCACGAATGTTTGTAATCCAGTCATGGGTGTTAATATTTATAATATGTATTTAAAATTATATATGTTTAGTGTATCAACTATCTGGTATCCATAACACCATGGTACTAGATGGCGCTGTGTGTTAATGTCCCAACATTTATTTATTTATATTTATTTATCAACTAATTGTTCTATAATCTGTAAATACTTTATATTTTAATAGTAAATGTTTAAATTTAGTTCTGCGATTTGTCACTAGGGAATATTATGAAGTAAATGTTTTTTTTGGTCATAATTTACGATGTTGTTCTCAGCAGGCTTAGGACGGACGATGTAACTAACTCTGAAAATTGCAATAAACTTGTAAGACTGATTTGTGTTTTATTTCATCTTATTAATATTTGTCTCTTAGAGACCAAAACTTAACAATTTTTCTCAAATTTAATTGAACATAATTAACAAGGAATGCAATTAATACCTGTCAATAATCGTATAATTATTTGTCCGTGGTAATTTGTCAAAATTACCACGAACTTTAATTTTATTATATTATAATTATATTATTAAATTATTATTAACGTTAATTGTGTTGCTAGAAAAAAAAAACGTTTGCTAGGCATTAATATTTTATTACAACACAATACGATGGAATATGATGGAAATAAAAAAAATAAGTTTTTTTATAGAAGCTGCCATTGCGAAAGAGGCCTAACACTTAAACACAAAATAACATAATATCTATGTATATTACAAATTATTATAGTTAAAAGATAACGATTTTGTAAATTTTGAACAATCAAAATATAAATTTATAGGATTAGTTATTTTCTATAACAAAAATTACACTTTTACAAGAAAATTTGACCATTTCTAGATCTTACAAAATGTAAGTTATACCGCTTTTGCACTGACACTTAAATTTTAATTTCTGATAGTTACAATTTAAATATTTAACCACTGTATAATCTAAAGGAGGTATATATCTGTAGAGATATAGAAAATGAACCACCAATAAATTTCTATACTCAAGTTCTTCTTAATGCTAATATAATCACACACAAATCAGACACATCAACGTCCAAACAACAAATAGCCATATCTAATACAAAAGTACAAATATTACAATACACATGTATGTATTCAGCCCTTTTTAATGTCCCACACGGGGCACGGGCCTCCCTTCAATACGTGGGGGGATCAGGCATTGTCCACCACGCTGGCCAAGTGCGGGTTGGCGGACTTCACATGTCTTTCGAAAACTTGCTAGGTTCTCTCAGACATGCAGGTTTCCTCACGGTATTTTCCTTCACCGTAAGGCAAGCGGTAATCATGTTAGAAATGATTCGCACATGAAAATATCAGTGCGAGACCCGGGATTTGAACCCGCTTCACTCGGTGTCCCAAGCGAGCGTGTTACCACTGGGCTACCACTGCCTTTTACAAATACACATTTAATTAAATTTATAAGTTAGTTAACTTAAAAAAAAAAACCAAGAAAACATGCATGTGAAATATCCAAATACAATTTACAACAATCAATTTGAAAATCACACTCAAACTTTCAAACACTTTTCACTTTTTTTTCACTTTTTTTTAGATATACACATTTACTTAAGAATAAAAAATAATAATGTAAACAATCAAAATTCAGAAACACTATGAACGAATCATATAATTTATTAAAATAAAAATAATAAAATATTATTATATGAACCTATTCGCCTCCCAATCGGGGAAGCCTCCCCCTCCCCCTCCCCCTGCCTCCAAGAGCCACCTGTCTATGAGAGCCGGCTACGATTTTGTCTGTGAACGTGTACGTCTGTCTGTCTACGCACAGGTCGATGTCCTTCGTCGGGAGATCCTCGAAACTCAAGGCTGAATGCACTAATGAGAGAGCGTTACGTAGTTTCTGTGAAAAAAAAAGTACAAAAAAGTTTATTTTTTTACTAAATATATAATTTATTAAATATTATGTTTACTTGTGCATCATTCAAGGCGCCAATTTTAGTTGACTGTGTTTTTAGCCGACTTTAAACGGAAGTGATGTTTAATCGGAGTGTTTGTTTAAATATTTTATTTACGCAACATATTTGCCAACGGCGAGACTATAAAAATTAAATCAAAATTTCACTACTAAGGGGGATATAATTTCTTTTAAAGCAATTTTGAATTTAAGTTTAAAATAACTTATTTAAGTTTAATGGTACATAGTGTGAATTGAGAACATACCTTTATTTTAATATTTTACAGAAAAAGTATGAATACTCTTTGATTTACTAAAAAAATAATACACACTAGACACTAGTTCAATCGTGAGTTCGATGTTTATAATTCATAGTAGAGGAGGCCAAGAGGTGATTTTTGGATTTATTCAAGCGCGAAAATTAACATAAGAGGGGATCGTACATAAACCTTATATTTGATGTTTGCCTCTTCGGCTTGTGCAAATCGGCAGATTATTTGAATTGCACACTTTTCAGGATGTAATTAGCCCACCATACCTTAATCTGACGGTTTCAAGTATTTCTAACTTATCAAAATATTTTTTTTTAATTTTTTGATCGGCTGCCCTAGACGCGCGCCCTTACATGGAGGACTTATATTACGGTGGAACTATCAACAGAGTGCAAGGTATCCCCTCTTATATTATTCTGCCGCGCTTGAATAAATCCAATAATCCCCTCTTGGGCTCCCCTATATATAATTTTAAAAACTATTTAAGTTGGTCTACTTTGTGAGCTGGTTTTATTAAAATCCTTAAGTATATCTTTTGTTTTTACATATTAACTTGAAAAACTGTGAAACAGCTCTTTAAGCGACTGGTTCTAGAAACTCAATATTTTTCAAGTTCTATATATTAAAATAATTGAGCAAAATAAAAATAAAAACGGTGAAATATGTAAAGAAGTTTTTTTAGCCCTGGATAAAATACAAGACTCTCCCATAGTAGACAATTCCATCTAAAACCTCGCGAAAGACATGTTGTCTACTACTTGCATATCTCTCATTATTATACTTATATTATTTGTCTTATGTAATTGTTAGCAGCATATCTCATAAATAGTGTTTTTTTTTATTCTACTCTACCATATTCACCTGTCTCTGTCTGCTCTCGAGGAGCAGGCGCATAGAGATAAATGTTAATCCCATCAAAAACATAAATGTAAAAATGGGAGCCAAGTTCAATATTAAGAATATGTGTGGTTGTCGACTTCGGCGACAAAAGAATTAAGATGTAAATGTGTGCCAAGTTCTGTAGATGAACCTGAAATTTGTAATATAATAAAGAGGAATGATTCGATTTTTTGTTTGTTTGTTTATACCGAATGGGCTACTACTAACTACTTTAAAAGTACTGAACAGTTTGGTAAGAAGACAGTTTGAGACCCTGGGCAGAACATAGGATACTTTTTATGCCGGAAATCATCCCTTAAGGGGATGAAAATGGGGATGAAATTTTGTATGGGGAAGCAACCTAGTTAGTTTATATATTTATAATAACGTACAATATTCTTAAATAAATTTAATTTTTTCCTGCTACAACAATGTTTGCTGTATAAGACGTATATCTTGATTGAAGATATAGGTTCACAAAATGATTTACAATTGGATTTTATGTGAGTGTTAGTAGCGTATGTCGTAAGCATAGTATTATGTATTCTTTTTTATTCTACTCCACCTACCTGTCTCTGCCCACTCTCTACTAGCAGCCGGCGCAGGGCGCACGCGTGCAGCCGCGCGGCGCGCACTAGTTGCGCCGTGGACAATTGCGAGAGTGTCGCGAAACTGACGTCGGAGGTCGCCACACCTGAGTTAAGAGTAGGGGTTAGTGGAAACCACATTGTCATGGTGAAAGCGGTCATTAGCGTCGGACAATTAAACCGGGTGTGAAGTCAAAAGACACACTGGTACTTCTCGGAAAGCAGAGTAGACCGTTAGAGCAACCCCTTGGTAGCTATGGTCTGCTTCGGCATTCGGTTAAACGGCAATAATTCGTATCGGTTCAGTCACTTGAGAGCTACGAACTGTACGTTGAATGAACATGTACCTTATCGTTTATTTTTTTACGTTAAGAAATAACTAAGGGAAAATAAAAGTCAATCTATCTATAATATATAGAATTCTCGTGTCACAATGCTTGTGACAAAACGCCTCCGAAACGGCTTGAACGATTCTTATGAAATTTTGTGTGTATATTCAGTAGGTCTGAGAATGGACGTAAACTATTTTTCATACCCCTAAGTGACAGAATTAATCCACTAGCTATAGACATACTCACAAGGAGGCAGCGACAAGTCCAGCTCTGAGGAGTGAGGCGCCGCGTCCGCGCCGCGGTAGAACTCACCCGCGCTGTCCACCGATGTAGAGTCCCATTCGTCCTTTTTTTCACGAAAAATGGAGTTTCATAGTATTTTGTTAATGAAAATGAGATTTAAGCTATGGTAAAAAATGGTATTATAGTGTCCTGACTGATTCCGGCCACGGCGGTCAATCTCATTGACTAGCCAACTGCGCAGGAGATATTATAATGCACAAGTATAGGCACAGACACAATGTCGTCTATATCCTTTGCAGAAGCTAGGCAGTGAAAAGTGAAAAATGTAGGTGGTTTGGAAATATTTTGAGAGAGGCCGAAGTCAAGGAATGAACTTCGGCTAAGACCATGTATTACTTACCACATCAGCGGTCCACGGGACATTATCCAACAGTCCCGGCTGTTGACACTCACTGAACATGTTCGAGTAGCTCGGACTACAACTGATGCCCGCTACATCTGATCCTATACCTAGAATAATGATACATATAGTAATAAACGAAAGAGATAGATAAATTGACTGAAACTATGGCTATATATATATGTATATATAAATAAATCGATTACTATTTATAAAAAAAAACGAGTATAAGTGCGAGTCTGACTATTTTCCCTTTACTTGTGCTATATAATATTGCTTCTTCCATATTTCATGATTCTAGGTAAACGGCAAATACCCTATAGGTCTTTGATTTCCTTGCGAGTGAATATACACATGTCACAAACGGCCATCTTTCGATTGCATTGACTTAGAAGTTTGATTTTTTCACAGCTTCAACGGATCGTAGACCTAAGTATTTGATATTAATTTCAAATTATCTAATACCATTAATGAGAAAAAGGGTCGCATTGATACAGTCATCGAACATATTCACAATATGACACATTTACCTTCGACCTTTCGACATGAAAATTGGTGTTTATTAACAACCTTTGTTTATGCCGGGATTTCCTAATCTCAACCTACAGTTTGGATTTTTATTTCGTGGTACTAACTTTACTCTGAAGTCGGTGAATAATTTCAAAAATGGACTGAGTTACAGTAATTTTATTGAGAGTAGGTACTACTGTCCCTGCTTGAGAAAGGTGAAGATTAAAGTCCCAAACGGCGTATGAATTCTTTGAAATCGGAGATAAAGATGAAGATGTAAGTATAAATATTTTAGAGGATACACGATTTTAGAGCAAGAAAAATGGATTAAAAACTTTAAATGCGTTTTTCTCAAAACGACTTTTTTCAACTCATTGCATCGACAACTCGAGCAATTAATTATCAACCGATATACAACTTCTTTTTAGCCCCCGACGCGAAAAGAGGGGTGATAAGTTTGACGTCGATGTCTGTCTGTAAGTGTGTGTGTATCTGTCTGTGGCATTGTAGCTCTCAAACGGATGGACCGATTTCGATGCGGTTTTTTTCATTTGAAAGTCACTTTCCTTGTGGTGGTTCTTAGCTATGTTTGGTTAATATCAGTCTAGCAGTGTAAGAGTATCAGCTCTTTTCCAAAATGATGTAAGCATTTTGGCGTATTACTCGATTAAGTGCTTCACGTGTGCTAGTGCAATCGTTAAATGATTTTATTTGCGTAGGGGGATTTTTAAATTTTGAATTTAATTTTAGTCTTTTATCATTCGTCTTTGCAATAGGTAAGGTAAAGCGTAGCCGATTTAGAAAATTTGGTTTTAACTACTTTTTAAGACTGCTTGAATAAAAAATTGCCATTTTGTCAAAAATCTAAATAAAAAAAAACAGCTACGTACAAACTTTTATACAGATTATAATGTTTTTTATTCAGATAACCCGTTTTGGAGAAATTAGTGCAACCGTGGAGGGAGAAATTTTTAAGGCTCTACAGTCTACAGCAACGTTGATAATTTTGTAACTAATATAATTAATAATTTTGTAATAAAAATTCACGAAAACTACACTGAATAAACATTTAAATAAAAAAATGTCGATCTCCATATTCCTTAATTACCCCGGTCAAAAAATCTCGAAAATCACTAATTTCTCGGCCGTCACAGTGGCTATCTCCTTTAAACGAATCCATCTTTTCGCTCGGTAATTTTTTCGTTTCGTTTATTAAAACACGACCACGTTTGCTGCAAACGTTGAGAACGATAATAAAACCGTGACAAAATTGAGGAAGTTTTATTTATAAAACTTAAAAAAACCGACTTCCAGGCACTAAAATGTAAAAAATAACTAAACGGGGGTTTTCATTTAGAATAGATACCTTATCAGATATTTTCGAAGTCGGTGCCAGCCGATGCAAAGCAAATCTAATATATTTCAATATGTAAAATACATATTTACCTATTAGATATTCATATCTTAAAATATTGTCGGCTGGCATCGACTTCGGTGTTCGAAATTGTAATTTATTTAAAAATAATAATTTATTGTTGATTTCTTTTAAAAACTGCTCGACCGATTTCGAAAAAAATTAAATGGGACCACCTAGGAAGTACTTATACCCTTCGAAACAAAAAAAAATCAAAATCGATTCAGGCGTCTTCGAGTAATCGGTGATGTACATAAAAAAAGATTACGACGAATTGAGAACCTCCTCCTTTTTGGAAGTGGGTTAAAAATTCAATGAAACTTTCATAGACGCATAATGAATGCAAATTAGTAAAATGACTTTACATTAGATTTTTTGAACATAATTTTCACTGCCGGCAGTGATATTGCGGCTGACAGTATGAAAATCTACTTTTTATCATAAAACAAGCAAAATTTTGCAATAACATCGGCGTACAAAGTCGAGTTATATAACATTTTGCATTGGGCTAAAGTAAAATGAAAGTGAGTTGCGTATACCATTCCAAGCCGGTGGTAACTTTCTCACGGACTTACATACTGACATTTAATTTAAATTTAAAATGTACATTTGGCGATTCAAAAGTGCTTGTAAAAGTCTAACTTTACTATTTTAATAAAGTATATTTTGATTAATTAATACCGTAACTCCAAATATCGTCAACCACGCCATGGTCCAATAAGCCACCTTCCTTCTCCATCTGATCATCACAATCATACTGCCATTCCAACCCTTGCTCCGACCAGGATCTGCATTCGGTGCCTTCATCATAATATTCCTTTGCTAAATTTCCATTATCATCTACTAAGTCTGTATCAGATAAACTCGCTGCCATTTGCAATTGTTTCAATCTATTCTGAGCCCAATTTTGCCTTGGCTTTTCATTTGACTCAGAAGATTTATTGAGTTTTTGATCCTTCTCAATGGCGACGTCAGGCCAAATGTTCACCGGTTCTTGGTGTTCTAATGATAAGTGACGTTTTTGGTTTGAGGCTCGATTTGATATTGAAGGTACATTTTTATCTGAAATATCATATATTCTTAGTTATGTTTAACCCACAATAAGAACAGTAGAATTTCCATATTCATAAATAATAAATTTCCTAGCAAAGTTTCATCTCCTATTGAAATCCTTTATATGATGATTTTTCAAATGACAAATATCCTCTGTAAGTAGTCATTTATATTATATACACGTCTTTAATTTGAAAATTTCAAACTTTTTTTAATAATTTTTTTGATGAAAATTATTATTCAAATTGTGAATCTAAACCATTCCCAGATCCCCTTGAACACACACAAAAAATTTCATCAAAATCGGTCCAGTCGTTTGAGAGAAGTTCAGTGACATACACACTCACAGAAGAATTATATATATAAAGATAAGGAAGTCTTGTGTATATAATTTCATACCAAGAGGTTTCCATATTCCATTCACCTCCTTAGGTTTTTTTTGCAATAGTTTCTAAGCTATGGATTTAGCATACAGAATTAACCATTAAATCATTCTTCATAAAATAAAAAAAACTTAAAAAAAAAATAAGAACTGACTTCGAGGCACTAAAATGTAAAAAATAAATAAACAGAGGTTATCATTTAGAATAGATACCTAATCAGATATTTTCGAAGTTAGTGCCAGCCAATGCAAAGCAAATCTAATATATTTCAATACATAAAATATAAACAACTTTCATGTTTTAAAAAGTAATTTAGGATAAGAAATTGTTCAATATAACTAAAAATGTCTGTCTAAAATTACAAATACACTTAATATAATATACAAAACAAATGTATGCTTAGTTATTACAGTACAACTTAGTCCGCATGGAATAGTGGCAAGAATGCTAGCTGCATTCCCCTGTTGAATGGCAATGCCTCTTCGGGCGAAAAACGCGTCAGCTCTCCTGTTACCAGTAGAGGCGATAAGACAAGCTGTTATGTCTAACAAGAACAAGTTGACGTGGGAAAATAGTATTATATTGTAGCGTAACCTGAGTAAATATATCTATAACGCTTCATGATTTTATTTTTGAGTGTGATCAATGCTCTAAATTGATGAGGGGAGTGGTGTGATGACTGGTACCTAGGACATATCTAATTATTTCTTAGCTTTTAGTACATTATCAACATCATTATTATCTTTCTTTTCAATAAAATCGCTTAACTTAAAAAAACCTATTTTATTGCAAATATTTTTGCTATTGTGAAAAAAAATGTACAAGAAACTATTGAGATTAAACATTATTTAAAATTATTATTTAAACAATTAGGTCATACCTGAGTCACTTTCCATAAATGCTATATTATGTGGATTTGACTCCTCTTTCTTATATTCTGAATTGTCCACATCATAAGTTACATTTAATATACTCCTAAAAAAATTTTTTAATTTATTCCATTAGATTATTTATCAATATAATTATTCAAAGTTAGTTATTCACTATAGAAGTTCCTTACATATAGGATTATAGATCTATACATATAATAAAACTGTAGAGGTTGAAAATCTGTACATAGAAAGAAAATGCTAAAAACCGAGTCAGGGAGATGTAAGAAGAGAAATAGAACAAATCCAGATTATTTTCAATTTTTTTGTTTCAATGTCTGTTTGTATGGGCTAATTTCTGAAACTGTTGGACCAATTTAAATGAAATATTACATGTGGTACCCTATATCCCCGGTCAACATTTTAGATACTTTTCATCCCGGAAAATTAAAGAGTTCCCATGGGGTAGTTAAAAAATTATAGTTACTTATACAGCTTAGTACATAAAAATTATTAATTGGATTTAAATGAAACTTTACAATAATATACTTCATACATCAGAATAACAAATAGGCTACTTTTATCCCGGAAAAATGTACGGTTCCCGTGGGATAGATTTGTTTTTGTTTGTCTAGAGGCGAACACTTAGTAGTAAATAAATCTGGTCCAATACTGATAAAAGATACTGAACCAAGCTGTAATCATATTTTTTGTTATTTCGTTTTACATGGAATTCCAACATGGTTGTATATTGCGTTTTTTTTAATAAAAATAAGTTGTATGTTACTATATTCGGAAAAATACGAATCCCTCATTACTACTCGTAAGTTTAGTAAGATATCATAGAATCAAAAAACCTTCTTCTAGAAATATATAACAATAATTCGTAAAATATTCACTCTTTTTCTGGAAACTTCTTTGATGACTTCTTATTAACTCGAGATGAACTTAACTTCCAATTTTTCTGTTTTCTATAAAACTCGAGACGATAAATAGCTACTAGCTCTGGTTTTAGAGACATATTCGATTTATGTTTATGATAATTATTATAAATTTCAATATTATTCACAATATAATTATAAAATTATAATTTGTTAACAAAAAAATTGTGTGTTTGACGGCATAAGCAAAATTTTGACATTTTAAATATTGCGGGTAGTAGGATTCGTAGGTACAATTTGTTTTTATTTATTAATATTACAAATAACAAATTACATTAATATTTCATATCTTTTTATTAAAACATAAATAAATGACAATTAAACAAATAATATTTATATATAATATAATTTATACAAATAATATTTTATTTATTTGAAACTGGTGTTAGTAAAAACGAAACGTTGTAATAATTACCCGGAGCCTGGAGTTGACAGTTGTAACTTGTAATTTATAATAGAGTTGTAGCGAACGCTGTCGACATGTCGTCTAACACGTTAAACTTATTATTGTGCACAGTGTTATGCGTTCTAGTGAGTTCTAATTCTCAGACAGTTCACAGACGCTTTGAATACAAATATTCATTTAAGCCGCCGTATTTAGCTCAAAAAGATGGATCTGTTCCGTTCTGGGAGTATGGAGGAAGTAAGTCATGTTTTCTTTATAAATATACGTAGTTCTAGAATATACTTAGCATATGGTCTTACTAATCATTATTTTTCATATGTCTTTTAAGTATCACGTACGTTTTTGTGTTATAAAAATGCATAATAATGTAAAAATAGCTTGTTGTTACGGTATTTAGTCTGACATCGACACGTCAGTCATATGTGTCAAATGTGAGCGAGATGATGCTATATGCGTACCCTATGAGTGAAAGAGAGGTGTAAACGTCAAATTCTCGTTTTTAGTTCCACGACAGCACTCGTGGTTTCAATAAAGTTGCATTTTTTATTAAATAAAGAAAATGTGGACTCGTTTTATGAATTAAACATTAAAATCCATTTAAAAATTTATAATTAATATTTTATTTTAAATAAATAAAATCCAGTAAAATCTTTTCCTCTTTTAAAAAAATGTTAAAATATAAAATATGATTCACTAAATATTAAAAAAAGTATATTAATCTCCTTAGAAGAAACATTAGTATTATTAAATTTATCTTTACATAGTATAAAATGAAGTTTCTTCCGCTGTCTGTTCCCTTAGATCTTTTAAACTACTCAACAGATTTTAATGCATGCAGTTATCAGCAATAAACAGAGTGGTTCAAGAGGATATAATACATGCATATTATAGTATAGAGAAGCAGAGAAATTCAAAGATTTGTATTTCATATTAACCTATGAGGCTGAGAAGCTAGTATTACTATAAAATATATGACTTGAATAATAATAATAATAAAGCCTTTTATTTCGAATGTTTATAGTTTTTTTTTCCTTAATACCAATTCACTAATCATAGTATGTCTCTAAACTCGGTGTGCCTTACATAGGCCTCCTCCAATGCCTTCCACTCTTTCCTATCCATTGCCACTCCTGGCCAAACAGGACCTATTGTCAATTTCAATTCATCCTCCCATCTTCTCACTTTTAGCGACCTCGGCTCCTAGACCCATCTCTTCGATACTAGACTGTTACCGGCTTGCTCCATTTTTCGTGCTTGCATCGGAGCATATGCCCTGTCTATCTCCATTTTAATTCGTCAATATGTGTTAGGATGTCTGTTAGTGTTGGTTTGTGCCTAATGTCTACATTCTTGACTCTGTCTTTTAAATTTGGCCCAGTATGCTCCTTTCCATCGCTCTCTGACAGTGCAAGTTTGTCCCTATGATTTTTCATCAAAGGTCAGGTTTTTGAAGCCATATGTGATGCGAGGAAGACTGCATGTATTAAAAGTCTTTTGCTTGATGTTGATGCAGAAGTTCTTTTCCACCCAGTAGCGATTTCTTATGATTTTGATGACTTGAATAAAACTTCATTATAAAAAATTGAGACTTTTTTGAAAACATCATTGCTTTCTTTCATGATGTTAAACTTAAAAAAAACTATGTCCTCAAATTTAAATTTCTCTTGATAACTTAAATAATACTTTGGCACATATGTACATGTTAATTTGATACATTTGGCATGTACATACTTGTTCAGTACTAACACTGTTAATAGGAAACTTAATTATTTCATTTTTCCATGTAAACATTACTTAATACTTAATTCAGTCCCCATACAAAAATGGTGTCATCAACCCGCAATTAATATGTGATTATATTATATTTATATAAAAATCCTCAGGAAAATGACTTTTCATTGTACAATATTCCATTTCCCATGTGAACCCACGGTAGAGTCATAGACTTAATATACGAATACTTATGAATAAGAATTTTCCTGAACCCATTCAACGGGGGCATGGACTTGTGAATATAAAATTGATAAAAAATTGAGGGTAGTTTGGTTATATTACATTTTAGTTGTTATGAACTGGTTTGTTATTATTCGGAATTGTTTGTAGTGTAGTTTAAAATGCTTCCTGTTTGATGCTGATATACAAAAAATCTCGAACATAGTGATGCAGATGGTGTCTTATCCTACTTAGAAAATAATAATTTTGGAAGTGACGTATGATGACGATACAATCGCGGATATTGAATAGTTCATTAGAGAGACTGAGGTATTTATAAAAAAAAGAAAATTGCAAGACACTAACAGCATAGGAAATTATTATCAAGGAACTTGTTGATATTCATACAGAAACACCATTGTCATGTCTCATTCCCTCGCTCATTCCATCAGCCACTTCCTTATTGATCTGCCTAAATATCAAGAGAAAAGAAGTAACCGAAATTGATGTATTGGCTGTTACAAAAGGCTGATTGATTAGGCTGATGAAGAAAATCTTTGAAGACTGCTAGAAAAATGGCCATTAAAGTTCATCAGCAATGCAAAAAATGTAAGAAAGATTATTGTATCGAAAATGAATATAAATAAATTGATGTTTTAATATTTTTCTTGAATTAAAATAGAAGTATATGAATGTCAATTGTATTTTTTTCACCTTATGATCCCACGCAAATTGTAGGCCTCATTTTGAGATATTCCGTATTTTTTTTAAGCTTTTTGTACAGGCTACCGTTCCTTCACAAGTCCGCCAAATCACAATAACTCCACTCATAAGTCCAGTTCCAAAACGAAGAAGAAACTTCCTCAGTGCAACGAACCCACATGAGAATCGGGAGGATAAACTGATGTGAGTCCACATTGGCGTCATCTGACTGTGAACCTGATAAAAGAAGTATAAAAAAGTTAACATTCTCCTATTTTCTCCTATCTTTTGCCTTCAACTTGTTTTTTTTCGGTTTTAATATAAGTTTTTTTATTATTGTTAGGTATTTATTAAAATATAGTGTAATTATACAAACAATCTTTATTTTTCTTTAAGTTAATAAGACACAGCCAAGTTTTTAATCTTTTAACTCTCTAGTCTCTACCTGTGTTTTTGAATCTTGTAAAACTAGATACTGGAAATATAGTAAAAAATAAACAATTAAAAGATAACCTGTATATAAAACTAAAATATTGAGACATAATTATATTCCTTTTTTCTAGATAAAACATATAATAGTTAGTCAAATTCTAGGTTTTCATACCACAATGGACTAGCCAAAAGTAAATTCATGCTAGAGGCTTCAACTACTACACAATATAAATTACTATTTTATGTTTAAATACATATAATAAAAATAAGTATATAATGTGGTGTTAAGGAACATCTGTCTACAAGTTCAAGTCACAGTTGGCAATCTTTGTTTAAGTTATAAAGATGAAAAATCCTTATTGCAGGTGCTAAATATTAATAATGGTTCTTTTTTAGGTACTAGACTTTGAATCATTATGTTAGGTATTTCTTTCTAATATGCTTAAAAGGCATTAAGACATAATCAACTTCTCATATAACAACATTCTGAAAAAGTTGTTACATTGCATTAAATTTCATAATGCATTTGCTATAACTTTATTCCTTTTGTGTTAAGTACCATATTTGTATAGAGTATTGGTATTTTTAATTTTGCCTTTATTCAAGTCCGTGACTAACTAAACTGCAGTGTTTACATTTTAAAAATACTTTTACAAATCAAGTTATAATAGAACTTAATGCTATGTATGAAAGATTTAATTTTTTGTATCGAAAATAGTTTTGTACTAAGCAGATTGAGTGCCACAATGAAAAATTGTATTAAAAGCAGATTATGTACTATTTAATATGTAAATATAATCTTAATAATTGTAATTTTTTCAGTCACCTGGCTAATATTAGAAGACAAATATTTAATAATAATAACAGCTATAGGTACATGATTAGATAGATACACAACCCATTTTAAAAGGTAGGATGTTTTATTTCAGAAACATTTAGGGTTCTAGCACGTAAATCGGAAACTTTTAAAAATTATGCAAATTCGAAATTACGTTTCTAAACTGCTGGGGTGCGCCCAAGCAAAGGGGGGTTAAGTGGTTCTTTACCCTAGGAAGGAATTGAACCTGTTGCAATAATCACATGACATTTCGATTATTAAAATATTTGAATGTAAATGTAGTCGGTCAAAAACAGGTTACTCAAGTAGCTCGAAATAATTACTTTTAAATTATTATACTGATGGCAATAAAATATATTTTTATCTATATGATGAGATTAATCCATTATTGAAATACTTTATTTTATCTATAAATAAAACAATTGTAAAACAAGTAGTATTGTAAATAAATTTTGTATCCAACACACATATAATGTATGTAGATTTTGACCAAAGTATGGCATTGTAGATCTTAATGTTGCTCATATATGGATAGCATAGGAAGTAATAAAATACACACGGAGCTATTAGAAAACATGTACATGTGTATGTCTCCGACTGCATAATACTATATTATCAACTTGTTTTCATCTTTTTAGTTCGCTTTTAACGTAGCCGGATTTTTTTCATTTTTAGGGTTCCGTACTTCAAAAGGTAAAAAAGGAACCCTTATAAGATCACTCTCTTGTCCGTCTGTCCATGTCCATGTGTCACCACTCATTTTCTAAGGAACGGGTGGACCTAGCAAGTTGAAATTTATACCAGATGCTGAGGTCTATAGTCCCTATTAGGTGTATAAAAATCAAGGTCGTGAGTCAACAACATAAAAAGATATAGGCAAATTTAGATTTTCGCGAAAACTTGTAAGTACCAAAGTTTACCTTAATTTTTGACTTTTTTATTTTTCAGAATTTTCCCTTTACTTTTACTGTAAGACCTTGCTTTTAACCAGAATTGAAAATTCTAGGTCAACCGGAAGTACCTTATACGTTTTGGGTCGAAAGCCTATAATATGGTAGTTCCCGTTGACCTAGAATCACGAAATTTCGCAAAAAGCAAGGTCTTACAGCACAAATAAAGGAAAAATTCCAAAAAATAAAAATAAGTTGAAAATTAAAGTTAAACAGATTTCCTACAAATTTGTACGGAGCCCTCGGTGAGTGACTCCGACTCGCACGTGTCCGGAATTGTAAATTAATTTTTAAAGTTTTGGTCGGTTAGATAGATATTTTCAGTTTTATTTAACAATTACTTATCCGAAATTACTTTTAAACATATAAAAATATGTAATAATTTTAAATATATGTAATCGTCTATTAAAACTCTGTATTTTGATACCCCACTCAAATGATTCGGGCGATTTTTTTTGTTCGATCCTCCGATGTAAGGTTTATTTGACCTACCTGCTTACTAGAACAGAAATATTTTATATTGATAATAATATTCTTAACAATATATTATTTTAATTGAAAGTATAAAGTATAGGGAATATCTAGTAATTAATGTGGACTGCTTGCGAAGATTCTGGTTTTAATTTGGTTCTGAATCATGCTTGCCAAGAAATGAAATTTAAGAATTGGAGCAAGACAAGATGTGGGACAGAGAACAATTGCCTATACTACTACTACTGGTACAGAAAGATATAGCATAGGTGCAAAATATGACTGAAATATTAAAATAAAATAAAATGCATAGTCAAAAATGTATGGTATTTTTAACCATAGTTTATTGGGCTGCACATTGGTGCTACATTGTCACCTTGCATCCAGTAAGCAGATGAGTTTAGGATGACCATCCTTCGGATATTGGACTATTAACTAATTTTGCTGAACACATATTTAAATATTCGACACAAGATTATCCTTTATTTAGATTAAATTACTCAACAAATATCACTTATATCATAAAAAAGATAAGACATAATCTTATAAAATAAGCATTTTTTATCATCTAAAGAAAAGGTAAATTAAAGCTACTAGCTTGGAAACATTTCAAGTGTCTTATCTTTATGAATTAAATAGTATATACATTATCTTATTTTTCTATGTAATGTGGGAGGCTTCCACTTGATTTTTGGCACAAACTTCGGGTTATTACTGAGAATTTCTTAACAGAAAAGAACTAACGAACGAACGAAAAGAACAAAAAAGAAAGACTCGAAACAAGGACCTAAAGATCTGCTATTATACATGGCTGTCACTAGACCATCTCAGAAGTAGTCGCTACAGATAGAGTATATTCTGTCCATATCAATGTCAGGCGAAATAGCGTCAGGCTAGAGTGTACGACTTGCGCCGTCACTTAGAAACCAAAAGGGTGCGATATTGACGAAGCAGCCCATCAACTTCGATTGCACTGAGATAGGTAGTCTATTGCACAGTAGGTATTATTGTTCGCAAATGTACGCGCAGACACTAGCTTACGCTATTCCCTTCACTCTTACATTATGGTGAGATGATAATTCGATACGATCGATGAGAGATCAGTCGCAGGACTGAAACACCTCTAACGTTCCAACTCCGGACTGTTACTGAAACTTTCTTTACAGAAAGACTCAATAACTAAGTTGGCCCGACCCGGGACTCGACCCAGGACTTTCGGATCTGCAGCCGTACATGTTAGTATGCTAAACCACCGAAGCATTTTTCGTTCAGATGTTGCTAAATAACGTTTTTTAAATAACTATCATCGATCCGGCGATCTTATCACTATCAATGCTACAGTTAAGCGATCGTCAGTCAAACTTTATTTAAATAAGCAACTTAATCTAGTGGAAAAAAGTAAACGCATCGTATCAAGGACAATGTTTTCAAACATTTCACATACTGTACATTTCACATTTTCAAAGATAAGCTATCGATAGCTGAGCTTCTGGTTTTAATTCCTCCACGACCGCGGACACGCCGGCGTTACAGTTAACAATAGATTTCTTAGAAATTTAATTAATTTCTTAGAAATTTACCTGCAGGTGTTAATATTTATTTATCTATAATATTAATTATGTCTATCATTTAGACTCTTACGTCTAGCATACCTACGAGTATTTTAGCTAGAGGTACCTAATTGTCTATGAAAATTTTCATATAACAAGTTTTATAGATTTATCTTAATGACCTTAGTTTATTTCTTTCAAGTTTGACTTCTAAAAGAGATACTGGCTTGGGCCGTTTTCTTATGTAATATATGTTAAGGCAGTGGCAGCCCAGTGGTAACGCGCTCGCTTGGGAGTGCAACTGAAACGACTTCAAATCCCGGGTTCTAAACCTTTGATATTTTCATGTGAAATTTTTTTCAACATGGTTACCACTTGTCTTACCTGCTTGTCACTTGCACTCTGCACGCATTTGGCCAGCGTGGTTGACTATGCCTGATCCCTTCCTCCCCTCGCATTGAAGTGAGGCTTCCTCCAGCAGTGGACGTTAAAAAGGGCTGAAAACAATCTTATACAATATTGATATGCAATTTTCATGAAACCATGAAGGGTAGCCATATAAATTTCAAAATTACTTTGAGTTATTTAGAAGACGATATTTTTTTTTGGTTAAATCAAAGAATATATATTATTTGATGAATATCCCAAATTTAACACTAGTATTTTGTTTATAGATGCGATAGCGTCAGGCGAGAGTGTGCGACTTGCGCCATCACTTAGAAGCCAAAAGGGTGCGATATGGACGAAGCAGCCCATCAACTTCGATTGGTGGGAGGTGGACATCATGTTCAAGATCACGGGAAGAGGGAGAATTGGTGCCGATGGTTTGGTAAGAGTTTTCTTTAAATTAAATTATCTAAATAGTATCTCCAATAAGGAATAAACGTGTAATTTAAATCAAGATAAAATATTTTTTGTATAATCTTTATTGTTTTTGAATTAAGCCTTTATTAATAATTTGTAATGTGAGAGTGAGATAGCACACCCAACTATCACGTCATTATTTTATATTAATGTGATGTCCACAGGCATTCTGGTACACCACACAGCGTGGAGAGTACACAGGTGACGTCTTCGGCTCCTCAGACAGGTGGAATGGTCTCGGCGTCATCTTCGACTCCTTCGATAACGACAACAAACACAACAATCCATACATCATGGCCGTGTTGAATGATGGCACTAAGAACTTTGATCACAAGAGGTTGGTTAATCTATGTATATATTATTGGTGAAAGCGCAACATAAGACCGCCAGCGGCTTACCTTTTAGAAATACACTCACTGTTATTAATAAACGATTTAGTACTAAACCATTAATGTAATTAATGTAAATTAATTATTTATTAATACTAACATATTTTTTTGCTTTATTCGTATATTTTAGTTCACAGTTTTTTATGAAATAAAATTGACAGTCATTTTGGTTTATAGAAAAGTACAGAGGACCGTCATTTAAATTTTAACCTATGCTATATGTGTGTATGTATACATAAATACATACACATATAAAGGTGTCTCCTGACTGAATCATATAGACATAGATTATAATATATTAAATTGAAAGGTTGCATTTTGGGATAACAAAAGACAGTGGTAGCCCAGTGGTAAAACTAAGTGAAGTGGGTTTAAATCCCGGTTATCATACCTGTGATGTTTCATGTGCGAATCATTTCCAACACGATTACCACTTGTCTTACGGTGTCTCTCGCATTCAGAGGAGGTTCTTAACAGCAGCAGTAGGACGTTAAAAAAATGGTGAAGACAGATATTGCGATTTTTGTGAGAGTGGCCAAACTTCCTGAGATACAGAATATGTAAGAAGATATTAAATAATTTACTCTGTGCCTTTCCAGTGATGGTTCCACTCAGCTCCTGTCAGGTTGTCTCAGGGACTTCAGGAACAAGCCGTTCCCAACGCGCGCACGTGTGGAGTACTACATCAACACTCTTACTGTTTACTTCCATAATGGTAAGTTGCATGTTAGTAACTGTCATTTAGTACAGTTACGTAATTCTTTTTGCCATCTAGCTATATATTTCATTTTATTAAAAAAAAAAACTTTTAAAAATGATTACCATAATAAATCCACAGTTGACAAATTCTTATTTTTGGAGAACAGCTAACCCATTCACGACTGCTGTGCCATTTTGAGAACACTTCATACATGGGGGTTAATGAAAAAATTATAGTACAAATTTTTTATGCTAGTAAATTTTCTTTGTTGTGTAGTCGAAAGTATGTATTATTAGAGAAATGTCGAAAAACACCGTTTTTTGATTTGTTGAAATTGGTTATAATTGCATGAAGCTAAACCTGGCCGAACTTATGTTATTATTACATAATACAGGTAACGCATATCATGTTAATGTTTGTTTCAATAAAGTATAAAACTTGTGTCTCATTCAAAGTCATTATATTTTAGTTATAGTCCTACTAATATTATAAATGCGAAAGTTTGTGAGTATGTATGGATGTCTGGATGTTTGTTATTCTTTCACGCAAAAACTACTTAATGGATTTTAATGAAACATTACAATAATATAGCTCATACATCAGAATAACACATAGGGTACTTTTTATCCCGGAAAAAATGTACGTTTCCCGTGGGATAGATTTTTTTTTTAGTAGTAATGTATTATTTTACAAGACACAATAACTTTAGAAGACTGGAATAAGTCATTAACGCTTAAGGTTTAAGGTTGACAATGACTTGGAGTACGATCAAGCGTGATGAATGACGAAAAAGAAGGTTGTGACTAATGAGGCTGTGGTATCTAACTTCTTACAAAATAATGTTCTTGGAAATATTGAAGTGTTTGTTGGCAGTAAAGACGTTAATCCGGAATGCGAAGATAGTGTGATGATGAGCTATTGGCTTGAAAAACTTAAAAAAATAAAATAAAAACCGACTTTAAAAAAAACACCAAAAAGTTAAAAAATAACTGATTGGTAGTTTTTATTTACTAATTACTATAGATACCTAATCAGATATTTTCAAAGTCGATGTGCTTTGATTTGTATCGGCTGGCATCGTCTTCGAAAATATTTGTTATTTATTATTATACCAATCAGTTATTTTTTAATTTTTGTGCCTTTTTGAAGTCGGTTTTTATTTATTTTTTTAAATTTATTTTTCCCTTTTTAGTGTAGACATAGTAGTAGCAAAGTAAGAAGAAAGTATTTTAATATAAATGCATGTACAAAATAATTTCATGTCTGTTCTATTCACTGTTGAGGAGTTCCCTCGCCGGAAGTCAACCCTGGGTGCAGCAGCCATGCCATGATGGACACATTTAGAACAGGCTATATTATAGTTAAATCCATTTACAAAATTTCGTGTCTTTGCTGTTCGCTGTTGACTAGTTCCTCTATCCACCTCCTGACTCCATCATCAGATCACCTCAATAGTGCCAGATTATTGCAGTTTTACTAAACTTACTTAAGTATGCAAAATTTCAGCTCAATCGGAAACCGGGAAGTGGGTCAAAATTGACTTGTAACATTTTTTAGTTAGTTAATAGTTAGTTTTTCCTCGATTTCCTTGAGATTCCATCATTAGATCCTGACTTGATAATAATGGGTACACCTCGGGAGTATACCCTGTTGAACTAAAAATTATTTTTTTAAATCGGCTCACAATTGGCTAAAATATCGATGAACATACACAAAAAAATACATACAGACGAACGTAGAATCTCCTCGTTTTTGGAAGTCTGTTAAAAAGATCTCGAACCTCTATAATATTATATACATATATATCATTTGTATATGTTTTATTTAAATTTTCTAATAGCCACGCGTGTGCGCTTATGTCTCCGGCTGCATAATATATTCCTTCGTATACATATAACAATATGTTCCTTTGTCAACTTGTCTTATCTTCTTAGTTCGCTTTTTACGTAGTCGGGTATTCTTATTTTTGTATTTTTTTATTGTTAACTTTATAATAGCTTATATACATATACATTGAGTGGGAAACTCAATGACGAGTTTTAGATTATTCAAAATCGGTTGTATTTTAAACTATATACTGGCGTGTTTAACATTTGTGCTACTCGAGCTCAAAGCCTATCAGCGTATTAAATTTCATCCAAAACGTTTCAGCCATTGAAGACTAAAGGAGTAAAAAACACACACATACAATTTTCGCGTTTATAATACTAGAGCAATGCCAATCCAATCCCAGGTCTAACCACCAACGAAGCGGACTACGAGCTCTGTTTCCGCGCGGAGAACGTGGTCCTTCCTCGCGGAGGGTTCTTCGGACTCTCGGCGGCCACCGGCGGCCTCGCCGACGACCACGACGTCATACACCTGCTCACGTCATCGCTGCACAGCACTCAGCAGACTGGTGAGTTAGGTGATAGATCTAAGGAGACCTAAGACTTGGTCTAATATATCATGATGTCATAAACCTGCTGATGTCATCACCTGCCTATCATTAATTAGAATGGTGAGTTGAAGAGAAGGTCTGAGAAGATTTAAAACTTGATCTAATAAGAAGCTGGGAGCTAAGAGCTCAAAAACTTAAAACTTGTAAAAGTGAGTTGTATAAAAGGTCTGACCTAAGACTTAATTCTTGACCTTTTAAGGACCTAAGGCTAGGAAATGTAGGGTTACTACTTTATGACTTAAATAGAATAGGTAGAACTTAGAAGATAATAGCAGAATGTAACTTGACGTATATAATTTATTGATATTTGTTTATTAATATCTATTTTTACCCGCGACGACCACGGAGACGGTGTATGTGTTTGGAGTAAGAGGTCTTTTTATAACGGCCTGGCCGATTTTGAAACGGTTTTTTGCTTTGTATAAGTCTCATTCCTGAGCATGTTCTTAGCTAAGTTTTATAATATTACAGACCACCAGGGGGTGCTACAGTATATATACAAATGTTGCTTCAAAACGGTTATTTTATTTAAATAAATATATTGCATTTACTATTATTTAAAATTAAAAAAAGCCATAAATAAAACATAAACCAAAAATTTTAAAAATCCACGAGATCAAATAAAAAAAATCTAATACCCACGATATTCCCCCGTCTTCAACCATCGTGCTAACCTATGTTGTAGAATACACATTAATTAACAATAAAGCTACTGCACATACTACATAATATTATATGCATTCTACAAAAAAGGTAGGTACGCACGACAGCTATAAATAATATCTTTTATTACGACATTAAATGTCGTAGGTTTTTGAGATTTTTTCATCTCGCAATTTTCCGTCTGGGTTTTTTTAAATTTACGTTCTATAATTTTTATTTTTGGCTGCTTCTTAGACTTGAGTCCAAATTTAAATAAATCACTGGCAAATATTTTTAAAAGAAAAAATATCTATTGTGAATATACGAATATATTCCAGGTGGTCAACAAATAAGCAGCGATGAACAGCAGAAACTGTCGCAAGAGTACCAGGAGTACCAGAAGAAGTTGGACCAGCAGAAGGAGGACTACAGGAAGGAACATCCCGATGAGGTGAGTCTCTCTCTAGTAGAGAGGAGAAGGAGAAAGTGGGAGATGTTTGTTGCAAAGAGTTTGTTCGCATTTTGTGAATATTTTATTCATACTACGGACGATATGACACTATACTACTAGTAGAGATACATCATCCCATACAAAGATATTAAACAGCGCTAAGCTATTCTTCGTGATACTTTTTGTTATTTTCAATAGATAATAGATAATGTTTTGAAGTAAAACTTCTTTAGGCGTCATTAAAAATTATTGAACGGAGATTTTCATTTACTGTAGATACCTAATCAGATATTTTCGAAGTCGGTGCCGGAGAAGGAAGCCAAGCGAAGCGATTGAGTCTCTAGTATAATATACATATATTCTATCTATTCCATACTAACCGTTAAAACGTACCTAGGGACGAAACGGAGCGCAGCGATGGTGAGTCGCTAGCTACTAATTATTTTATGTTTGTTTGTAATGGATAAACTAAAAATCTGCTGAAAAAAATTATTATTGACACCAACAACATATACATGATTAAAAACACAGCATTATAGAATTTCCACAAAGAGTCTAAATGTTATCTTAATTATAGGTGTTACATGCGCTGCAAGGGTTATGGAATTGAATCATACCTATGTATATTATACGTATATATGTACATTGTACTATAATATATAATCTATCTATTCCATACTAATCGTTAAAACGTACTTAGGGACGTTATATATGTACATAGGTATGATGAACTGTTGTAATAGGTTGTATTATACTTTGTTTTCCCATGGAAATGAGATGATAACGCGGTAAAAAGTCCACGCAAAAAATTACGCCTATCCGTCATACTATTACGACATGAAAGAAAGACAGACTAACTAACAAACAAACAAACACTTTCACATTTATAATTTTATAGGTATTAAAAAGTATGGAAGTATGGATAAAAGATGTGTCTGATATATGTTATATATCCATCTCTCTCCCCCCTCAGGTGCGAGACAAGGAGGGCGAGTTCGACGACTGGTTCGAGTCGGACGGTCAGCGCGAGCTGCGCCAGATCTTCCAGGGACTCGGACACATACAGGACGTCATGCGCGATCTGCACAAGAAGGTGGACGAGGTGGGCACAGTCGCATCGATATTGTTACAATCAATACAAGGAACTACCTTTGTGGTCTAGTGGCAAGCATGTACGGTCGTAGATCGGAAGATCTTGGGTTCGAGTCCCGAGTCTGGCGAAGTTTAAGTACTGAGTTTATCTGTTAAGACATTCTCAGTAACAGCCCAGAGTTGGGAAGTAGGTGGTTTTTTACGTGTCGTATCGGTCCTGCGCTTTAACTTTCACCGGTCGTGTCTATGTATCGTCCCATCGGATTTTGAGACTTGAGAATGACAGGAACAGAGAGTGCACGTAGTGTCCGCGCTATATTATCTCCTGCAGTTGGCTGCTCTCAGTGAGATTGGCCGCGGGTGCCGGAATCGGTCAGGGGTACATTATGACAGAAGATTATACCATACTACCGTTAAATATATGTATATCTTTATAAATTATAGCCAATGGGTACTCTAATGTATAAGCTATTTCACTGTAAAGTTTCATCGAAATCGTTCCAGTAGTTTGTGCGTGAAAGAGTGACAAACAGACATCAATGGGTTCGATTGAATCGGTTTCCATAGAAGTTGGTATTAGCTCTTATTTGATTTTAGTTTTTTTTCAACACTGCGGCCCTCGATTAAGTTGGTATGTTTTACAGAACACTTAAATAAATTAAAAACGATATTTTTGTTTGTGTTTGGGTGGATCTCTGGATCATTTAGATTTATACATCAGCAGTTCGTTGCAGTCAGATTCTAAGGTTTTTTTATTTTTATATACACACATACAGAAGATTTATTTATATGTTTAGTTAAAACAACGTCTGTCAGGTCCGCAAGTTTAATTTAAATTTTAAATGTGTAAATGACGATTCAAAAGTGTTTGGAAAAGTCTATTTGAATTAAGTATAATTTGATTTAATGTGATATTGGCGAAGTTATCTGTTCTCAACTGGCACGCTTTGAAACCATTAACAAGGGAATTGCATTTATTTGATATGTTACCTGTACAGGTGGTGGGTAAGCAGATGAACGCGCTGTCGATGCTGACGGCGGTGTACAGCCACACGCAGGGGCAGCCGCTGCAGCCTGCACAGGTGGGGCAGGCGGGGCAGGTGCCGCAGGTAACGTTGCTCTAGGGTATACAAAAGCTGGTCTTTTTGTTTACCTCACAAGCGACTTAAACTGACTTCGCTCGAGTAAAACCCATAGAGGATTTAAAAATACCCTATCCTACAATAAAATATGGCATATATACTAAGCATCAAAGTGTATCTAGGGACGAACCGAAGCGAGGGTGAGTCGCTAGTTTTTAATAATAATGTGCCACTGCTCTGCTTGTTGTGAACGTTAATGAGAATTAGCTTAATTGTCAATCTAACATATAAGCTATCTCCATTGCAAATTTTACCCAAATCGGTTGAGTTTTTCCCTTTTTCATTCTTCCTATTTATTATATGTATGTTTGATGTTATATACAAAACCTATTTATTCGAACTTTTCGTGGTTGCATATTGATTTTTGTTGCCATTTCTTTTTTTTACTAATTATTTTGGTTATTTTAAAACCGTAATAAATTCGAAAATATAGTTTTATTTAAGAGAAAGATATAGAAGAATAATATGATATGTTTGTACAAACCAGATGCCAGCGTTGCCCATCACGCGCCAGGACTGGGACGTGCTGGTCGCCAACAACCAGATCATGATCAACACCATTGCGGAGCTCAAGTTTGTAGCCATCTTGGTTATTTTTAGGGTTCCATACCTCAAAAGGAAAAATAGAAACCCTTATAGGATCACTTCATTGTCTGTCTGTCTTTCCCTTTTTCTCAGGAACGTGTGAAGGTATCAAGTTGAAATTAATATCGAATATTCTGGTCTGCATTCCCTTGGAGCCAACACTACTCAACAAGCGCTTGTTACTTTTGTCACAAGGACTGACACGACGACACGAACCTCAAGTAATAAGCACTATCTCATTATATGTGTAGGGTCCCGTCAAAGAGTGCATACAACCTCCTTACCACTTATACTCGCCTGGTACTTGTGCTGACGTCACACGGGGTGCCTCCCAGTACATAATAAAAAATTGTCGTGACGGTGGTAACAAGCCACTTGTTTTCGTCTCGCTCTCACTCGCCGTGTGTGACGAGTGACGAGCGATGAGGGGCTTTGTTCCAATAATATACCCACAGTAACACAACAATAATAATAATGTCCACCTCACCGATACCGGCCACCGTGGCCAATCTCACTGAGAGCAGCCAACTGCAGGAGATATTATAGCGCGGACACTACGTGCACTCTCTGTTCCTGTCGCTATCAAAGTCCAAAGGGACGCTACTTCACACGACCGGTGAGGGATCAGGCGCAGGACCAACGGCAATACCGCCAACTTCCAAACCGGGCTGTTACTGAGAACATGTTAGCAGAAAAACTCAGTAATTAAACATGGCCCGACGAGGAACTCGAATCCAAGACCTACGGTTCTGCAACCATATACGCTAGCCACTAAACCATAGAGGCAGTTCACACAATTATATATAATATATATATTTCGTCCATCTCATCTCCAGAGCATTCGTGATAGAAGTGTCTCGCAAGTCGGACTCGCTGTTGGCGGGTGGGGCGGTTGGTGCGGCTGGTGCGGTCGGGGCTTCCCCGCAGCTGGTGGGCGAGCTGCGCGACGGGCTGCAGCAGGTGAAGCAAGCAGTGGCCAACGTGGCGCAGAGGTGGGTGGCGACCGTCTAACTGAAGGGTGTGGAGTCGCACTCTTGAAAAATTATTTTTATTTTTTTTTATTTGGCATTTATTTACACATACAATGAGCATGCATGCATGATTTAGACGAAGAAGATAGTTTGAGACTCTGGGAAGGACATAGGATACTCTTTATCCCGGAAATCATCCCTTAAGAGAGTGAAAATGGGGATGAAAGTTTGTACAGAGAAGCAAGCTAGGGACGAACCCGTGCGAAGCGAGGGTGAGTCGCTGGTAAAAAATAAACACAATTACATACATAAAATGAGTAAAAAGTTATAGGATCATTAAATTAAATCAAATTATATTATACAATAATCTAAGTATCCACAATTTCGTAATACGATTTCCATAAATATAAAACATTAATAAAAAATATTATAATAACAAGATCATAAGTCAATCAGGAGTGTTCTAGTTAAAAATGCAAAAGCGAAGTAAATGAACGAATCAAAAGTTTGTAAAGTATCAAAAGTCTTATATAAACATAAAATACAGTACCTGTAAGGATAATTTTGTTTAACAAAACAAACAAGATATACAATTTGATTTTTTTTTCAGAAAGCACATCTATTTAGGTAAACATAAAAAGCTAAACTTTATTTAAATATAAAATTTTATTCGAATAGAGCCCGTTCTCGAGGTACACAAAATAAATTTATATATTACTAGCAGAACCCGTGCTAAAAATTAAATAAAAAGGTTTCATACAAATTTACATTCCCTATTTTACCCCCTCATGGTATGAATTTCGAAAAATGCTAAAATACGTATTTATTTAATTGTATTCAAGAGCATTAATGCCAAGTTTCAAGTACTTCTGATCATAAACATTTTTTGGGTTGTATTATAACGTGTTTTCTCGAGGGAATAAGATTATCTCCCGTGGTAAAAAGTAGCCTATGCCACTCTCCAGCCCTCAAACTATTTCCAAATAAAAAATCATATCAATCCGTCACTCCATTTCGACGTGAAAGAAAGACAAACAAACAAACACATTTATAATGTTAGTATGGATATACAAGAATTGCCCATTTAATATTATAAGATATACACACTATAATAATATTATTAATTACATACATATTATGTAAGCACAAGTATATTACAAGTATATATACTTATAGGAATTTGATACTAAATAAATAAATTTCATTTCATAATATATAATACTTCAGTTGACTCAAAATTATATAAATTGTTCCATACTGGGTTAACTCTAATTCGGGCTGTTTTTATTTGCTTCAATAGGTAATAAATGTCGTTAATGTGCAAATTGTCGAATTATTCAATTTTTTTTAAATATAAAACATAAAAACCCCTTCATATTATTAAAAAATTCAACAAATTTAAAAAAGAAACAGTTCATAAAAATGGTGCTGTTGTACCTGATTTAATGCCCAATTAATTATTATTGTAGCTTTATTTCATTATTATTTTTTAATAATAATCAGTAAAATTACGCGAATTTGATTTACGAGAGCGTCATTTCGTTTTCCTTCATTTAGAATAATTTCTAAGAGTATAATATATTTTGATGGGATAATTTTTTTCTTTTCCTAATTTTACACTTCAAAAAATCTATTTCTTTATTTAATTTTATAGTATTTTGTTAGTATTCTATTGCCTGACATTATATTATAGAACTATAAGGATTTAATACGAAATTAAATATTTTCTTAATTCTCTTTCATTTATTTTATTATTTTATTATCATTAAATTCATTATTTTTCTTTAATTGAGAAATAAAATAAAAACTTTAAAGAAATACCCCAAACAAAACTCCATACACTATACGTATTGTCTATCTAAACATTGTCGTAGTACACACTCAATACACAGATGGCGCTGATCGTTTCTGAATCGCGCTATCGAAATGTTCTGCAGGAAAGTATATAACCCCGAGACACCGTCGAAACAGTAAATCCGTTCAGCCGTTTTTAAGTATTTTTGACGTGCTTAAGTTCAATTGCCTTGAACTGTAGCATTATTATGGTGTGTAATATGTTAGGTATAGTAAATAAAATGATTAATTTAATATGTTATTTATTGAATATATATAAATTAATATCGTGTATTTGTATTAAATAATTATATTATATTTATTATAAGTATTAAATAATTGTATTTATTATTGTATGTTTTGTTATTTATAGATATTATATGGAAATGGAATTCGATAGTAATATATTTTATTAATTAAAATAATAAGTTATAAGACTATAAGTGTTTACTATTTAGTCGTTATAAAAGAAAGGAATTCATAAGATTCATTTCCACTCTCGAATAATGAAAAAAATAATGTCATACGATTTGATCTTTTCTTTACATATTCTGAAAGTAGACTTTATGCATCATGAGGTAGTAATTTAATGAGAGAAAAAAACTACTTGCCAGACTTCAAACTTTGGTCTAACCTAGATTTTCTTTCAAAATGAGACATTTTAAGTATCAACAACACAACTAACAACTTTTGTTGTACTAACAACTTTTTTTATATAGAGCGCATATATGAAGTACATTATTCTTTATTTTATTTTTATGTTGTTATGTTATGCTACACAATATATTTAAAAATTATAGTAATTCCATCCTGCGCTTTGAGCCTTTCTTTGATTGGAAGATTATTATGAACAATTTTGCATTCTTCATTTAATTTTACACTAGCGAGTTAGCCTCGCTTCACTTGAATGCCTTATTAAATATAGTTTAGTAAATTTTATGACAAATACATAACTCTACTTTGGACTTCGCCGGAGTCGGGTAAATATCTGTCCAGCCTTTTCAGCGTAAAGGAGCAATATACACACAGATACATTTACGCACATTTTTGAGTACTCTGTCCATATGAATTATATGGATTTTAAAGTTATATATATAAAAAAAAGAATATATTTAAATGTATACCATCAATTGCCGCACAGACTGCCGTCGTCGCCCCCGGTGGTGGCGCAACCCATGTGCCCCACCGTGTCCTGCGCGAGCACCACCACCATACTGGTGGTGGTGGCCGCTCAACTGCTCCTCATGTTCCTCTACGGGCTGTACAAGTGAGTGCTAGTGTTAGTGTGCGTGCGTAGTGCTGGGCGTGGGCCTAACAATGCGAGTGGGATCATATAGTCATTTTCTAGACTTAATTTTTAGGGTTCCGTACCTCAAAAGGTAAAAAGAAACCCTTATAAGATCACTGTCTTGTCCGTCTGTCCGCCTGTCTGTTCGTGTGTCACCACCGATTTTCTCAGAAACAGGTGGATCCAGCAAGTTGAAATTTATACCAGATACTGAGGTCTATAGTCCCTATTAGGTGTATAAAAATCGTGGTCCTGAGTCGACACGATAAAAAGATATGAGCAAATTTACATTTTCGCGAAAACTTGTAAGTACCAAAATTCACTTTAATTTTCAACTTTTTTTATTTTTGACATTTTCCCTTTATTTGTGCTGTAAGAACTTTCTTTCAACCAAAATTGACAATTCTAGGTCAACCGGAAGTACCCTATAGGTTTTAGATCGAAAGCCTATATGGTAGTTACCGTTGACCTAGAATCACGAAATTTGGCAAAAAGCAAGGTCTTACAGCACAAATAAAGTTTCAAAAAATAAAAAAGGTGAAAATTAAAGTTTAACAGATGTCCTACAAATTTGTACGGAACCCTCAATGGACGAGTCCGACTCGCACTTGTCCGGAATTTTTTTCACCAAACATTACAATGACAAAAGAAAATATTTTATTAATATTTATGTTTTTTCCAGGGAAAGAAAGGAAGCACAAGCAAAGAAGTTCTTCTAGCTGTGTGTATGTTTTTGTGCACCAAACTACTTACGTACAAAATTCACTTCTACATTCATATACAAAAAATATAATATTTTTCATAAACAATTATTTATTTTCTCAGACATGAGCAACTATTTTTATAAATATTTTTTACTTAGAAATGATTTTATTTTTCTTAACGAATCTGTTCTACTTATTGTCAAATACATTAAAAAAGTATGACCTCTATATAAGAATAAAGTGTCTTCCTTTTCGTTTTATATAATTTTACTATAGATAAAGTAAAACGGCGTCTGTTTCTTTCGCGTCACTCTATATCTTAACGTGTATTATATATGTATATGTAGTAAAAATAAGCTTCTTTCCAGTCTCGAATGTCTTGTCAATTTTAAACGAACCTTATTTAATTAAATAATAACTTTTTCTTAAATATTTTTAAGAACGAAAGTTTGTTTCTTAATTTCGGTTGTGCGCTATTGGCATTTATTTTTTCTTTATTTAGAATATTTTAAAGAATTTATAAAGTATTTATATAATTATCTGTGACATTAATTTAATATATCTGTGTGGTACATTTTTTTTTAATTTTTAATAATTAACTAAAATTATTGAAATATTTTGTGATGTTGTTTCTATTTTTTTAAATCATATAGTATTACTTTCTATTCAACTTGAAGCCCAGTTGGCAGCATTTTTTGACATTGACATGTCTGTCATTATCTATGATTTAAAAAAAGTTACTCTCTTGTTAAGTTTTGAAATTTAATATGTCAACCAACTGATTTGTAAATAATATATGTATAATGTGAAATGAAATTTATTTTTGAAAGACATACAAGAGATTATTTCTGATATAAATACATAAATATATATATAATAATAGTACGTATGTGTACGTAAGTGGGTGGTGTGGAGTTTTTTTACCAGGATATGTGAGAGTATGGGAACTTGTGTACATATTTAATATATTTGTGTCTTAGTAAAATTTTATTATTTGTCACATTTGATGGTGTTTCATTTTTAACTAGTATCCCAACCCCACTTCTCTCGTCGCACTTTTTATAAAATTTAAATTATTAAATTTCTATATATAATCCACCATTTGGCAAAATTTATTACTATACCTACTATTTTACATGATATCTGAAACATTTTTTTTAGTTTCATATTTTATACTCAGTGAGGAATAATATAGACAAGAGGGTCATAGAATTAAACATGAAGCCAGACAATAATGTCTTACAACAGTACACAAATGACAATTTTTATACTGAATGACAACTAAATAAATGTTGTTAACGGATTTTATTATAATAAAAACAATATTAAATAATCTAATATTATGCTACCTCTCTTTCAATGGGAAGAGAACTAATGCTAAAAAATACAAGAGAGTATAGTGTTATATTTGTTACTAGCGACTCACCCTCGCTTCGCTCGGGTTCGTACGTACGTTCGTTTTTAAGTATAGAATAGACTATACTGTACAATGTACATACTTGTACATAGGAGTACGTAAGTATTATAAACAATAAAAAAAATATTCCTTACTTGAGAAATGATTGATTTTCCGTTCAATGTTCCACCCCCCTTTTCACCCCCTTATATACGACGTGTTTTCCAAGCTAAAATTTATCGTCATTCCCAGTGTCTCGAAATATTTCCATACCAAATTTCATCTAAATCGGTTCAGCAGGTTAATTTTGCGATCCACACAGTATGAACTAACTACAGACTTGAGACCACAGACCATTAGATGTAGTTCATACTGTGGATCGTGATAATAACAGTAATATTTTTTGTTTATAAACTATAAAGGTAGTAATAGTTTTGTTTAACATTTTAATTTTATATAATAGAAATCTTAATTAATATTTTTAAACCTAAATTTGTTTAATTAAATTCAAGATAAATTTTACAATACATATTTATGTAATATTTTAGTTTGATCATAAAAAAACAGACAGTTTGCAGATTAGCGACATCTATTATCAAATAAACAAAAATAGCCGCGAGAATAATCGGCCCTCAATAGTGCGGATTTAGGTTTCGCACAATTTCCTTCACCGGATTTAATTTTGGTTTGACGAATACGTTACAGCTATTCTAAATAGTGTATTTTGATTTTTTTATACTTATTGTTCATAAAATAAAATAAAAATCCCACTTTGTTAGAATATTTTATTACATTATGAAAAGTAAAAGTAATATATTTTATAATATAGTTAAAAATAATAAACGGTTAGGTTAGTAATATAATCAGTAAATTATTCATGTTAATGTGTATGTATCTAAGGCTGTTTCAAAGTGCAATGGTGCGTGTGTTCTAATATTTCGAGAGAGAGTAATGCCCGATTTCACCAACGTCACCTAAGTTTAAGGGATCCCCTAAGCATGGTTAGGAGGCTGTTAGAGGGCAGTTTCTGTTTCACCGACAATTAGGGGTCACCTAAATGTTAAAAGGCCTCCTAAATTTAGGTGTCGAAATATGGGCTTAAAGACGATGGTAAAACGAAGTTTAATTTAGGGGCTAGTTTAGGGAAAATTTTAAGCTAGGGATCCCATACGTAGGTGGTAGCTTATGGGTTGTTGGTGAAATTGGGCATAAGACTTTCAGATTTACTGTATGTAACACAGGCTGGGTTTTATTATTGATACGTGTAGTCGGACGTCTAGCTTTAAATTAGGGAAGTCCCCGTGCTCGCCCGAAATAAGGAATCCCCTCGGGCCCCGGGACAGCGTGGACAAGTTTTACTTCCGCTTGATGTAGAGGTATGAAAAATACCTGTTTTCTGTAATTTTTTTTTCTATCATAAATCCCTATTACCTATATATTATTATATATTTATCAATTGTAAGGACTCTTATAAAATTTAAAAAGTTTTGTGCACGATTCCATTTAAGGAACCGACTGCCCTTTAATTAAAATTTTGACTTAACTGCTTTTGAGAAGGAAATAAATGATCGATTATGTTTTTTTCTCAAAAGGGTAGTAAGGATGATCTAACCACTTGTACTGAGCAATGGTTCTGTAGCCTTTATCAAAACTCTTCAGTTTCTGCTTCTCTTCATCCGTCAGCTCGAAGTCGAAGATGTCGATGTTTTGTTCTATGCGATTCTTTGTGAGAGACTTGGGTAGTGGGACAACGCCTAATTCCACCTGAAATTAAAATATTTAAAAAATGACGGCGGCCAATTACACTGACATTAACAATGTGCGCAGGAAATGTCCCTTTATTGCTTTAACCTTCAAACTTTGATGCGATAAGTAAAGTGAAAACATTATACAAAATAAAAATAATTATTATATTTAATTATAAGCCCTAAAGATTTTAAGTAAAAATCCAACCCCGTGTGGAATAAGCTATTTTTTTTTGTTTTAGGGTAATTTTAATAAGAATAAGTTGACAAATTTTCTGCTTCAGGACTGCATCTACATACTCGTATGTGACGAAATCTTTACTTTACGAACACGATTTTCAACCATTTCAAAACTTCAGATTTAACTGAAACTTTGCATATTTATCAAGGCCGATGAGACAATACAATAATTTAATACAAAAGAAATATTTAAGAAAATAATAATTTAAAAAACAAAAAAAAAACGCGTTTATAGCAGATCAAACTAAAAAATTGAAAATAAATTTTAGTTTAAAAACCTAAGAACACGCTTTAATGATGAAACGAACTGAAAAGTAAAAAATATTTTTAGTATAAGAACTAGGGACTCACCTTCGCTTCGATCAAGTTTCTTCCTATAAACATACGTTTTAACGGCAAGTATAAAATAGACAGAATATGTGTAATATATAACACTAGCGGACCCGACAGACGTTGTCCTGTCTACACGTCTTTAATTTGAAAATTTCAAACTTTTTTTTTTAATAAGCTAAAACATTCTGGACCATTTTGATGAAAATTATTATTCAAATTGTGAATCTAAACCATTCCCAGATCCCCTTGAACACACACAAAAAATTTCATCAAAATCGGTCCAGTCGTTTAAGAGAAGTTCAGTGACATACACACTCACAGAAGAATTATATATATAAAGATGTACAATGTACATACATAGGTACAGAAAAGTAGGTAAGTATTATAAAAAATAAATAATGAAGTCGGTTAAAAAGAGACGTATGAGATGATTCTTAGAATAGAATAGAATGAATTATGAATAAAAGAAAAGAAGAATGATTTATAATAACGACGGTTTTCTGTAAGTTTAATAGCATAAATAGTTAGTGTGCTATTGAGTTCTTATACTTGTATCCTCGAAAAGAACTTCGAAAAATTCCACCGATAAGGGTGGAATAACCTTTAACTGATGATGAAGTTGACGAATCTTTTATTTTTAGTAAAAAGTAAGTTTCTATTAAGGTATGAACTCTTCAAAGATGGGAACTACTTACCAGGTATCTTAAAGCGATTTGTGGAACTGTTTTGTTGTATTTATTAGCTATTTCCACTAAGATAGGATCATCGACCCGCGGCGGGGGCGCGTCTGCGGCGGCCTTGTTATAGAAGAGAGACCCAAACGGAGTGTAGCCTTGCACCACGATGTCTTGGGACTTGCAGTAGGCGAGAAGTTCTGGTTGCTGAAGATTCAGACTTATCTGGAAAATATATAAGTTCCTAATTCCTATAGATAAATCCAACATCATATTTGTGTGATGAGCGCGAATGTATGTACTCCAGTCATGGGTGTTTATATTTATAATATGTATGTATTTAATGTTATATATTACGTGTAGTGTATCAACTATCTGGTATTCATAACACAAGCCTCGTAGCTTTCCATGGAACTAGATGGTGTTTGTGTGTTAATGTCCCAACATATTTATTTATTTATATTTAGCCTGTTTTTACCCACTGCTGGACAGAGCCTCTCCTATGGCACGCTACTGAACTTTATTTTAAGGTCATAGACAAATTGCGTCTCCACTATGACCCAAACGGGGTGTAGCCACCCCGTTTGGGTCTATGGGATATTATTTGTGGGAATTAATTACGAATAAATAATAATAAAAGTAATAATAGTATTTTTATTTTTTATTTTCAAGCATTAGTTCTTTTCCCTTGAAAGAGAGATAGTGTTCGCGCCTTAAAGCAGATGTGGACATACCGCCTCACATCACCCGCATCTTATTTTTTAACTGTAACCGTTGCTATAGCGACTTGTCAATATATATGTCATACATTACCCTTATAGACTTTAATAATTAAAATATGTAATTAAAGATACAAAAATAAATAAACTTTTCAATCCATCTGGAACACCTCCGCCAGCGAACCTTCCCCACCAAGTGGTCCTACGATCCGGATTAACATAGAAGACGGAGACAGCGGGAAGATTATTCAAAGGCGAGCGTTATTGTTCCTATCGTTACATTAATATAAGGGAATTTTATATTCCCGCAAACATTATACGTTATCTATTTCTTAATGATAATTCAGCTTATAAGACATTATGTCTACATTAATTGAGTTAAGAAGAAAGCGAGCATCATATAAAGCAAAGCTTACTCAATTCGGCTCTTATGTAGAGTCCATATGCGCTTGTGAAACGCCAAATAAATCACAAATATGTGATCTTAACCTTAGATTATCAAGAATTGAAGAATGGTATGGTCAATATGATGCTTTACAAATTGAAATAGAGAGTTTTCCAAACATTTCAGAAACCGAGTGTGAAAAGGAGTATGAGTATCGTGAGAAGTTTGAAATCGAGTACTTCGCTACTGTTGGCAAAGCGCGAGAGTTGGCGAGCAGGTTTACTTCTGCGCAGCCAGGCAAGGACGACCATGGGTCGGCTGATTCTCTATCTGGCACTGTGCTTACGGCGGTTAGGCCTAGTCTTAAGTTACCTACGATACACTTACCTACCTTTTCGGGTCGTTATGACGAGTGGTTGAGATTCCATGACACTTTCATGTCACTTATACATTCTAATGATAGTATACCGAAGATAAATAAATTTCATTATCTACAATCATCTTTAAAAGACAAAGCCGCAAACGTCATTACGTCTTTAGATTTCTCCGCCGACAATTACGACATTGCATGGCAGTTATTGTGTGATCGCTTTCATAATAATAAGGTTCTAATAAACAATCATATTCAGGCATTATTTGACATTGAACCCATCATAAGAGAGTCATCTGTCGCGTTAAGGAATGTGATTGATAGCATTAATAAAAACCTTAGGTGTCTTCAAACTTTAAACATTAGTACACAGAACTGGGATCTACTCATAATTCACATGGTTTCTAGTAAATTAGATAACGTCACAAACAGGAAATGGAGAGAATATTTAAATGAGTTAGATAAAATGCCAAATTTAGAAAACTTTATCAAATTTATACAAAATCGCGCAGGATTATTAGAAACCATAGATAAAATACACGTTAAACACAGATACTCCGAACCAATTAGGTCCCGTGCACTAGTTGCAAAGTCTGACGTACAAACACAACGTTCATATATGTGCCCTTATTGCAAACAAGATCATGCTATTTACCTATGTTCTAAATTTAAGGCTTTAACTGTTCAAGCCAAAATAAATAAAGTTAAGCAATTGAAACTTTGCCTCAATTGTTTGCGTCAGGGACACGATGTAAAACGATGTAGGTTCGGTCCATGCCGAGTCTGTGCTAAGTGGCATAACACTTTATTGCATATTGACGATTCAGCACCCAATACACCAGAACAATCTGCCGCTACCAGTTCCACCACCACAAGCGAGAAGCGCGTCATGTTGGCGGCTCCGGCGCCTGAGGACGTCGAGTCTGATTCGCAGTCAATTAATGATGACAAATCAAATCAAGTTAATGTTGGTTTATCATCCACTCATAGTGGTTACACTCTTCTGTCCACAGTACTCATTAACGTTCTTGGTGGCGATGGTAAATGGCACACTGTTCGCGCCTTACTTGATAACGGTAGTACGTCTAACTTTATTACAGAAAAAATAAGTAAATTGTTAAAGATTCCTTTTCATTCAACTTCGGCAACCGTCGAAGTATTAAGTCGTGAAGCGATTTGCATTAATAAACGTTCTATCGTTACCATATCTTCTAGGACTGAAACGTATAAAACAGACATTTCTTGTTTTATTATATCATATATAACTCAAATGCTGCCGGCCACGTATTTTAATATTAAATCATTAAATATTCCTAAGAATATATGTTTAGCCGATCCAAACTTTAACTCACCGTCTGAAATAGACATGTTACTTAACGCGGATGTTTTCTGGAATACATTAGGTAACGAACGTATTGCGTTAGGTAAAAATAGGCCGATCCTTAGTAATACGAAATTTGGTTGGTTAGTGTCTGGTGCTATGTACACACAATCAAATATAAAAAACACGCGCGTTAATACAGTCCATTGCAATTTTGTAAACGAACTTGAGCTTCAACATCAGCTTAATAGATTTTTTGATTTAGAATCCATATCTTCACCTCGTAAAACAACAAAACAAGAGGACGAGTGTGAACAACATTTCGTTACGACAACCAAACGTCAAAAAGATGGTCGTTTCGTTGTGCGCATTCCCTTAACACAATCTCCGGAGGTATTGGGCGATTCGTATGAACAGGCATTGACTCGATTGCAGTCTTTAGAAAGAAAGTTTAAACGTTATCCATTACTTAAACAAAGATATTGTGACTTTATACAAGAATATATTGATCTTGGTCATATGTCTGTAAATACGAATTACTCTAATGAAAAACAATCATATATATTACCTTATCACGGTGTTTTGCGTGAGTCCAGTCTTACAACGAAACTAAGAGTTGTATTCGACGCCTCCGCCAAAACTACCACAGGAATATCATTTAATAATATCCAAAGTATAGGTCCGACTGTACAAGACGATTTAATTTCAATCTTAATTCGTTTTAGACAACACAAATACGTCGCTACTTCTGAAATGTACAGATGTGTACTTGTTGCAGAAGTTCAAAGATATTTACAAGAAATACTTTGGCGTTTTGACGCTAGCCATGAAATAAATGTATACAAACTCAACACCGAATCTGAGTTAAACTCTGCCACGAATACACTATGTAAATTAGTGCAAATCGACATGTTCTCAAATGAATATACACTTTTACTTAAAAATAAACCTCTACCAATTAAAACACGCACATTAAGTTTAAATCCGTTCATATCAAATGAAAAACTAATTCGAGTTGGTGGTAGACTATCAAACTCTAATTATGATTATGACACGAAACATCCTGTTTTACTTCATGCAGCACATTATGTTACCAAGTTGTTATTTAGACATTACCACAAGATCTTGTTACATGCAGGGCCTCAACTGCTTTTAGCTATATTAAGACACAAGTTCTGGGTAATAGGAGGTCGAAATCTAGCTCGAAAGGTAACACATGAATGCCATGCATGTTGTATATTCTCAGGCAAAACGATTCAACCTTTAATGGCTAGTTTGCCAAAAGAAAGGCTTTATAGTGAGTTTCCCTTTTTTAACACTGCAGTAGATTATGCTGGTCCTATAAATTTAGCCGACAGAAAAGGTAGAGGGTGTAAATTAATAAAATCGTATAGTATGTAATGTTGTATAGTATGTGTTGTATATGTAAGAGCAGTTCATATTGAACTAGTTACAGACTTAAGCTCCGAGGGTTTCATAGCTGCATTAAATCGATTTATAGCTCGCAGAGGTAAACCTGCAAAAATCTTCTCAGATAATGGAACTAATTTTTTTGGGGCTAGTAACGAGCTCGCCAAATTTCTCAAATCGAAAAGTAATGACATTAGTTCTTATGCGGCTGAGCACTCGATCCATTTCAAATTTTCTCCGGCTTATAGTCCTCATTTTAACGGCCTCGCCGAAGGTTCAGTAAAATCAATAAAATACCATTTAAAAAGAGTGTTGTCTCTAGCACATTTGACATACGAAGAACTAAACACGGTCTTGATTCAAATAGAAGGAATCCTCAACTCAAGACCTATAACTTCTTTATCGTCCGATCCCAGTGATTTGAATCCGTTAACTCCTTCTCACTTCCTGATTGGTCGGACTCCAATTATGCTGCCCCACTCTCAGATTGATTTGATAGGAGAGAACCAGATTTGTACGCTGCCTCGCTACCAAAGAGCACGAGCGCTCGCGCAATATTTTTGGAATAGATACTATAAAGATTACATCTCAGAGCTCCAGAAACGCACTAAATGGCGGCGCACAGACAGTCGAGAGCTACGAATCGGAGACTTGGTCGTAGTGAAGGATGATTATTTTCCGCTAACCCGCTGGCTGCTTGGTCGAATTATAGGCCTACATCCAGGGCCTGACGGCATAGCTCGTGTCGCCGATATCACTACTTCTTCTGGATCAATTCGAAGAGCCTACAATAGAATTTGTCCTTTGCCTGTCTCTGAAGATTAACTTGGATCCTGAGGATCCAAGCCCGGGGAGCATGTTCGCGCCTTAAAGCAGATGTGGACATACCGCCTCACATCACCCGCATCTTATTTTTTAACTGTAACCGTTGCTATAGCGACTTGTCAATATATATGTCATACATTACCCTTATAGACTTTAATAATTAAAATATGTAATTAAAGATACAAAAATAAATAAACTTTTCAATCCATCTGGAACACCTCCGCCAGCGAACCTTCCCCACCAGATAGCATAGTATTTTTTCTTTATTATAATAATAAAATCCGTCAAATTATTTTTATTAAGTAACATTTATCTACTTATCACTTCATATCACTTTAAAACATTATTTTTTGACTTATAGTTACAAGCTTTTATTTAGTTTCACCTGTTCCGGTCTGTGTAACGAAATCTTGCAAGTTAAATTTGACCTACTTCCCAGTTGAGCTGAAATTTGGTACACTACTTTGGTTCCTGATACAATGTACGATTACATAAATGCCGCCATTTTTAGACCAATATGACGGAACTTACAAAAGGGCATGAAATGAAAGGGCTTGATTAGCGAAACACAATAGGCAACGTGACGTCATTGTAAATCCAATATGGCGGCCACCTCAAAATGGCGAGTTATAATTTTCACATTAACCCGGTATAGGTATCAAATGAAAGGGCTTGTTAAGCGAAAAACTATGAGTAAAGAAACGTCATTGTAAGTCCAATATGGTGGACGTCATTTACCTGTGTAGATAAACAAGAATATAATAATGAAAATAGGTAAATCTCGCGATAAGCTTTTATATCATATAAATTTTGGAATGTGTTAAATTGTTGGGTTTGATGTTTATTTTCTTTCATTTTAGAGCATTTAAATATAAATTTTAAAATATTTTTTTACTATTAAATTATTTTTTAGTTTAGTTATGTAACAGTGTGTATTGTCCTTAGTCTTAGATCTATACATATAATAAAATCGTAACTAAGCTGAATCTGTACATTGAATATTTTTTGGAAAATTTCATTGAAATAGACTTTATTATCGATACAGAGGTCGAATCTATAGTTTTTAGAATTTTTGTCTGTCTGTCTGTTTGTCTGTTACCGCATCACGGAAAAACCACTGGAGGGATTTTGATGAAATTTGGTATGGTGATAGCTGGTTATCCGGGTCAACATATAGGATACTTTTAACCGCGGGAAAATATCTCATTTTTGAGAAAAAATACAAAAATTGCAATGTAAGAGTATACTAATATGTAAAACCTAAGAATTTGGTTTTGGTTATCTGAACGCGGGTGGAGCCGCGGGCAATGCTAGTTATAAATAAACTTCTCGACGATTTCATTAGGTAATTTATTTGCGACATTTTTGGTATTTTTTGGGGTCTTACCTCAACCTGAAGCGCGGCTGGTTTCTCAAGACCACTGTCTATGATTTTCTGTATTTGCTGTTGGTTGAAATTGGACAAGCCTATGGACTTAGTGAGGCCAAGCTTCTTGGCTTCAATCATTCCTTTCCATGTTTCTATACTGTCGGTTAGGTCGAATGTGCCGTTAGACTGAAAATTAATGATAATATGGTAATTTCTTATGATTTTAAGATATATGTATGAATTTTCTACACATATAATGTTGTATCTTTCTATACATATAATGTTCTGGCGAGTGTGTGTTCGTAATTTTTCTCCTCCTAATAATAATTAAGCCCTTTTTAACGCCCCACTGCTGGGCGTGAGGAAGATGTCCTAGTCCACCACGCTGGCCAAGTGTGTCCTAAATGGCTTGACCGATTTTGTAAATTTTTTAGAGTAGTTTTGAGATCACCATTATTTAAATATTGGATAAAATATTTTTTTCTAAATTTTGAGTGGTCTTTCTTCGGAGCAGCTGAAGTGATTTCAGAAGTTAAATAAAGCGACTATTCGTATTCTTTAGCTCAGGAAAATTTTGGATATTGCGTGATCAGTAGGTAAGTACCTACTGAATATTTCCTTCACAGACCTATATTTTGTTTTTTTTAAAAGATAATTTCAATCAAATTCGCATTTGATAAACTCTCATTCTTAATACTCTAATTTTCCCAATTGTAATTTTTAACATGATATTATTTCAAAAATATTATTAGAAACTACAGTCTACTTACAAACTGGCCACACGGCCAATGTATGAGGTATAAGTCGACATAGTCGAGTTGAAGATTGCGGAGGGACTCTCGCAGCGCCGGAACTACAGCATCTCGCGCGTGTTTGTCATTCCAGAGCTGAGGACAACTTGCTTTTTAACTATACAAATTATTGTTGTAAAGTACAGTATATTAATTTGGCCATCTAATAGTATACAAATAACGAAATTATTTATGTACAATTTAAATAAAATACGAATCGTGTAACTTATACACAAAAACAAAAATAAAATCTACATCTTAAAGAGAAAATAGAAAAAACGTCATTCATTTTGTATAATGTAACACTACTTCCTAAATTCGGGTTATTATTAAGATTGAAGAAAACCCAAATAACCTCATTTGGTCCGACTCCGGACTGGAACCCACGGCTATGGCCGTACATACTAGGTGTAGGTTGTATAGTCACTAGGCAGAAACAATTTCAGTTAGCTCATAAGAATACCTTAGTTGTGACAAATACGTCCTCTCTCTTCACTCCTTTCAGTCCCTTCCCGACCTGGTCTTCGATTTTATATATCCAGGCGGTGTCTATGTGCTTGTATCCGACGTCTAAAGCCCATTTTACAGCTTGTTCTACTTCATTAGATATTGGTGTCACGCGACCCTGGAAAAAAAGATGTTAGGTGGACGTCTTTTTTGTTTTTCCATCTTTGTTGGGTATATTTAATGATATATCTCTTTGAAATGTCTCCAAAAAGTATTAGATTGTAAGTTTTAAAAGTTAAATTTTTCGAAATTGTAGGTCGTAAAGTCAGAAAGATAGACAAATAGTTACAGGAACATATTAAGCACTAAAATATCGTGATATATACTTTCTAACTTAGAGTGACTGATTTTATGGATTCTATTTTTGGGCAAATATTTATGATAGTTATCTATACTAATATTATAAAGAGGTAAGATTTATTTGTTTGTTTGTTTGTTTGTTTGTTTGTTTGTTTGTTTGTTTGTTTGTTTAGTTGTATGCTTTTACCGAATAGTCTCCGAAAATACTGAACTGATTTAGATGAAATTTGGTATGATAGTTTGACACCCTGAAGAACGTAGGATGGTTTTTACCCTGAAAATCATTCCTTAAGGGGTGAAAATGGGGATGAAAGTTTGTATGGGGAAGCAACCTAGGGTGCGTCGCTAGTATAAATATAAACACATCAGATTTAATGATCCGCATGAGTTTGGTACGTTTAAATGAAAGGCTGGAAGTCCAAACACCCAGACCACTGACATCAATGGTCATAAAGACTCTTATGGTGTCCGGGAATCAAACCCGTAACTTGTGCAGGACACCTTCCACACCATTAAACCAACAAAGCAATGAAAATATATTTTTTACATACAGATGAGTTACTCCCAAGCCACGTTCCGAGCGCAATAGCCGGCATTTCATTTCCATCATTTAGTCTTCGAGTTGGCGCTAGCACCGCTCCATTCTGAAACCATATTTAACCATCCTTAAAAATTATTATTCAATTCAAAAAATACGTCAACTTCAAAAGGTCTATAAGATAACGGTACCACTCATACGAATTCATTAAAAAAACCTGTATTAAGTTCTAGTACTTTTCGCGTTGGTCAATTATATCTTTCAAGCGAATTTGTGGTTAAGGCGCCCAATCTCTGAGATTAGCCATCTATAGTGAGATATTATAGAGGGAGGGTACACTAATGTATGAAAATATAGCTCTCCCCTAGGCACGATGGTCCCAATTCCTGATCTCCAGGATGATGTAGGGAATTTCTGGATAAAGAACACAATAACCAACCCAATTTGCATGTCTTGGGACTCGAACACAATAAAAAATCTGAGCTCAATGATACACTGTTAAAATTACTTAGTGGCAGTGAAACATTATTCTACCAAGTATGATACATATTTTATGATTATAGGTACTCGTATTTGCAACATTGCAATGCAGTTTGCAACAAACTGGTATTCTAATAGAAACCGATGTAATTATTTATGTAGTATAATATATATTTAGTACCTATGCCCCTATTTAGGCTATTGAAATTTATATACAGAAACTCAAGATACAAAATTAATGTCTCAAAAGTGGCCTCAAAAAGAAGCGCACATTTTCAAATTGTGCGCTTTTTAAAATCTCCTTTGTTCGTTGTTTTTCAAATGACAACATTAAAACGCAAGCTATTACGTTAAAAAAAGCATTTTAAATAGTGTTTAGACAATTAGAAAATTCGATTTTTGAATTTTATTCCCTGGTTTAACTTAACGTCACAATTCAACGCCACATTTTAAAGAGGTATTTGTCTCTTTATCTATGTTTTTATATATCAATGGCTTTTGACTGTCAATTTAACCTTTGAACTTATGCAGTTTTAATCATTTATTAAAACAATATCGTTTTCACACTCTAAATTCTGTATGTTTCTTACTTATTCACTTTGAAACGATTTGAAGAATTTGGATGATATTTATTATATAGACAGATAGACCATGACCTGGAGGAACACAGACTACTATCTATACATATAATAAAACTGTAGAGGTCGAATGTCTGTACAAAGAAAAAAAATGCTAAAAACCGAGTCAGGGAGATGTAAGAAGAGAAATAGATTAAATCTCTATAAAGCCAGATTTTTTTCAAATTTATTGTTTCTCCGTTTGTTTGTTGGTCTGTTTGAACGGGCTAATCTCCTAAACTGTTAGATCAAGTTAAATGAAATTTTACATGGTGGTACCTTATATCCCCGGTTAATATTTTAGATACTTTTCATCCCGGAAAATCAAAAAACTCCCGTGGGATAGTTAAAAAAACTATAGTAACTTATACAGCTTAATACACAAAAGCTACTGATTGGATTTTAATGAAACTTTACCATAATATTGTTCCTACATCAGAATAACAAATAGGTTAATTTTTATCCCGGAAAAATGTACGGTTTCCGTGGGATAGATATGCTTTTGTTTGTGTAGAGGCGAACCCGAGCGAAGCGAGGGTGAGCCGCTTGTTAGTAATAAAATTTGCCAAAATATAATGCTGTCTGCTTATCTATGTATAATAAAATTATGAGTCGAATCTGTACATTAAATATTTTTTGAATAATCTTATTGAAATAGTCATTATTATCGATACAGAGAATCTATAGTTTTTGTGTGTCCGTCTGTATGGGAACGCATCACGACTAAACCATTGGAAAGATTTTGATGAAATTTGGTATGATGATAGCTGAGTATCCGTGTCAACATATAGGATACTTTTTACTACGGGAAAATATCTCGTCTCTAAGAATAAGCTAGCTAGCTATACTAACCGCTAAAACGTTCCTAAGGACGAACTCGAGCGGAGCGAGGGTGAGTCGCTAGTAATATTATAAATACAAAAGGCATTGAAAAAGCAGCTTTTTTAACGTCGGCAAATGCATATGTACAGGCGGCTACGTGGGACCCACTGAATGCAAAAGCTATTACTAGGTGCCCACTAAAACCAAACAGAACCTCCCCCGTCTTAATGGGGCGATGCAGGAACACTTACGCACTCAATCATGACATCACGACTTCCCGACGCGCGGTTGCCTGCCGAAGCAGACCACACAACCAAGGGGTTGCTCCCACGATCGACTTTACTATCAGAGAAGTACCAGGAGCAACAGTGCCTGAGCCTATACCATCTTCCAAATGCATTTATTAGTTAAATCTATAGATAAGCTTTATTTAATTTTTAACCGACTTCCAAAAAGGAGGAGGTTTTCAATTCGTCGGAATCTTTTTTTTAATGTATTTCACCGATTACTCGAAGACGCCTGAACCGATTTGGATTTTTTTTTCTTTCGAAGGGTATACTTTCCAGGCGGCCCCATTTAAATATGATCGAAATTGGTCGAGCGGTTTTTAGAAAAATCAAAAATAAATTATTTTTTTAAATAAATTGCTTAATCGTATATGTTGTTAAAAAAATTTCTTCTTACAAATTACCTGCTTATTACGTCTACACTAAAAAGGAAAAATAAAAACTTAAAAAAACCGACTTCCAGGCACTAAAATGTAAAAAATAAGTAAACCGGGGTTTTCATTTAGAATAGATACTTTATCAGATATTTTCGAAGTCGGTGCGGTTTTCGGTATTTTTTAAGTTTTTAGTAAAGCGATTTTCATAGAAATTAATGAAAGGTATTCTATCGAGCACAATAAGATTTTAAGGGAAATTGCGATAATTTTCAAAAAATTACTTACAATGATATAGACAAAATTGAGCAGGAGGAATAATATTTTTAAGTACGAGGACATTGTGCGCGCGCGCAGTGTGAATGGCTACTGAGTTCTTGACCTCGGCGATAAACCAGTCTAGCTTATTGACTATATTTGATAGAGTGGATTTGTTTACCTTTTATATAGATAAAGTACATAAACATTTAATCTTTATTTACAACTAGCGACTCATCATCGCTCCACTCGGGTTCGTCCCTACTTACGCTTTGTTTTTCTCAAATTACTACTACACAGAAAACCACTGGACAGATTTAATGTAATCCTCAAGCCAAAAGAGGCAAAACGAGTGCGGGTCGCAATATTAAAAATGCGAAAGACACTAAGGAGTACACCCAAATAAAGTCAGGGCAAGCCACCAGAAACACACCTAGTAAACTTGTACCTACACCACGTTTTGCTGATAAAGTTAAATGTATTTTTAGTCGTTCTATGTACGCAATATTTCTAGCTTACATTTTTTTTTACTTTGTATCATACGGTACCACCACATATAAGAGCCCCCGCGCACTTGGTAGCTTGGCTGCGGCAGCCAGTCGAACATATGACGGCCTATAGGAGCCCACGCACTAGGCAGCCATGGCTGCCTGGCGGCGGCAGCCATCAGAACGCGCCTGATTGCACGGCAGCCCATTGGATGTCTAGTGCGCGGGATCTCTAAATAAATCTTAATAAAAATGAAAGTGCCTGTCTCTTTTCAAAAAAAAAATTGTCTGTCTGTTAGTCTGTCTTTCTGTTTGTTCGGGGTGATCTTTAGAACGGCTTGACCATTTGTAATGGGATTTTTACTGAAAGATAGAGGACTTTGTAGAGTTACATATAGGGTGAGTTTTATTCTGGTAATATTTAGGGTTCCAGCGCAAAAAATGAATTTACGGCTTCAGGAAAAAGCAATTAACATACGTACGAAATTTTTAAACTCGTACTTTAACAAACAAACGTATATAAAACTAGCGACTCAACCTCGCTCGCTCGGGTTCGTCCTAGCTTGCTTCCCAATAAAAACTTTCATTCCCATTTTCACCCACTTATGAGATGATTTCCGGGATAAAAAGTATTCTATTCTTTCATCTAAATCGGTTCAGTAGATCCAGAGATTACCTCCTACAACGTCACAAACACACAATCTCACAAACTTTACCTCTTTATAATATTAATATAGATTTGCATGCTAATACAGTTTTAATTACCATGTTTATATTTTTTTCTATTCGCCACAAAACAAGCCATTGTTATGAGTAACTCATATCAACATCTCGTAATAAAACCTTGAGGAACCGATTTCTCGGAGACGGCTTGACCAACTTGGCTGATTTTGCTACTTAAAGCGGTATTGTATTAGGGTAGGTCCTGAGGTGTTGCCATAAAATTTTCTTTGACATAGAATATACTGTTTTCGAGAAAATCTGTGAAAACCCATGAAATTTCAAGTGTGTTGACAGATTTAATTTGACTTCTTTACCTGCTTTTAATTGTCCTAACGACTTGAAACTTTAAAAGTGTTTGTAATTCCGATAATAGTATAGTAGGTAATTTGGTATCTTGGAGCTGATATTCAAGCCAGTAAGGCCAGAAGGTGGATAGTGGAACAGTTCAACGATTCCTAGTAAATAGTTTGAATTTGGACTTATTTGGTTTAACACTTACTTCGATTTACGTGAGTAGTTGACATCCATACTAATATTATAAAAGTAAAAGTGTGTTTGTTCGTTTATTTATTTTTTTGTCCTTCTTTCACGTCGAAACGGATTAACGGATTGGCGTGATTTTTGTGTGGAGATAGTTGGAGGGCTGGAGAATGACATAGGCTACTTTTTATCGTGGGAAATTATCTCATTCCCACGGGAAAACACGTTATTATACAGCATAAAAAATATAATAGAATTACTTGAAACTTGGTATTAATGCTCTTCAATAAAATTAAATAAATACGTGTTTTAGAATTTCTCGGAATTCATCCCCTAAGGGGATAAAATAGGGGATGAAAGTTTGTATGAAAACTACCTTTTTAGAGTTTTTTTATAGTTTTAGCGCGAGCGATGCCGCGGGTTCTGCTAGTTTAAAGTAAAACTATCTTTTCGGATTATATCGCCGATTTATTTTGGTTTTTGGTTCCCGACGTTACGAATGCTTTACAGCAATCATGGTCACGGAATGACTAAGGGTTTAGACGTCTCAAACGCTTTATATAATTGGTATAGACAGTGCCTAGACACAGTTTTACAAAAAATGATTTCATAAAAATTCAAAAATGGCACCAAAGTACCTTACAATATTTGTTGATTTTAATTCTAAGCATGTTATTTTTTTTAATAAGTATTATAATTAAATACAGCCATATTATAATTTTAATTTTACTTATTTTATTTTTTACTAACTATATGAATTAATAATATTATTTCGTATTGCTATTACTATAATATGTATATCTATACTAATATTATAAAGAGGTTAAAGTTTGTGAGTTTGTGGGTTTGTGAGTTTGTGACGTTGTAGGGAGTAATCTCTGGATCTACTGAACCGATTTTCAAAATTCTTTTATCAATAGAAAGCCACGTTGTTTCTGAGTGTCATAGGCTATATATTAACCCGAAAAATTAAAAGGCTTTTTCATGGTAGTCGGATTTGCAAAGTAAGTCGGAGAAAAAACGGTCGAACGAAAACGTTTCTTACAAACGCTGCCTTAACGATGAGAGATATATGATTATATTGTAGAGAAAAGTTGTAGAGCTTAATAATGCCTACAAAAAAGTCAGCGACAGCATATGTCTAACTTTTATATTTAAGTCACAAAAAGTAGTTTTTAATATTAAAAAAATAATTTAAATCGGTAGGTCATGTTTATTGCTCATATTATCAACAATTATGAATTCTTATCAAAATAAGTAAATTTATCGTCTAAAATGTTTAAAACAAAAGACCTTTGCCTTTTACTGCATATAATTTGGACAAATGGTTAAAGAGCTCGTAATACAACATATTCGTAGATATGGACGAACCCGAGCGTGCTGTTTGTCTGTTTTCCTGTTTGTACGGGCTAATCTCCGAATCTATTGGACCAATTTAAATAAAATTTTGCATGGTGGTACCTTATATCTCCGGGCAACATTTTAGATACTTTTCATCCCGGAAAATTAAAGAGTTCCCGTGGGATAGTTAAAAAACTATAACAAATTATACAGCTTAGTACACAAAAACTACTGATTGGATTTTAATGAAACGTTACAATAATATAGTTCATACATGACAAAAACAAATCAGTTACTTTTCATCGCGGAAAATTAAAGACTTTCTGTGGGATAGTCAAAAAACTATAGTAAATTATACAGCTTAGTACACAACAACTTACGCACTTAATTTAGTAAAATTTGGCACGCTGATACCTTATATTGCCGGTCAAACAACAGGTTACTTTTCATCCCGGAAAAATGAACGGTTTCCGTGGGATAGATCTGTTTGTGCCTTTCTAGAGGTGAACCCGAGCGAAGCGAGGGTGAGCCGCTAGTAACCTATAAAGAAAAAAGCTATAAAGAAAATAAAAAAATAAAAAAAATAATTTAGATTGCTATTATTTAAAGTTAAAAAGTACCTAGATGACTTTTTTGTTATATTGTATTTTTTCGATCCAAAAAACTAAAAACTTGTATAAATCCAAAAATCTCATGAATATTTATGTTTAATGATATTTCATGTCCTTTATTAATATATTTTACAATATAGTTGAAAAATCATAAAATATGACTAAATAAGTCTGTAACTCTATTAACTATTGGTAATACAAGATATCTAACCTATCCAATTTTGTTGCAAATTTTATGTAATTGCATTTGCACCATTTTTTTTGTTTAATTATTATCGATATTTCAGTTCGTAAAAGCATAAATTTGAAAAAATAAATATTCGTGAGTCTGTAACTTTGTTGTTATTGATGATATGAAAAAGGTGACAAATACTTTTTTATACCATTTTAAACGTACTACAAATTTGCCATTTAACATTTTTCTCTAACTCTTACAGTTTAGCTAAAAAATGCAAAAAACCGTAAATTTGAACTTCAAAGCCACATAACTAATCAAATATTGAATATAGAAATTCGACTTAATAGAACTTTTCGTAGTAAATTTAATAGTAAAAACGGGTCATTCATAAATTTTTTTTGAAAAATATTTTTGTCACAGTTTGCAGGACAAAAAAGTGTTAAAATCATATTTTCCATACAATTTGTATGGGAAAACTTAAAGTTCGATGAAGAACCTCTTAGAATTGGAATTTTGAGCTCCGCTTTTAACAGGAGCTTTGTTGGGACATTTTCTTAGATATTTTGGGGTGAGAGCAAAGAAAAAAAAAACGTAATTTTTTGGCACACCCTAAGGTTTGCTTTGCATCGGCTGGCACCGACTTCTAAAATATCTGATTAGGTATCTATTCTAAATGAAAACCTCCGTTTAGTTATTTTTTACATTTTAGTGCCTGGAAGTCGGTTTTTATTTTTTGTTACAAAGTTTTTATCTTAAGAACAAATTAACCTCTTCTAAACTTCATTCGCCATTTTCTATGACACTTTTTCAGTAAAAACAAACATTAGTGTATTTGGTACTTACTATAGTGTATTAGTGGTGACAATATTGTGGATTCAGAGTTTCAAAGTTCATTTTAATACTTATTTTATTTTATTGTGATATTCCTTACCTAAGCACCTAATTGTTTTTTTTTTGTAAAATTAACACATTTATAATAAAATGGGTATCCGTATTTCCCGTATAATAAAATTAATATTTCATTTAGTCGTTTAGCTTTTGCATTTTTTTACATTTTTGTTTTTTTTTTACAGAATAAGTGTCATACAATATGACGAATTAAGTTTAGAAGAAGTTAACTTGTTTATTTCGTTTTGTTTATTACTTAAACTTAAGTACCTATCTTTATCTATTGTGATATTAGCTTCGATCAACAATATTACTGTTGATCGAATAATATTAGGTAGCAACTTAAATAAGTAATTTTATGTTTTATATTAAAAAAAACACGAATAATATTCAAAAGAAAAATCTACCTACTCAAATAAACACCAGATGAGATTTTAAGTATTTTTAAGCCGCAATCTTTGTTTTTTAAATGAGGAGTTGTTATGTTGATAATTATCAATAAGTGAAAATATCGAGGACTGCATAGTTATGTGATTTAAATTTTAAAGATAAAAAAATAAAGACTGACTGACTAATAACGTTTTCTTTATTTTCCTTTAAAACATGATACTTGTAAGAAAGTTTCGGTTTCGGTTTCAGCCGAAACTGAGCCGAAATTCGATTTCGGTTTCGGTCGTAAAAACCAGTTTCGGTCGGACACAATAGTTTCTTAGATTTACACGAATATGAAAATTTTTAATATAAATAATCATTATCCAATTAATCATTTTCCTGACATTTGACAATGATTGATGTTTGAAATAATAATCATAGCTAAATAATTTATATTTTTTATAGCAGTTTTTGTATTCTTTCAATAGAATCCTATGTTAATTTATACATATAATGAAATTCTAATTCAGTCGAATCTGTACATAAAATATTTTTTGAAAAATCTTATTGAAATAGTCATTACTAGCGGCTCACCCTTGCTTCGCTCGGGTTCGCCTCTAGAAAAACAAAAACAAATTTATCCCTCGGGAACCGTCCATTTTTCCGGGATAAAAAGTAGCCTATGTGTTATTTCCGACTATTATCTATCTCTGTACTAAATTTCATTCAGATTCGTTCAGCCGTTCTGGCGTGAAAGAGTAACAAACATCCATCCATACATACTCACAAACTTTTACATTATATTATATATATTAATATATAATACGGATTATCGATACAGAGACAGAATCTATAGTTTTTAGAATTTTTGTCTGTCTGTCTGGGAATGCATCACGAGAAAACCACTGGATAGCTTTTAATGATATCATCATACGATAGCTAGTTATCCGGGTCAACATATTATACGATATTTTTTACTTGGGAAAATATCTCATCTATGAGAAATCTATACTAACCGTTAAAACGTTCCTAAAAACGAGCCCAAGTGGAGCGAAGGTGAGTCGCTAGTATGAAATATGTTAATCTACTAATAGTTGTATAATAAATCCATTGAAATTTTCGTATGAAGGATAACTCGGTCAAACAAGTTATTGTGTTGACCCCGGCGTAAGAAATTTTCCTATATATGTACTAATTTATACATATATAGTGTAGTGATCATTTTTTACTCGGGTCAACATTTAGGATACCTTTTAGTAGATGAAAATCTCTAATTACCACGGGAAAAATAATTACTGGTTCTGCCAAGTTGTCTTTCATACAAAAAAGGTTTTTTCCCTTTATTATCATTAAAAGTTTTACATATTTTTTGAAAAATAAATATAAAATTAAAAATAACTGAGATTTATGTAATGCTAGATTATTTGGTACTAAATATATAATACAGGGGATTCTACGTTTCCTACGGCCCCACGATTTGAAGGCTGATTCGCATAGATCTCGACGAGATACGCCGAAAAGTAAGAATCAATTTTTTTGATATTTCGCTTAGTTTTTGAGATATCGATACTCAAAAATCGAAAAATGAAAAAAATTTTTGCAGCACACAAACATAATATCTTTTCTGGTCAAGTTCTGGTTATGGCGTTGCTTATAAAGTGCACATGCACACGCTCTTCACGTTGCCGCGGAGTCCAATTAGGCTAATAAATAGACTGAGATCTAGCTTTGAGCTCTTTAAGCTTTTTGAGCATTTTGAGCTCTTCGACCTAAATTACTCCGCCTGCAGCGTATAGGCCGCTTAAGCACAAGTGGAATAATACAAAAAATAAACCAATCAATTAAAGGTAAATTCAGGAACTTGTGTGTCGATTGAGAAGCGAATAAATTAATATAAAAAATAAAACATTTTTAAAACAAGCTTTTATATCATATAAATTGTGTAATAAATGAGTTTGATTTAATTTTAATTAAACTTTTTTTCCAGGTATTTATTTCGTATTCTTCTCAGCAAGCCCTTTCATTTGATATGATATCCCCATATCATGGGGGCTTATAAAAAACATAGTCCGCCATCACATTAATATTACATAATTACCGTGCCGCTATCGTTGGGAGTCCGCCATGTTGAATTTAGAACGGCGTCATTTGTCTAACCATGCATTGTCATTTAAACGAATATGTATGCAAAATTTCAGCTCAATCGTCGAGGATAAATGCTTTAAAATTCAGTTGCAAGATTTGAGCCGAACAAACAAACATACATATATTAAACCTTAAATAAAAGCTTTGAAAAATAACCAAGAACAACTTAAAAACTGTCAAAATAAAACTGTATATCTTAGAAAGAGAAAGTGTCAAATTTACAAATTTATTCAAGTAGTTTATATTACGAGTATAAAGTATAATTTCATATTATAAAGTAATATTTAAAGTATAGTCATAATTATGAAGTTGTAGTTAGGAAAAAGGAAAATGTGATTGTTACGTTTTTCCGTGAATGTGTTTTTCGTCAATACAATGAATATTTGTAAAAAAAATGCCGAATTGGTCCAGCCGTACTCGAATTTTGCGCTTAGCCATTCATTTTTATTGATATATTATAAGATAATTATGTATCTATATTTCTTTTATAATAGAAGGCAAAAAGTGACCTTCAGTAAAGTGAATGGAACTATGTGAGGATTCTTCTCAATGTCCCGCCTCTGACTAAGTTTTATTATTTATAATATGTATTTAATACTAGCAACTTCCTTCAGTATATCCTAGTATTTTACGCACTATCTATATAGTGCAGACAAAGACAAAACAGTTCGGTAGATACCCTTTTCTTCTCTGTTTGTCAATTGATTTTCTTTTTTTTTTGTTTATCAATTAAAAAAATATTATTGTCTTCGACCACTGGACAAACTCTAATTTAGGACGTACATTTTTTCGTAACGCATTCACCAGTTTACCCTCCAAGTCAAGTGCGTAAAGAAGTTTTACTTCAAAGATCCAGCACTACAAAAAGCTTATTAGCGGCAATTCAGCCAAGCCAGGAACAAAGAGTAAAGTCAAGAGACACACTGGGAGGTGACCTTCTTCGGTAGCTGGTGTACCACGCGGGTTTCTCCCGATAATTCTCTGATAGCAGAGTGGACCCTTAGTTGTTGTGGTCTGCTTCGTCAAACCTGACGTCGATGCATAAGCGATCCTGCAACGTCCTATTGAGACGAGAGAGGTTCTGTTGAGTTTTAGTGGGTAGTACTATCACTTCGAGCCGGCAAGGCCCACAAAATCACTTACCTATACGTATGCAGGTGGTATGCGTAAAAACATTTCGACTCATCTCTACTTTAAAAAATACAATAAATATAATATAAAAAGGGTCCCAGATTGAGGTCGCGTCAGGACACCGCTACTCTATATATACTTAGGTACTCTATAAATCTCAGATTCGCCCTCTCATGGAGTATTGTTCTCATCTCTGCCCTCCCCAATACCAGCGTCTTCTATTTGACTGAATCCAACATCGGGTAGTTTGTTTTGTCGATGATCGCATACTGACAGACGATTTAGAACCTCTAAGCATCCGGAGAGATGTTGGACCTCTGTGCGTCTTCTATTATCTGTACAATGGAGAAAGTTCTGGTGATGTTATTTATCTGACGGTGGCACGTCACGTTTCAATGATCACACCATTCGCCATCGTGTTGGACGTCATCCATACACCCTAGATTTTTGACGCCCTACAAATGTACGCGCAACACATTTCTGCCTAGCACTTGTAAATTGTGTTACTTTTAATCTTGAGGTTTTCTTTGAGCGCTAATACGTGGGACTCTTGAAGAGTCTTGTCTTTACCTCTTATGTTGTAGATGTCTGTCTATAAGCGACCACTTACCATTAAGTGGATCATTTGCCCGTTTTACTATAAAAAAATATGCCAATTAGATTTATGAGCGCATTGACCCCATGCTGAGACCTTATGATAATATCGTCAACTTGTTTCCATCTTTTTAATAATATCTTTATAGCTTTTGACGCAGTTGGTTATTTAATCTAAAACCACTTATATAATTTATTTTTTCTGTATTGGCCTACTACCTATTTACTCTGAGCAAGAAGTTATGCGTCGCAGTCGTAAGGCGAATGCGACATCATCACATCGCCTTGAACCATACTAACAACTCAGCAAAATGTTGAAAATATATTTTTTAATGTGTATTAGCGTGGCATATTCCCATGTAAGTAAAAGATATTTTTTTATTTGAAACAAAGAACATCTTTCCATTTCAAAAAAAAAATGTATTTTCATTGTTTATTTAATAAACAATTTGTTATAAACAATTAATTTTTTCTATATATATTTCTTTTTCTACATAATTAAAACAAAAACAACCATGAGTTAATTTTTGAAAAAAAGAATTATTTATATTTTTTATCGAATGTAAAACCTAAATAAGTTTAATTTTTTTAACCTAAGTAAATTGTTCATAACACAGTTTGTTATGAATTATTTACTTAGGTAAAATAATATTTTTTAATTTTTCCAACGGGGATTTATTCTGAATCTGAAGCCTTTGAAGAATAGCTCCAAGATAGGAAAAAAACAAATTTATAGTTTAACAATTTTACGTTTTATGCCATATTTTCATCCCTCTGGACAGTTATAAATATTGGTCCTACAGTTCCGGAAGTTGAAACTTTCTTTGGGAAATTTTAAAATCCTTCTCTTTTTTAATCTTTTTTCAGATTTGAAAACCCTCAATTCATTTATGAGATATATGCAAAAAACTAAGCTCCTTTTTATTTTTAGTTAATTGTTTATACCTTTTGCAATTTTTGCAAGCGGAACTAGATTTTTCAAAAATCATCTTCAAGCCATTCCGAATCGAATGACACCTCGTTCATATTTTTCCGAGACTGCTGAAAAAAGTTGACTTAAAAGGCACTTGTTGACTAGACTAATATTAATACACCGACATTTTAAGTTTTAGCTTTACGCATAGTACGAAATATGGAGTCCGTTTCTGTCTTTTAACTACGGAACACTAAAAAGCTACTTGTTATACAAGTAACCTTGCGTACCTTTTATTTCTTTTTTTTCTGTTTCTCATCTACAGTAAAACAGCGCAAATTAAAAGCTCAATCATAATATTGGGAGAATTACAGAAAAAATAGATACACGTGTATAATACTCGCATACAGTCCCCAACGGATTTTTAATGATAAATAACAAGATAAAATCGGAGTAGGTTTATTTTGGCGAGAGGCCCAACTATTCTTTTTACGAGAATTTGATAGTGGTAAATACAATTGTGGCTTTATAAGGACTTGTCAAAACGGTGATAGTTTAAAATTAATTATTAACAGGTTGTTTCACGGGTTAATATTGAGATAATTGAACATTAAAGATTGTAATATCGTGTTTCACATCATCACACATATCGCCAACTTTGAAAATGTCTGATTAGGTATCTATGGTAATTAGTAAATGAGTTGTAAGACATAAGTTGTAAGACTTATGCTCATAATAAGTTTAAATGCTTTAAGCTCAGAAACTTTAGTCAATTACTCATCGTGTAGAGGTGAGGTATATGAAACAGGCATATTATATGTTAGATCAAATTTAACGCGGGTGAAACCGCAATTCACCTCTAGTACTACTACATATAAAGTTAAAGATAATTTATATATATATATATATATATATATATATATATATATATATATATATATATATATATATAGACTTGCGACTCACCCTCGCTTCGCTCGGTTTCGTCCCAAGCTTGCTTCAAAATACAAACTTTCATCCCCACTTATCCCCCTTATGAGATGATAAAAAGTATCCTACGTCCTTCCAAACCCTGGTTTCAAACTATCATTCACAAACTCACAAACTTCACCTCTATACTAATATTATAAAAAGGTATCCCTTGTGAGTTTGTGACGTTGTAGGGGTACACTCTGGATTTACTGAAACGATTTAGATGTAATTTGGTAAAAAGATCGTTTGAGACCCTGGGGAGGACATAGGATACGTTTATCCCGGAAGTCATCCCTTAAGTGGGTGAAAATGGGGATGAAAGTTTGTGTGGGGAATCAAGGTAGGGAAGAACCCGAGCGAAGCGACTGTGAGTCACTAGTAATATTAGTCTAGATGTAGATAATATAATTTATTATTTCTAGCATATACGCACAAAAGTGCTATGGAGACTCAACGACGGGAACTACATGCCAGGAATAGGTTTCGGTACTTGGCTCGGATCAGAGAAACAAGTACCAGTGAGTATTCTTTTTACCAGAAATATGAAAATAATATACTTACAATCTGATTTATGGTAAGTAGTAATTAGTTTCAATTTTCCGACATATTAAAGCTGGAATTAAAAAAATTGTGTATGTACTTATGTACGCACTTAAGAAGTTATACTTGTTTGGCGTAACAGAACAAAAATAGCTAAAGATTTCATCCCGTATGTCTCAACTTTCTGTTTGTTAAAGGAATGCAGCCTATTATCAGCCAATTGAAGGTCGATTTAGATTCGGATCTTTTAGTTATACTTTGTGTCTAACTTTACAGTTTAGTGTAAAGAAAATATAATAAAATTTTGACCCGATAAATGACGCTATGGTTGAGTTATATATTCCATAAAGGAACAGCTATTAGATACTAAATGAAAACTTCTTTTTATATTTTAAAAATTACTAATTAGCTTAAACAATGGACAGTATAAAATTAAATAAAGGAATGATAATAAAACTATTGCAATACTGAGTCTCTTGAATAACATATCATGTATTTCATCACCCTCTTTTAGCTCTAAGAAGAAAAAAGATGTTTTTGTCACTGTCGTCTCTATTTGGCTAATATTTCTATGCTCTATATTTGCAGGGAGATACGAAAATTCCTGACTTAGTGAAAGTTACTAGTGACTCAATGGAAAAAGCCGTGGAATCTGCAATAGACGAAGGGTACAGACTCATCGACACCGCCTCCATATACTTCACTGAGGAACAGGTAATATATATTAAAAAATGATGTCTATTGGATGGTAGTACCTGGGCCAAAAAGCTTTCTTGGCGTTTTTTCGGAGAAGATACTCGTTTAAAAATAGCGTTTCTTCAGAATAAATACCTACATACATTTATAGATATACTGAAAACGCAAAACCTTATCTGAAAACAAAATTTAATCCAAATCAAAACCTCTACATTTTTATTATATGTATAGATAAACTCTATATTACATTCTGATAACGCATACATCGAATGATATTAAAGGGATAGTGGTGAAATCAAGTAAAGCGGGTTCAAACCCCTGTTTCGTACCTATGATATTTTTGTGTGTATTATTTTCAAAATGATTACAAATCAGTCAAGAAAAACATCGCGAGGAAACTTGCATGTCTGAGAGAACCTAGTTTTCTTTAGACATCTGAAGTCCGTCAACCAGCATTTTTGCCAGCGCGATGGACTTTTCTCTCTCGTATTGAGATGAGTGGGATGTTAAATGGGGCTGAATTTTAAACATATAGATAAACTAAAGTAAGTGTACAGAAACCGGATATTCCCTGTACCTTATCTCCTAAACTATTTAGCCTAGAATTTATAAAATAAATATGAGATAGAGATCTGTTTAAATATTAAGTTCCCATCATATACGAAACCTTTGTGCCATGAGCATATTTTTTGTTTAAGGTAGGGCGCGCGATCCAAAAGAAGTTAAAAGAAGGCTTCGTGAAAAGAGAAGACCTGTTCATTACTACTAAGGTGTGTAATTTTGATAATTTTAAATTAATTCCTGAATCCAATATAAGTTTAAAGTACGGCCTATGACAAAAAATTTTCTGACCGATGTTGTACAAGGCAGCAATTTTTTTTATGACCCCTCATTCTTAGAGTGCAATGGGACTGTCAGGTGACGTAACCGGACAAAAATCAAGCGTGGAATCACTTCTGAGTTTAATTTCTATAGCTTTGCGAGAACCTCGAAATAAAGGGCTCAAATCCAAGACTTTAAGATATGTTCCGTATTAATGGAAAATAGAAACGTGGCAAAAATTAGGAAACTAGAAATATAACTCAATATTCTATAGGTGCTTAATGCTCACATCATATCCTATCATGTACATAATCAGAAAAAAATGGAAAACTCCAATTATTTACTAAAAATTTTTTTGGAAATAATCGGATGAATATTTAATTTTATATTGAATTTATTTAATTGTTTGAATCCGATTATCAGACAAATAACATCAGGTAGTTTTCATCAAAACCTTGTTTTGAACTAATTTAATTGAAATATTTTTCACAAATGCTTAAATTTCAGCTGTGGAATGACAAGCATGCAGCTGAAGATGTAATCCCGGCCCTGCGCGATTCACTCGAGAGACTTAAACTAGACTATGTTGATCTTTATCTTATTCATTGGCCTATATCTATGTTTGTAAGTATCTATATATGAGTTAATTACATTGTATTTTAGTTAGACTGTCCCGATCTATCGACTGTACCGAATCTTATTTTGGGATGTTTTTGCGGATTTATTTTAATTTTTGGTTCCCGAAGGTTCGAATGCTTTACAGCAATCATGGTCGCGTGGAGAACTAAGATTTTAGGCTTGTTTTATACTAATACATATTTTCATATAGTTATTACAGACAATATTTACCCATAAAAAAATAAGAAAAAATAGTTTTATTTTAAAACGTCAAATATTCGCGTAGATCTAATAAAGTATTAATGTATAAGTAAATAAAATACACGTTTATGTTTTTTTAGGAAAATTTCACTTTGTCCGATGTTGATTATCTCGATACTTGGAAGGCATTGATAGAAGCTAAGAACCTTGGTCTTGTTAAATCTATTGGAGTTGCTAATTTCAACCAACCTCAGCTCGAGCGCCTCATCAGGCATAGTGAAGTGAAACCTTCTGTGTTGCAAGTTGAGGTAAGCCCTTTAATATAATTTGGTTGAGATGGTTTCACAGATAGATGAAGAGTGAACTTGCTTTACTTTATTTCATAAGATTTTTGAGCAATCGACGCAAAACCGAATCTCTATAGCTAACTTCCGTCTAACCGTCTAGAGAATTTTGCTATTGAAAAACTAAATTTTTGAACAGGAAACTGACAGAAATGATATGACTAGCGACTCACCCTCGCTACGCTCGGGTTCGTCCCTATTTACGTTTTTACTTTTAGTATAGATTTCTCAGAGATGAGACATTTTCCCGCAGTAAAAAGCATCCTACCCTGCCGTGTTGACCCGGATAACCAGCTATCATCATACCAAATTTCATCAACATCCCTCCAGTGGTTTTTCCGTGATGCGATAACAGATAAACAGACAGACAGACAAAAAATCTTAAAAAATATAGATTTGGCCTCTGCAGAGGATTTTTTGGTTGCATCGATAATAATGTCTATTTCAATAAGATTTATAAAAAAAATTAAATGTACAGATTCGGCTAAGTTAAATTATGTATAGATTATCTTCAGATTGAATAATGTTACAAAATAACTTGCTCCAAAATTACATCATAACAATTATTGCGACTTAAAGAGTGGATCTTTGTCTTTAAATCTTAAATTGTAGATGTATATGAGACCATTCTTGTGGTTTCTGTCCAGATTGGTTCATGTCCAACCAAGATATCGTATAGGTGAAAAAACTAACAGGTAAAATCGGGTATTTAGTCCTTGGTACTCAACACTGATCGATCAAAGAAACTAATATTAATGTGGATATAACACCCCTTTTTTATAGCTGTTAACCCCCTAACTTTACTGTTCCTCAGGTCAACTTAAACAGTCAGCAGAATTGTCTCAGAGAATTCGCCAAGAAACATGACATCATAGTGATGGGATACACTCCTTTCGGCTCTCTCTTTCCCTCCAAGGCCACGTGTCTTTCTCCACCACCGAGGATTGATGATCCTAAAATGGTTGATCTTGCCAACAAATATAGAGTGACAGTTCCTCAAATCACCCTTAGGTATTTGGTGAGTAAAGCTTGATTTTATTTTATCAATCTATATATATACCATCTGTACGTTTGTGACCGGTTATCTTTGGAACTATCTGCCCGATTAAAAAGATTTTTTGTATTTTACAGGTCATTTATTGAAGAATGTTATAGACTATCTAACATCATCAATATCAATAGTCATAGTGTATCATTACTTGATAATGATAGCATGATTTCTTGTTGTTAGGATAAATAGTTATTAAAAATGGCACATTTTTCATACATCTTCTTTACACATTGTAAACATGTGAATCATAGGTTTTGACTAATAAGAGGTCGAGAAAAGTTGTAATGTTTAATGTAAGAAAAGTTAGTACATTCTCGACGGTCTCTTCATTTTAGCCAAAAATAACCTTTTAAAGAGTTTTTATCTCTTGGTTAGATTACAAAGCGAGAGAGACTTTAAACTTACTTGAGAAGTTAAGAGTTTTAGGACACAGCAGAATTAGAGTAGTCTGACGCTGTAATATGTACTTAGTCCTGTCAAATAAGGTATAAAATCAAAATTTTGGTATTCAACTTTGCATTTTTGATATAATGTATTTTTAATGATACAAAAACAATGTGTAAAGGTGTTCGTGTATGCAACCCCCAGCAATGGTTGGAAAAAAATTGTCAAAAGTATTTTTTGCAATTACTCGAAAACGGTAATAAATAAATATATGTATTATAAAAATAAAAAAAACCCGACAGCATAAAAGCTAACTATTAAGATGAAAACTCTTCAACGGCTAATAGTAGATACCTATTTTGAGTTTGGGCTTATTTTGTTTAATTTAAAATCCCAATACGTTAGAATTGGATTTTAGAGCCTAGCTTTTAGTGTTATACTAATAAAAGCCATTATTAAAAAATAATTTTAGTTTTTAAGTCTTCATAAAAAATACTTTTGTCTTACTTTTCTACTACTATGTCTACACTAAAAATGGAAAAAAAATCTTTAAAAAAATAATATAAAAACTGATTTCAAAAAACCAGTAAAAAGATAAAAATTATTGATTGGTAGTTTTCATTTACAATAGATACACTATACTATACAAAGCAACGCACAAAGACTTCGAAAATATCTGATTAGGTCAGGTCTATAGTAAGTGAAAACCCCGTTCGGTAGGTAATTTTTTACTTTGTGTTTTTTTTGTATTTAGATGAGGTTCTGCTTTTTAGGTTTATCTATGTATGTATGTAGGTGCCTTTTCTGAAAAACTTAATTAAAAATTATTAAAACTTATATATAACACGTACGTAATTCCAGAAAACACTAATTACGTTAGCAGCAGCAAGAGTTCCGAAATAAAACGATCTTCCTAAAATAATTTATTAAAACTAAAATGTATTTAACTAAAACCATCTTCTCCATTGAAGCTAAGATCTGATAACGACAAAATACTTTAAATTCCAATATTTAGTAATAGGTACCTCCATCCAGTTCTTCATATTATACTAGCTCTATGTAGGTCACATGGCATCTCGTGTTGAAAAGTTACATTTACGAACAACGCCATCTACTCGCGAATAGCGTACAATTTATATAAAATTAAGACTTAGGTCAAATTACAGAATATATGCATATCATTCCAAATAAGTTTATTGAAAATAAATAGGCATTTTTAGTTTTAAAATGATGAATTCTAAGTAATTACAATAATGCATTTAATGTACCTACTTTATTCTATGAACTAATTTTCATTACATAAAGAGTAAGCTTTTTTTTTTTTTTTTTTTTTCGTCGGGAAATGCATTTACGCATACCACCTGATCCCCCAGGTGGTGATGTGGGGCTCACCGGCTAGAAGAGCCGGTACTACCCACTAAAACCCGACATCCCTTCCCCCCGCCTTAGTGGGACGCCGCAGGATCGCTTGCGCATAACTACTACGGCGCCCCGGCGGCAGGTCTGCCTAAATACTAGGCAGACCACCAAACCAATGGGGCTGCTCCACAGTCAACTCTGCTACGTCAGAGAGGTACCCGGAGCAGCCCCATAAAACCAAAACACCGCCCACCGAAGTGGGCCACCTCCAATCGGCTGCAGAGGACAGGGAGAGCGGCAACGAAACACCGACACTCCTCTTCCCCTGCAGCCCCACCGCGTCCGCCATCAAACGGTGGCGGCCCCGTCTAGGCCGCGGAAGGTAGGGAGAACGGCGCACCGAAATACCGGCACTCCTCTCCCGCCGCGGCCTACCCCTCTGCCGAATGCGGGCCTGCGACCACAGTCCCGCAACCGGCACCCATCATCCGGTTGTGGGACCAAGCGGTCCCACCACCGGTGGCCGCAACGTCTTCGGCTCTAGGCCTAAACGAGCGGCCCCATCCATGCCATTTGGTCCGCGCCGGATTTCTCCGGTACCACCCGCCCCTCTAAGCGGGTGGCATGCCCCTATCCGCCACCTGGGGACGCGCCCGGTAGGAGTTGGCTTCTCCCCCGGGACATAAAGAGTAAGCCTGTGTCCAGCAGTGGGTCGTTGAAAATGGCTGCATTATTTTAGACTGAATAAATTTTAATAATAAAAAAAAACATTTTGTTTTGTGTTTGGTACACATACAGAAAAATTATTATTTTTACCTTTAAATTTTTATTTTGTAATTTTAATGCCTTTGAAGTTAAAAACCTTACTTTTAAGACACAAGTACTCACGTTCGCGCGGAAAATCAAGTAAAGTTCAAAGTTCACACACTGGATTTCACAACTCTGAACCTTTTTAACATCGATATTATCATAATTTACCTTACAATGAAGGAAACACCGTAAGGAAACCTGCATGTCAGAGAGAACCTAGCAAGTTTTGGTGCTGCACTTAAGGATCTGCAGTGGGACGTTAAAATTGCTGGGATTATCATATTAATTAAACTTAATTTATTTTCAGCATGAACTTGGCGTTGTGCCGATACCAAAGGCCGAAAAAATAGAGCATATTCGAGAAAACTTCAACATTTTTGAATTCAAGTTGAAAGACGAAGATAAGGAGTTCCTGAAGGACTATGACAGAAACTACAAAACTCTTAACATTGCTTTCTGGAAAGAGTCACCTTATTTCCCGTACTAACATATTTTGTGACAAAACACAAAAATGTTTTTTGTAATAAAACTATTTTAAAATATTTTTTCGCATTTTGTTCATTACCCTCCTTTGCGTCGCGCGGACGGGTAATAAGCAAATCTATTATTATAATTAAAATAATAAGAAAAATAAATTGATTTTATTAACGAAACTATTTCTTCTTTATTTTACTTTATAGTTGTTATAAGTTTTTATTAATTACTAGCAGTACCCCTCGGCTTCGCACGTGTTTAATCGCTGTATAGCACATGTTTAGTAGGTATATGGGACGCATACCATACACATTTACGAGATGGCACTATATGACATTGTGAGCATGAGAGTAGATAGAAAAAGGCTCTAATAATAATTAGTTATAATTTTTTGTTTGTGAACAATGTGAATAAACTGAAAAAACAAAGCCTTATCTAAACACAAAATTTTAAGCCGTCTCCGAACCAACGATCGCACCCCACGGAGCGCGGGCAAGCCGCTAGTGTTTAGTACAATACAAAGATTTTTATTTCTGAAATATTGAAATGTGCTATAATATAATGTAATTCTGAATTAAATAAAGCTTTTACAAGAGAAAGATGTTAGAGAAAAAGATGAAAGATTGTAATGTTAATTTCATAAATGTGTAATGTATAGAGTATTGGAAAATAAATTAGTGTATATATTATAACTAAATAATTAACGAACGTTTGAATAATTAACGATTTTTTTTATTCTATTAAACACGATTCACATTCTATATGGGAGCACGTAGAATATGTAGCGCGTGCTATATCTTTGAATCTCCTCAATCTATTTAAAAATAAGCTAGCTATGTTTTATACAGATCTACCTATTTAATAAAAAAAGGTCTATTGAATCATCAGTCCTTTTTAGTGTTAGTACTAAATAGGTATTAACTAGGTAAATTACTAAATTAACTTCTATGAGGTACTTTTCAAACTCTCCTCAAAAAATTCTTTTCCAAAAAATTCAATGTTAGACGACCGCTTTGAAATTTTTATTGGGTGTATGAAGAAACAGTAGGTAACATTTCTTTTTATCGGTGAAAATATTTCGAACATTGGCCAAAGTAGTTTGTATCTAGCCTCTTATATAAAGGGTTACTTCAGCTCAGCCTGGTATTTAAGGTTCAAAAGTATAATACAAGATTTAATATGCTTTGAGTCTGGTTAAAAAGAGTCTCTCTCTCTCTCTTTATATCTAATATATAGCAACTTTGCCCAAGTAAATAAAAAGTTAACAAACTATTATAAAAATAAACCATTAATATGAAAAAGATCTTATGCCTACCTACTAACTGTACTTAAGATTTCTTTTTAAAGCTATAGGGTACTAATAGCCCCTACTAAGTTTGCAGCCAATTTTCTTAGAATAAAATATTTTTCTAGTAATTATTATTACATTTTTTTACTTCTTGAGTGCACTAATTATCTATTGACTATGAGTAAATTTATCTTCTATGAAGGTTCATGACGTTATTTTATTATGGTCTTCCAAATTTGTGTGTTATTTGTCAAAATATTAGGTTTTATAATTTGTTGATATTTTGCTAGGCCTAAATTGGATGAAAATATCTAAACTTCAAGAGTTTCGTAGTGTTTATTTTCAAATTGCATATTGTAAAAATGAATAAATAAGACTTACATTAATGACGACCCGCTCGCAAAAGTCGTGGTCATGTTGAATAGGTTCGAAGGTAACGACGCCGCCTTGAGGTGGGCGGCCCTGCTCTTCTTCTTGACTGCACAATTTGAGCATGAGAGTAGATAGAAAAAGGCTCTAATAATAATTAGTTATAATTTTTTGTTTGTGAACAATGTGAATAAACTGAAAAAACAAAGCCTTATCTAAACACAAAATTTTAAGCCGTCTCCGAACCAACGATCGCACCCCACGGAGCGCGGGCAAGCCGCTAGTGTTTAGTACAATACAAAGATTTTTATTTCTGAAATATTGAAATGTGCTATAATATAATGTAATTCTGAATTAAATAAAGCTTTTACAAGAGAAAGATGTTAGAGAAAAAGATGAAAGATTGTAATGTTAATTTCATAAATGTGTAATGTATAGAGTATTGGAAAATAAATTAGTGTATATATTATAACTAAATAATTAACGAACGTTTGCATTTTATTATATTTTTATTGATATTGTTTTGATATTATTATCCTTCTATAGAAGGAGTTGTAGTACTTTATGTTAGAGTCCAATTTATATAATTTATAAAATGTTAGTGTCGCTACTTACTTCTAGATGGCGCTGTATAAAATGCCGCTTTGACTAATGTTCTATTATAAATTAATCTATCTATACTAATATTTCAAAGAGATAAAATTTGTAAGTTTGTACCTCAGATTAAATAAATATATATAGACGGACGGATATATAGACGGAACCCGCCAAGAAATGTCGAAGTCAAAAATTGTAGTGTGATTTGCTGTTTATGCTACTATTCTCGATTTTCTTTGTTTAAGGAATGGGGAATTTTTTACAGGTATACAATTTTTGAGCAGAAAATATGAATAATAATGATTAATAAAAATAATACTATACTCTTTTGTATTTTATAAACTTTAGTTCTCTTCCCTTGAGATAGCATATAAATATTCACTTTTTTTTCTTTATTATAAAAAAAATAAATTTACGATTTCTATTTATTAACATTTATTATTACTATTTATTAACATATACTTACTGTATTAATATTTGCATATTGTTTTAAAATACTGTATAATATATATTTTTTTCTATTGTTTCGCTTCATGTTAAGTTCTATAACATTTTCTCAGGTTTGTACTTTGTACTCTGAAAATTCACAATTTCATTTTTATACCGGTAAAAATGTGTTTACTGTCATCATAATAATTTTAATTGAAATTGTTTTATCAACGTGCACTGCCTAAATACTTTCAAACAATGCAATATATATATAAATATCTCGTGTCACGGTGTTTGTGATCGCACTCCTCCGAAGTGATTTAATATTTTTTTGTATATTTGGTAGGTATGAGAATAGGTAGTAAAGTATTTTTCACTTTCATACCTCCACCCTCATTTTTTAAGTAACTAGGGGCAAACTCGAGCAAAGCGTGGGTGAGTCGCTAGTGATATTACAAAACAAAGTCTCTTGCCGCATCTGTCTGTCTGAACGCGATAAACTCAAAAACTACCGAACCGATTTAAATACGGCTTTCAACAAAAGACGGAGTAATTCATTAGAAAGATTTAGATGTATAATTCAGTAGAACAATAGAGTTATATCAGCTATACCTGCGGCTCACGGGCCACATGAGGCCCGCCGGGCCTTTGTTATTCTCCCATCTGAAGTATCATCTCAGAGTTGGCTTCCGTTTTAAATTGTAATTACTCAGAGTTGTTTGATGAGTTCATTGATTTTGAAAACGATACCAATCTAGAAGTTCTGGTTAAATAAAAAAGGGAAAACAGAGAATATGTGAAATTTTGGAGTATTGTTCCCCAAAAATATAAAAGCTTTCAAAGATGTGCCTTAATCCTACATTCTTTGGGTCTACGTATGTGTGCGAATCGTCTTTTACAAAAATGAAATTATACACAAAGAACGTTTACAGAAACAAACTTACAGATTCTCATCTGGATGATGTTATAAGGATAGCATGTAGCGACAAGCCAGATCTTGATAAAATTTTGAAAAAGGGTTCACAGTATCAAAAATCGCATAAAAACATATAAACATCTTTGTTAAAACAGTAACTACATCGTTAACTTGGAATTACGGTTTAATTAAGACCTAAATGATTTTTGCTTGCGGCCCTCGACACCATGACTGAAACGTGTTTGTGGCCCCTATAAAAAAGGTTGTGTATGGCTGAGTTATATGAAAACAATGTACTACAGAATTATTTCTCTTAAAAATATCCTCCTATTAAACACACAATGTAGCAACACTATGTGTGCCTAGCAACCGTACCTACGGACGCACCCGAGCGAAGGGAGGATGTCATTAATTAATTATATTGAATTACTCATCCATTATAACTAATTAGTGACATATTCTCGCTTCGCTTAATTAAAATAACTAATTATTTCTTATTCTAAATAGATAATATTATTTTTAAGATATATCTTAGAAATAACTTTCATTTCTTTTATTTATTATACTTATTATAAAGCTATACCATACCTACTATGTGTAAATAAAATAATATTTTGTTTGCTTAATTTATTTGTTAGAATTTATTTATTATTGTTAGAAATGTCTCAAAGTCAATCTATGGAGGTTAGGGAGTGTCATTGATTGGAGCACAATATTCAGAAGTGAGTTGAGTCTCTTGAATGTGAGATTTAGACTAATTTAATGTTCAGAAACTACACTTGAAATAGATATTAGGTGGGTCTATTTTCCTGGTTAGCATATTATGTAACCTGTGTTAAAGAGAACAGTTCTAGAGTTAGTCAGTTAGTTACAAATTAATGAAGTTAATGAATAAATAAAGCTAAAATTATAAATGAGTTACAAAGAGATATAAATTCACGAATTTCATAAGAAGAGAAACGCTATTATACTTGTGGCAGGCGACCCTTGTATATAACAGTACATGGTAGAGCTTTCAATTTGATTTATATAATTGTCTTTATATGAAATTGAACTCTATTATGTAAATATAAGATTGAAAGTATATTGGAGAAATATTAGAAGTTCTTGGCGCCACCCAGACACGACTACGCCAACGAAAAATATATTAGTTAATAGAAAAGTTTTATTATAGTACAAAAGAAAAAATAACCTTATTTCTAACATGTTAGGGTTAAAATTCGCTTAAAGTATATTAACAAAAGCCCAAAACGGTTGACGAAAAGTCAATACTTTAATAAACATAAGAAATTTCACTTTATCCTGTTAACGTAAGGTTAAAATTTCTTTGGTTAAGGTTTCAGTTTTGTGACGTTTAAAAGGCGCGCGCGGGAAAATTTGGCGCCCGTCGGTCCGGCGCCATCTTGTCGCGGATAAGGCAAAGGCATTTTCGTATTCAGCTTCCGCATTCAGCCTATTATGGCTAATTTAGTGTTATCACCCAACTTTTACTGTAATTCGGGGGCATTCCGCAAATGTGTTTATTGTGCAAAACGGCACAAACAAAGTAGTACAATTTATATTTTAGCTATAAAAAGGTTTTGTTAATAATATTGATGTTGAACATTAAACAGAAACCATATTACAATATAATATTTTTAATGTCATATCTGAAAATTAGGTCATTTTTCTATTTATTATAAAACGTTTTAGGCTTTGGCAAACCAAATTTAGAGATTAGTAATTTATAGCTTTATTTTTTAACAAATAATAAATATTATGCTACACTGTATTTTTCAAGCTATAGCTAGACATAATTTTGTTTGATTTTCAGTATCAAACATTTAAAACACAAAATATTTTGTGACGTTTTGTGTTTCTTATAACTAAATACCTAATTCTTTCTTTAGAAGAACTCTTCTCAAATAGGTACGCTACAGAATTTATTACGAATTTGACTACCATAAATAGAATTTCTTGTGGAAATTTGCCTCATTGTTTTGCCTAGCAGCAGATTCGAATCCAGCCCGGGAAGTTATAGATATTGCAACACAATAAAATCTCTGTTCACCCAAAGTTGATGAGCGCAAAACCATCGATCCTGTGCCTGATCTCTTAAGCATCGGAGTTTGAGAGTGAGAGAAATAGAGTGTACAATTAAGCATAAAAACCGTTGTTTTTAATCATCGCCAAGCATCAGCAAATTCGGGCAGCTAATATATTATCTTCGAAAAAGTTTTGTAGCTAGAATACTGCTTGTATGTCTATTATATTTTTTTTATATTCTTGACTTCTATCAATAAAATATCAAAGTAGAATATAGTAATGGTGTAACGTTTTCGGGTATGTGAATAAATTTATAAGTAATTCCCCCTTTTCTTAGTGTCCAGGACAAATGTTCTGGATAAAAATTATTAGTTCTATTCTCATTTTGGGTGTTTTGTCTAAAATTGAGGCTTACGATGACTTTGAAGACTTGGAGGATATGGACGATGACTACTTCGATTATTATAAGGGCTATGATAATGGTAAGTTCTGGAAGTTCAGGTAAGGTCTTCCAAAAAATTTTACCAATAATACTATCTTTTCAGATTTTTTGTTTCCGACGAATTCCAAATACTTTACAGCAATAATGGATCACGGAAGGATTAATCCGCGTAAAAATCCGAAAAGATAGTCTTATTTAAAACTAGCCACCTACCCTCCTACCATAAATTTGTAAATGATCGCTGTACATGTACATGAAAGATATTTAAGAAAAACTATTATGGAGAGTCTATTTTAACGTAATAGAAGCCAAAACAATGATTTTTACATTTTTTGTCGGTTTGTCTATGCGTTTGTGCGCGCTAATAATAATAAAAAGTGCTTAACCGATTTGGGTGTGGTTTTCACTATTGTATTGTGGTAAGTTTCACTTAATATTTAGTATTTGTTTTATTTCAATCGGTTTATAAATAAAAAAGTTATGTCAATATAAAGAATTACCTAGGAACGACCTCGAGTGAAGCGAGGGTGAGCCGCTAGTAACATAAAAAAAACGAAGTTTTTTTTATATAAACTTCAAAAGAAAAACTTGTTTGCTTATCCATTAGGAAGCAATTATGATAATTTTAATCATCTAGGTATATAATTATTTACATAATAGGTATAGTATAGAATCTGATGTAAGATCTTGCATGGGCGATATATTTGTCTATAATATATTATAAGCATTTACTTGAAAATATTTTTCATCAACAGAATGAATTTAAAAAGATAAGTGAAGGACGATCTTACTTTTAATATCTAATACTTTTAAACGAGAAATTCTTGTCTATTCATTTATTTATACCGGCGATCTCGGAAACGGCTCTAACGATTTCGCAGAAATTTTATATGTGGGAGTTTTCGAGGGCGAAAAATCAATCTAGATTAGTCTTATGTCTGGGAAAACGCGTGTTTTCGAGTTTTCATGTAATTTTCTTTCGCATTATTCATTAAAATAATATGGTCGCTAATTTCGCACGGGCATAAGAGTCGTGGCGAAGTGGCCAAGGCCCAAGATTAACAATCACAGGTGTCCGGGTTCCCGATAGATCCCAGAATCCCTGTCGGAAAACAAACCAAACGAACAACAAACAAAAAAAAACAAGAACAAAGTTTTTCCTTTTTTTTAATTCAAGTTATTACTTTTTTTTGTAAGCCAAATTAAAAATAAAATTATACTTTTGGCCAAAAACTAGATTATCATCTAAAAATACGATATAACAGAAAAGAACTCCGAGAGAAGCTCAGTCGTCCAGGTACTTACATTTATAAATATAGTGTAAGAGCTGAAGAGATAATGCCAGCTTTAATTTACGCGAATATTTGACATTTTAAATAAATCTTTTCGGATTTTTTACAGACTATTGCCGTCTGCAATAACTATATGACCTTTGAGACGTCTAAAACCTTAGTCTCTCCCATGACTATGATTGCTGTAAAGCATTCGAAATCTCGGGAACCAAAAATCAAAATAAATCTGCGAAAATATCCGAAAACATAGTTTTATTTAAAACTAGCGACTCGTCCTCGCTTCGCTCGCGTTCGTCCCTTGGTTGATTCCCCATACAAACTTTTATTAAGGGATGATTTCCAGGATAAAAAGTATCCTGTCCTTTCCAGGGTCTCAAACTATCTTCTTACAAAATTTCATCTAAAATCGGTTCAGTAGATCCAGAGATTACCCTCTATAACGTCACAAACGCACAAACTTTACCCCTTTATAATATTATTATAGAAGAGCTGAAGTGAATACCTACTGGCTAGGTAGTATTAATTTGAAATATTAGTAAAGTATTTTTTTCCGCACTTTAATTTCTTAGCCTGAATTGTGAAACGTTACGAGAAAATAATTTGTAGTTAAAATATAAGATTTTAAAGTTTGTATGGAAATTATAGGACAAACAACCGCAACTAGTAAAGACGATGAATTCGCCAACAACAGAGTTAGAAGATACCAAGAGAAGAAGATGATTAAAACATTGAGTCCAAAGGAGATTAGAGAAGTTAGAGGTATGTATGTGTAAAACAAATGAAATAAAACCGGCCAAGTGCGAGTCGGACTCGCGCACGAACGGTTCCGTACCATTATCTATAAAAACAGCAAAACAAATCACGTTTGTTGCATGCGAGCCCCTCTTAAATATTTGTTTTATTTTGGTTTAATTATTTATTTTTAAAGTAAATATATAGGTACAATAACTTTATATTCTCAAGGTCTACCTTTTACCGTTATCAATGTCGAGTAAAAACGAGCAAAAAAAGTCACGTTTGTGATGGGATGTTGTATGGGAGCCCCCTTATATAATAATTTTATTCTGTTTTTTAGTATTTGTTGTTATAGCGGCAACAGAAATGCATAATCTGTGAAAATTTTAACTTTCTAACTATCACACTTCATGAAATACAGCCTGGTGACAGACGGATGGACAGCGGAGTCTTAGTAATAGGGTCCCGTTTTACCCTTTGGGTACGGAACCCTAGAAATATAGTCTTTGAGATTGGTTTTCATACAAACTTGTGGTAATGTGGTGTAAAGCTCTCCGTTATTAAACAATTAGCCACATAGGGCATAATGCTTAAAGAGTCTCGATTCCATGACCTTTTGAGGCCATTCTATGACAATCGTTAACAATGAACTAAATACGGAGGTAGTAGGTTAGTTAGGGTTTATTCAAATACCTTATGGTTCCTTAGTTTTCTTTAAGTATTCATTAGAATTGTGAACATAAAAAAAACAGGAGCATAAAACTACATTAATCACCTATGTCCAAATATATGTCATAAAATATATAATTCGTATGGCTAATGCCAGCTATCGTAGAAAAACGTTCGAACTGCCCTGTATAATATTCATACATTCATACGCTATCGCCTAATACATACGCAGTTTTTTTTTCTTGTGAGTTTACTAAACACCATTTAATAGCACTTTTCTGATTTATTCATTAGTAGTGATTTTTTATCTTTTAACTTGTTTATACTCTTAAGCTTGATGGTTTGTACATTAATATGTGGTAGATTTTTGATTGATAGTTTGAAAATGCTGGAGGAGTCGTCTGCAAAAGATCCTTTTCCTCTCCGTGAAGTCTCTCTTCGTGGCCACCTTTTTGCCACACAAAAAGAATAATTATGTACCTTGTCAAGATGCTACACTAAAAATACTACTATCACTATTTTGCTTATGCCAGTGACACTTTGTCGTTTGAGTGCAAAATTGTCTTGAGCTACGTAAATATCACAGAATCTCTAAACTCGATAAGATGGGGCCTTCATAGACTTATTAGTCTATTCTAAGATTTAGATAAAATTTGGTAAGAAGATAGTTTGGACCCTAGGAAGGACATAGGATACTTTTTATCCCGGAAATCATCCGTTGAGGGTGTAAAAATACGGATGAAAGTTTGTATTGGGAAGCAAGCTAGGGACGAACCCGAGCAAAGCGAGGGTGAGTCGCTAGTATTAGATAAAGTAACTAGTACGAGTATGGGCTGCGTTAGGCAATGTTTTACTAACAGTTATAACCTACGTGTGACCTCCAGGTTCTAGTCTATCTGTATACTAAATTACATCCAAATGCGTCCAGTGCAGCCGTTTCAGCGTGAAGGAGTAACAAACATACGCATAAACTTCGAATTTATAATAGTACTGAGATTAAAAGTAAATCAAACACATAACCCTCTTTTGAGATTCACCGCAGTCGGGTTAGAGTGATACAAAATAATTTGCAAAAATCAAAAAAGGAGTTTTATTAATTAAATAAATTGTTTCTTTTTTGTTATCATTTACTAGCAACTCACCCTCGCTTCGTTCGGGTTCGTCCGTAGGTTAAACGGTCAGTATGGAATAGAAAATCGATACCTTGCTCTGTGAAAAATAAAAACAAATCTATTCCAGGGGAACCGTATATATTTCCGGGTAAAAAGTAACCTATGTGCTATAATATAAAGCCGCTATAATCTATCTCTGTGCCAAATTTCAGACAGATCCGTTCAGCTGCTCTAAGATTTGAGTGAAATTCTAAAGTGCATAGCTTAAATATATGTACATATAATTCGTTGGTTCACTATGACAAGGTTCTATGTTACAATTTTAGTACTTATTTAGTTATTAATGCTACAAGATTCTATGTGTCATTAGCTACAGTTTCGCAAAAACAAACCACTTTATAGCGGCACTTTAACTATAAAATATTCAATTTTACATAGTTCTATGTTGTTGTTTTTTTACGATAACAAAATAACGAAGTTCTATGTAAAAAATACTAAACTTCATTAAACTTAACATAGAACCTTGTAATAGTGAGCCACCGATTATTATATATACTTGGTTGCCTTATGCGTTTTATGTACTATAAAAAAAATAAAAATCTACTTCAAAAAAACCACTAAAAGGTAAAAAATAAGTGATTGGTAGTTTTCATTTGCTATAGATACCAAATCAGATAATTTTGAATTCGGTGCCAGCCGATACAAATCAAGGCACACACATGTTTTTTTAAGTCGGTTTTTATTAATGTTTTTAAAGTTTTTGTTTTTTATTTTTGGTGTAGACATAGTAGTAGCAAAGTAAGAAGAAAGTATTTTAGTAAAAATATGTTAGCTTAAGCCGTTTCAGTTAGTTCGACACTAATTTTTATATGAAAACTAATAAACTAAAATTTGCTTTTATTAATAACACTGAAAATCAGGCTCTAAAATTCAATTCTAACGTAGTTATTGGGTTTGTCAAATCAAACAAAATGAGCCTAAATTCAATGTATCTACTATTAGCCGTTGAAGAGTTCCACCTATCCACCTTCTGGCCTTACCATCAGATCAGGTCGTCGACAATATCGAATCACTACTACTGTATTATCAACGGCAATAGAAACACTTGCAAAATTTCAAGTCAATATGATAATTTGAAGTAGGTAAAATTTTCATTTGTCATTTTTCCACCCATAAGGGTGGTATTTTTTTAATACAAACATAACAAAAATTGTTCAAATCGGTTCATAAATGACAAAATTCTAAGGTTAAACATAAAAAAATACAGCCGAATTGAGAATCTCGTCCTTTTTAAAGTCGGTTGAAAAGTCTACGTGATTGAAGTCAAAAACCATTTTTAAGTTAGCTTGATACACTGTGCATTGCAACCAAAAAATTATAACTTAGGGTAAGAATTCCATACAAGTGGTATATTTGTTAATATATTTCACAGGAGCATTACACCAGTTGCTGTCTGGAATTGGTGTTGAAAATCCGTTTACCCCATACACTACACTGTCAGACGATTATTCAAATTTTGATGAATTTACTTCAATCATACCATACTCATACATTACACGTGAAACAATATTATCTACTTTCAACGAATCTAGGATAATAACACTCGATAAGCCTTCAACGTATTTTACGAAACTTTTAACCAAATCATACAAACGTAAGAGAATTGAAAAGAAAAATATAAATTATAAAAAAGTCACTCCATCTAGAACACTGAAAAATTTAAAGAATGTTTCAAAACAGAAACACAAGAGCACACCAATGGATGAAGAGTTAGATGATATCGAAGACTATTTACCCGCAGCTGATGACAGCGTTGCATATTTTAGAAGAGTTTTACAGACGGGTACATCTACAACTACAACTACTACTACACAATCACCAAATACAACAACACAACCAACGACGACAACACAACCAACGACGACAACACAACCTACGACAACAACACAGCCTACGACGACAACACAACCTACGACGACAACACAACCAAAGACAACTACATCAGCCAAGACAACAACACCAGCCGAGTCAACAACATCAACCAAACCATCAACATCAGATGATGAAAACAACTCATCAAGACTGACTGAACAGAGTTCATCTACTGTGATGACTTATGAAGAAACATCCACAATAACAACTACAGGAAAAATGCCAAAATCAACTAAACGTTCGGAGCTAGATATACCTCGTCTTTTGGATATAATCGCGGGCTTAGCAAGTGAGTTCGAAACAAATTTGACGAGAAAATTAAATGAAACTTTGTTGAACATGTCGATACCTACGTGTTCCACCCCGACCACTGAGCCGCCGGTTACCTCGGAGTATGATTCCAATTATACAGGAGCAACTATTGCAAAGGTAAATGAGAACTATTAATATTTTGTAGGGTCCCTAATAAAAGTTCGAGATATTCCTTGCTTATATTCTTATATTCAGTATTTTTATAATCGTCACTGAGTTACATAATTTATAATCATAATTTTCAGTATTACAAACAATTTGTTGTGACCTACAGGGTGGTACCGACATCTCTGTGCAAAAGCGCGCGAAAACAAATGAATATCCGCGCCCTTTTTTTTATTTTTTTTTAAAACACATTCCTATCGGCCAAGGTCACATAACTAAATGCCTTATACATAAATCATTACAAATTAATAAAATATATTATTCTATTAAAACGCTCAATATATAAAAATGCAACCTTACAATTTGATATTATTCCACCTTCATGCATGGAACGTTCTTAGACTGCGGCAACTATAATGTGTTTTGATTTGTATTGGCTGGCACCGACTAAATTAAAACTACCAATCAGTTTTTTGTTTTTTTTTTGAAATTGAAATGAAATTTGTAATGGTTTTTATTTATTTTTTAAAAGTTTTTACATATTTGAGTATTATTTTGAAAAGTGTATCGATAAAATTGATTGAATATTCTCACTTGACAATTTAAGTACCTAGGAGATTAATATCAATACATGGATATCATGTATAGGAATTAATTAGTTATATCTATATTAGAAGTGAACATTTTTACTTTTTGATGACTTTTCGAACAATATGTATAACCAATTTGTTTTGCAGTGTTTCGTCTGTGGCCTGGACATCCCCGGTATCCCGGTAGAGGCCCACTGTGCGGATGCTTTCGCCGGTGACTTCCTTCCTTTGGTGCCTGTAGATCCCACCGCAAAGGGAAAGATATCGAGGTTTAGGAAATATTGCAAATATTCAAACATGTAAGTCATTTTCGCATCTGACTTTCTTTCGTGGAGCAGATGGAGAGAGAGGCATATTACTTCGTTCTAGTCTTGAAATTCGACAAGAGTTACTTCTTAATAAATGGTTTGGCACCTAACGTTTTGCCACTATTTTTACGTTTTTATGTGATCAATTAATTATTTCTCATATAAAGTTTTTGTCACTTTATTTCTCATAAGGGGGAAAATGTTAAAAAAGCCAAAATGTGTTTCATATGATGAAAAGATTTGGGTAACCATTCAGTTTCTACCCGATTATATTTTTATCTTTCGGTGCTGAAGCTAGAAATTCAAGTGATGCGGAATCAAACCTTGGTCTCATTATCAATCATTTTCGACATGATTACCACTTATTCATAAAGTGAAGGAAAACATCGTGAGGTTACCTGTAGGAGGATAAATATATATATATATATGGACTACTCTAATCCCGCATTGAGGGAAGGCCCATGCCCAGCAGTGGGATGTTAAAAGCGCTGTATCAATTTTATTTTACAACTAATTCCTAGTTATCAACAGACCAGGTTATAAGTTAAATCGGACACATCCGCGTAATATTTACGGGCGGTGGACGGGGGGATGCGCGGTGCGGTGGATCGATCTAAGCGGAGTGTACACGCAGAGGACATGTCGCAACAGATTGCAGCCTACCATGGGCAAGCACTATGCAAGTAAGCGGATGGCGAAACTTGAAAGAAGTTTATGGGTAACAATTATAATAACTAAAAAAAAATATTTTTTATGCATTGATATACAAAAACTCAATATACACAATTAGCGTCCCAAAAGTGTCTAAGAAAAAAGGCGCACATTTCAAAATAGTGAGTCTTTTTCAAATGCCTTCTTCATTGCTTTTCGGATGACAAAATTAAAATACACGTTGTTTCGTTTAAAAAAGTACTTTATGTGGTGAGCGTTAATTCAAATTTATGCTTAGACAATTAGGAATTATAATTTTTGAAATTCACTCTTTGGTTTTACTTAACGTTGTGAGTTGTGACGTTAATGTCGACATGTCGATGCCATTTTTTAAAGTGATATTTTTTAGGAAATGTGTATCTATGTTTTTATATATCAATAGCTTTATGAGACTTGTTGAAATGAATCAAGTTAGTCCAAATTGAGTTTTTACTAATAATTATTAAAATATCCTCCACTATCGATCTGGTTTCTTCATCAAAATAGTTTGATTACATTAAGTTATTTTATTATCATTTGGATTTCACATACATATAAAATACTAGCAGAACCCGCGGCTTCGCTCGCTCTAAAGCCGCAAAAAATCTCTAAAATGGTAGTTTCACACAAACTTCTTCTTTCAATCAAAAAACTCTAAGAAAGTAGGTTTCATGCAAACTTTGATCCCCTATTCTACCCCCTTATAGGATTAATTTCGAAAAATGCTAAAACACGTATTTGTTTAATTTTATTAATACCAAGTTTCAAGTAATTCTGATCATAAATATTTTTTTAGATTGCATTATAGGTAAAGTGTTTTCCCGTGGAAATTAGGTAATATCCCGCGGTAAAAAATAGCCTATGTCACTCTCCTGCCCTCCATCTATCTCTACACAAAAAATCACGCCAATCCCTCACTCCGTTTCAACGTGAAAGACAACAAACAAACAAACAAACAAACAAACAAACAAACAAACAAACACTTTGACAATTATAAGATTAGTATGGATATGGATATGAGATTTTCAATAGAGCAATCTTTTCACTGTTTTTTGTTTTTTTTTTCTACTTGTTTTTAAATAATTTTGTGCGTTGTTTTTAAGTTATTGTATAATTTTGTGGGACAGTAGTTTAGTAGTTTAGTAGTAAAAAAAAACGACTTCCAGACACTAAAATGTAAATAATAACCGAACGGGGGTTTTCATTTAGAATAGATACCTAAGAAGATATTTTCGAAGTCGGTGCACACCAAAACCCCACACCCAAATGGTAAAATACCCTATTACTAAGACTCCGCTGTCCGTCCGTCTCACGTCAAAACACAAGTGCAGCCACATGAAAAGCCTAGTTAATTAAGAAATTATTTATTTACTTTTCAGAATATAGAGAATGGTTGCATTATCAGTCCGATGGCAACACTCGTGCCTCTCTCTCGGGCGGTGTCTCTGTACGCGCGTTTTCACGCCTGCGTCTGCACCGGCAGCTGGTGTAACACCGCTTTTATAAACACACAGTGGATGTGGAACGTTGTTATATTATTATTTTCCATTAGTATCACATAGTTTTGAATAATTTTATGTCAAATATTGTTTTGTAGAAATGTAAAAAATATTACAATTCGAGAGTTCAGGTGTCATTTTCTGCAACCATATGTTATGTCATTTCCATACATTATTTAGTTTGTTATAAACAACATTAATTGTACTACTGACCGTACTAGGTTATATATGGAGGGTAATTATATTTATTCCGTTATTCAATAAGAAAAGGGGGATATATATTTTTGGATTTCTTGTTGTTTTTTTTGTCTAGTTACGTTTTATTTTTTGTTGGTATTTGTATCAAAAATAATGAATATTAAATTATTGTAAGTAATATTTTGTTTTTTATTTTCCCTAAACTTTATTGGTATAATTAATTTATATGAAATTAAACCACGTAAAATGTCAAACAAAACGATTTAAAAATACAGAAACTCAGTATAAAATAACTTCCAAATTCTATACGACATTGTCGAAGAAAATCTTTGCACTCATCGACACACTTTGAAGCTATTCGCAGGAAAATAAATTCGAAATTACTGATAATTAAATGGGTAATTATCTAGCTTTTTATATTAGTTTAACTTAATAGATAAAATAAGATGCAAAGATCTATCCCACACAGTTATTAAATTACCATCCTGTGTACAAAAATTCAAAACAATATATTATATGCATGAGTGAAGTCTGAAGAATATGAGTTCATCTTCAGACATAAATAGTGGCATGATATTTTCTATATATATATATATATATATATATATATATATATATATATATATATATGTATATATATACACTATATATATATAAAACTCCGAGCGAGGCTCGGCCAGGTACTGATATAGGTATTATAGGCTCATACTTCATATACTTCATGGCCTATAGCGTTCCTAAATAAACGGGCTATGTAATGCAAAAATATTTTTTCAAATGAGTAATAATTAATTAAATTATAATAATAATTTAATTAAACGTCAATAGCATCAATGCCGATTTTTAAGTCAACTCGACCCTGATAATATTTGTACATTAGACAAATTTCGAATAATCTGATTGAAAACACGTATTGCTTGTTTTTTATCTTGAATATTTAATTTTAACAATAAAAATGGTGAAATTTATAAAAAATCTTACGTTTACTCCTTATTTTTACCCCTGACGGTATGAATTACAAAAATTTTATAACATATGTTTACTTAATTGAATTGAAGATCATTAATACCTTCTAAGAATCTTTCATCACCTTATTATACCCCCTTAAAAAATGAATTTTCATAAAAAAGTGACACTGTAAACTTTTTTCTCTAACCAAGTGCTAATATATCATTTTTTTTATTTCTAACGTCAAAACGACGAAGTTTCATACAAACTTCCATCCCATATAACCCCTGAGGGGATGAATTTCCAAAAATACCTTCGTCATTTAAAGAACATTTGTGCAAAATTTCATGCTTCTAGACCCAGCGGTTTCAGCTGTGCGTTCATTGATCAGTTAATCAGTCAGCCAGTCAGTTTCTTACTTTATATGTACATATAGATAGATTAGTGGTTAATTTACAGTTTTTAAGAAGATAAATAAATATATTATAAAAATAAAACCCGACTGCATAAAAGCTAACTAAAAAGATGAAAAAAAAGTTCACGAAGGAATATAGTATTATGCATCAGCAGTGTAAGAGAAATAGCATAATATTAGCTTCATGTATTATAATAAAGATTTTTTTTTAATTTTATTTCATAACATGTATTTATCAAAGTAATGAATATTCTCTTAATATTTTATACTCTTGCTTTCAAAGTAAAAGTATATTTATATTTTAGAATAAGAATCCTTGAACTCGGCAAAACGAACTAAGCCATTGAAACTGAAGAAGGCAAAAATTCCTAATGAGGAATACCTTCTCCTGTCACTGATATTCTTACATCACATCTGCTCATTGTCAAGAAGACTGATTGCAAGATAAAATAAAAAATAAAAATATTTTAGAATATTGTTTGGCTTCATATTTAGTTCTATGTCACTCTGTCTATATTATTCCTTAGGTTAGATAAAAAATACGCCTCCCCAAAGAACCAGAGATAAACCAAAAGTTAAATATATTTTCCTGAAATTCAGGATTGAACATCAAATCGCCCACCTGTTGAATTACGCTTCAAACGAAGAGGTGATTGGTGCCCGCTACCACACCCCTTGTTCTACCCCTAAGCGAATATACAAAAGTCTACAATAGTAATAACTTTTGGTTTGTCGTAAAGCATTTCTTTAGTTATTTCTGTCCATTTATTGCTTGCTTTTTACCGACTTCAAAAGAAGAAGTATTTGATTCATATCTGATTTTTTAATGGCATAGGTAAGTTATATCGCAAGAGTTTTCCTATAATAACCTTCAAATTTAATGAGTTATGGTGGATTTTCGTTTATGAAACTCTTGTTAGATTAACGATAATTGAGTATTTAAACTTCCTCTCATCGAACCTACGACCCTATTGCGCCGTACGATCTCTACCGTAGGAAATAATATCAATTACTGAAGATCCTATCGTACTGTATATTATCGAACACATAATAAAAACTTTTCCAATTTTACCGTAAACTGCTAAACTATATACATTTATTGTAATATCTTAGTAAGGTCGTCCTGAAAGTGATTGTGGGGTCGATGATTTGATATTTTTTTAGAAAATTTTGAAATGTATTCATGTTTGATGGGCTAGACTCAGCTTCAGAGAACTTTTTCAAAATATCGTTATCTCGTTCTCTAAACTCTCTCTCTCTCTTTCTTAAATCCCTATTGATGTAGTGGTGGTCATGTACGGCTGCAGATACGTAGATCTTGGTTTCGACTTTCGAGTCCCAGAGAATGATACCTCACAGACTAGAAAATTCTTCTTTTTTAAAGTCAATCAAAAAGGCGAGAAGATACTCCATTCTCATCTTTAAAAAAATATATCTATAAAATATAAATAAAAAGTAGATTTTCTCTCCTCTATTTGTGAACCATTTTTTTAATTTATATTAGTAGCTATTGACGAATGTAGTGTAGCGTTATCAATTTAAAATATTTGGAAACAGTTTTTTTAATATGTAATGACAATGGTCAAATTTCGACCACTGGGTGAACTCTAGTATAGATAATAATTAGCGAAATGAAGCCAAATATATAATAAATTATTGTAACAACTCCTGAGGGTCGCCTCCCCCACAGACTGGCGGATGGAATGCCGAGCCAATTAAACTTTATGGTCATTTCGATATCTGATATCTTCAGCAATCGTATTGTACCTATAACTTTGTTTGTTTATCACTAGCGTTCATTCGTGGTTCTGCTCGCATAATACTACGATAAAAGACGCAAAGAGTTATTAAAAAAAATGTCAATCCTTTTAAATCCTATTGCTGCGGCTTTACAAGTCTTTAGAAAACTGCTGGTCAAGGCCCTCCTTTCAATGCGAGGGGGATCAGGCCATAGGCTTTCGAAAATTTATTAAGCTCTCTCATATTGAAAATAATTCACACATTATGATATCAGAGGTACGGGACAGGTTTCTGATTTTTTTATCCCACATCACTCTTTGCGCTTTTTCTAGCAAGCCAATACTAACCATAGATCAGGTCCTGGTAATATTACCTGGATTACCTGATAGCCTGAGGTACAATACTTATTAAAATTAAAATCGGTCACTATAATTTATTAGCGGGACATCGTGCAAGCTATCTACATAAATAAAAACTTAAAAAAAAAACAAACAATAAAAACTGACTTCAAAAAACCATATTAAAAAGTTAAAAATAACTGGTTAGAATTTTCATTTACTTATATTACACTATAGATACCTAATCAGATATTTTCGAAGTCGGTGTGCTTTGTATACGGGCAGCGCGAGGGTCGCGTGTTAATGAAAGTACCTGAGCCACCGAGCTTTGCTCGGAGTTTTTGGACAAAAGTACAATTTTCTATTAAAAAAAAACCAAAAACTTGAATAAATACAAAAAAAAACAAAAATACATTATAGCTTTTTATCCGACCGGGATTCGAACCCGGATACCTACGATTGTCAATATTGCGCATAAGCCGCTTGACCATGATGATGATTGAAATTATCGACTATATTTTGCGTGGAATAATGCGAAAGTAAACCGCATGAAAATTCGAAAACACGCGTTTTCCCAGACATAAGACTAATCTAGATCGATGCATCGCCCCCGAAACCCCATGTGTACTAAATTTCATGAAAATCGTTGGAGCCATTTCCGAGATTCAGATTATATATATATATATATATATATATATATATATATATATATATATATATATATATATATATATACAATAATTGTTTGTTTAAATATATTAGATATACACGTCTTCATGAATCACTCCGTCCATTAGTGAAAACCGTACGAAAGTCTGATTGGTAGTTTTTGAACTTATTGTGTTCAGACAGACAGACAGACGCAGTTTGTTTTTATTATACGTATAGGTAGATATCTGTAAATGGAAAAATCCGTAGTTAGATCAAGTTGTAGATATATCACAAAAATATATTTCTCCTTTGCGATTATTATAAACTTATTTTAATGTTTCATGTTACGGATCCCTCGGTGTGTGAGTCAAACCCGCGCTTGTCCGATTTTTTCCATATCCTACCAAGTAAGGTCGCGGATAAACATTATAGTCATCATACAACTATTACTCTTTTGATAAGTGTCAACTGAAAATCAATAAACACTAAACAAAACCATTCGCTTGAATGCTTAGGAAGGAAAAAGCATTATTCATACCACATAGTAGCTAACTAGCGTCAAGATGTGATTTACAGATTAGATACCTATGTATTGGTCCAGATCGACATCCCATCTCTAACAGAGATCACATAAAGATTCGATATGCGATAAGATAATTTGAGGACTATTTGGCGAAGTTAATGTCTTTCATTGCCTTCG